AGTTTTTGGCTAGACTGCAGTTTAGCGGACACGCGAAGCGCTTGTATGGGAGAGCGGGCTCGTTTTGGCATATGATTATATGGTAGGGTTTGGGTCAGTGTCCAAGGTGTCCGCTAAGCTGCAGTAGTCCGGGCTGAAACACACTAGGCAGTCACAACACCTGCAAAACGGTGTAAATTAATAACAATTACACTTCTCATTTCTATAGTAGTTGATCTATCTACACATGCTTCAGTAGTTTTTCTATCTACACATGCTTCAGTAGTTTTTCTATCTACACATGCTTCAGTAGTTGATCTATCTTCACATGCTTCAGTAGTTTTTCTATCTACACATGCTTCAGTAGTTTTCTATCTACACATGCTTCAGTAGTTTTCTATCTACACATGCTTCAGTAGTTTTTCTATACACATGCTTCAGTAGTTTTTCTATCTACACATGCTTCAGTAGTTTTTCTATCTACACATGCTTCAGTAGTTGATCTATCTACACATGCTTCAGTAGTTTTTCTATCTACACATGCTTCAGTAGTTTTTCTATCTACACATGCTTCAGTAGTTGATCTATCTACACATGCTTCAGTAGTTGATCTATCTACACATGCTTCAGTAGTTTTCTATCTACACATGCTTCAGTAGTTGATCTATCTACACATGCTTCAGTAGTTTTTCTATCTACACATGCTTTAGTAGTTTTTCTATCTACACATGCTTCAGTAGTTGATCTATCTTCACATGCTTCAGTACATCATCCTTTACGGGACCTAATGACGTTGAAATCTTTTGAATTTTTTTACAAAAGCATTTTAATAACTTCACATTTTTCAAGGCAAAAACGTTATTCGTAAAGCGGTAGAGACCATAGAGAAATGTAAAGTAAATGGCACGCAATCAACGAGTAAATCGAAATAGCGCTCAAACATTTTCGCGTATTCAGTTTGAGCATATCATTGGGGTGACTCACAAACATTCTTCTCTCTATATATATAGCATTTTGAAAACAGAAAGGCTTTCTAAAAGCTCAGAAACGATATATGACGTAGCTCTTTGACATGCAGGTGCGACTTTTGATTATTTTTATGTTAAAATGTACAATTGTAAATGCAATAAAATTATGATTAAAATGCTAAAGTTTTTAAGAGTGTTTAAAATACTCCTCTTAAAAAGTTTAGCATAACCGAAAAGTAATATTCAACAACTGATTTTACGTAAATGACTCCCAAAAAATACTATTTTATCAACATAAATTAAAACTTTCGTTTCAAGTAAAATTTATCAAAGATAGCTAAGATTATTAATTTAGTAGTTTATGGTCTTCTAAAAATTGATGAAAAGTTTCTACGATTACCATTCAATCCTCGTAGCCAAAGAAAAAAACGATAATGTGTTACAGCATGTTGCAAAACAAATACATTTACTAAGTTATGTTTAAATAAACGCATTGTAGACTATGATTGGCATTACCATAAGCGTTATGTAGTATATTCAAGAAAAGGCTACCAGCTAGAACAATATACCATATTCTTAGAAACAGTCTAAAAGATATAAGACGTCAAAAAATGACGATCTAAGATTATAAAAATCTAAATTCCTATGTCTGTCTTTTGGAAAGTCACGTGAACTGTCCAGTAAAGTACTTGATTTCAATATTGTTGATACATCTATTTTTTGCAGATAGAATCAAGAGAAAAAAGAAACCTATTTTACATTAGGCAAATAATTAATGTTGTTCAAAAGGAACTTGCTACGTTTTTCATCAAACAATGGAACTTTCATTACAAATCATCTCATGGAGAATGGGATGATACACCCAAAAGTGGCAACAAATTTTACACTTTTGAATCAAGAAGAAAATTAGACCAAAAAACTCGACAAAAATATCAGGATGGAGACACCAGTAAGTGGGACTGTACGATATTATTTGATGCAATAATTTTTTCAAATTCAATTGGAAAGCACCTTGATAAAAACACAAAGGATGCTGTTCATGCACTTCGTTGTGAAAGAAACAAGTACGCACATTGGTATGAAGGGGAATGCTCTGATGATAATTTTGATGATATAGTCAACATCATTGAAAAAGCATTTCAAGATTTGAAATTTTCTCTCGATGAAATCAATAGAATCAAAAATCATCGAAACTGTTTTAATTCGTTCCAAGTTCTTCCTTCAAAACCTAATCATTTTTGTTGAACGCACTGAATTACGAGATAAAATTATAAAAGATCTTGAAAAATTAAGCAATGATAACAATGATAAACTGACATATTTTTACATCACTGGTAATCCTGGCAGTGGTAAATCACAACTTGCAAGACAGGTTTGTGAAAAATATCGTGTGATTGGAAAAATAGAACTTCGTTTGTAATGACTCTCGATGGAAAAATGAGGAATCTCTTTTAAAACTTACTGTGAACTTGGATACCGTTTAAACTGTGACAAGGATATGATTAAAAATTTGAAGATGAAAATTGTTCCATCGCAGACAAAGTGAAGAATTTGCGATCGTTAGTATCCACACGATTAAAATTCTGGCAAAATTGGTTGATCATTGTAGACAACGTGGCACAGCTCAGCAAAATTTCTTCATTACTCCCCCAAGTTGGTGATCCCATGTGGATAAATGGACAAATCATAGTAACTATCCAGAACACAGATGCCGTACCTCAAGACGATGAGTTAAACAAACATATTTCTATCAGAAGTGGAATGAATGATAGGGAATGTTTTCAACTGTTGAAGCATTACACTATTGAAAATGATGATGATCAATTGTTGAATGAAGTATCCCACGCATTAGATCGTCAACCGCTGGCTTTGGCTGCCGCTGGTTATTATGTCAGTCGTGTAAACAAAGCAAACTGCTCATTTACTTGGAAACAATATTTAAAGAAAATATCTTCAGAAGAACAAGAACACATGGACGCCACTTTTGTTGAATTTAACTCGGAATATCCTAGAAATATGTTACAAGCTTCACTTTTAGCTGTCAGACAAAATGCTGAAGAATCCTCAATATTGGCAAATGTTATTAACTTTTTTTCCGTGATATCGTTTGATCCTATACCACGAGACATTATTGTTTTTTATGTTCAAGAAATTGATCCCAAACACTCAAAGGAAGATGTATGTCTTTGTTTAAAGGACTGCTCATTGTTCTTGCATTCAGAAAATAATGACATTAGTCTACATCGCATTGTTCACAAAGCAATTATTGTTTATCAATCTGAACATTCAAATGAAGAACATGAAATGGAAAGTAACGTTGATCAAATATCTAAAGCACTTTACATGTTTAAAGAGAGAGACGACGAAATCAAATTAATGCCACATCTTGAAAAAATTGTTCAATTATTAAAGACCAACAAGACAAAAATCAACATGAACACTTTACAAGTTTTCCCATATTTTGTTGACAGATTAAGACATTTTGGAAAATACGATCTTGCTCTTGAACTATTGGATAAATTTAAATCAGAAGAATCTAGTTATGACAAAGCTTGGTATTTTAGTATCCTTGGTCTTTTATACTGTGACACCGGGAAGTATAGCAAAGCTAAAAATCATCACAAAAAAGCTCTGAAAATTAAAAAACAATCGTTAGGTCCAAATCATGTTGATGTCGCTGCGTCTTTAAACAATCTTGGTAATGTGTATTATTATACTGGAAACTACGACAAAGCTATAGAGCTTCACGAAAAAGCTCTGGAAATTCGAAAACAATCGTTAGGTCCAAATCATGTTGATGTCGCTACGTCTTTAAACAATCTTGGTATTGTGTATTATGAAACTGGAAACTACGACAAAGCAATAGAGCTTCACGAAAAAGCTCTGGAAATTCGAAAACAATCGTTAGGTCCAAATCATGTTGATGTCGCTACGTCTTTAAACAATCTTGGTATTGTGTATTATGAAACTGGAAACTACGACAAAGCTATAGAGTTTAACGAAAAAGCTCTGGAAATTCACAAACAATCGTTAGGTACGAATCATTTAGATGTTGCTTGGTCTTTAAACAATCTTGGTAATGTGTATTATGAAACTGGAAACTACGACAAAGCTATAGAATTTCATGAAAAAGCTCTGGAAATTAAAAAACAATCGTTAGGTCCAAATCATGATGATGTTGCTAAGTCTATAAACAATCTTGGTATTGTGTATTATGAAACTGGAAACTACGACAAAGCTCTAGAGCTTCACGAAAAAGCTCTAGAAATTCAAAAACAATCGTTAGGTCCAAATCATGTTGATGTCGCTGGATCTTTAAACAATCTTGGTACTGTGTATTCTAAAACTGGAAACTACGACAAAGCTCTAGAGCTTCACGAAAAAGCTCTAGAAATTCAAAAACAATCGTTAGGTCCAAATCATGTTGATGTCGCTATGTCTTTAAACAATCTTGGTAATGTGTATTATTATACTGGAAACTACGACAAAGCTATAGAGTTTAACGAAAAAGCTCTGGAAATTCAAAAACAATCGTTAGGTCCAAATCATGTTGATGTCGCTACGTCTTTAAACAATCTTGGTACTGTGTATTCTAAAACTGGAAACTACGACAAAGCTATAGAGTTTTTCGAAAAAGCTCTGGAAATTCGAAAACAATCGTTAGGTCCAAATCATGTTGATGTCGCTACGTCTTTAAACAATCTTGGTACTGTGTATTATAAAACTGGAAACTACGACAAAGCTATAGAGTTTAACGAAAAAGCTCTGGAAATTCAAAAACAATCGTTAGGTCCAAATCATGTTGATGTCGCTACGTCTTTAAACAATCTTGGTACTGTGTATTCTAAAACTGGAAACTACGACAAAGCTCTAGAGCTTCACGAAAAAGCTCTAGAAATTCAAAACAATCGTTAGGTCCAAATCATGTTGATGTCGCTACGTCTTTAAACAATCTTGCTAATGTGTTTAAAAAAACTGGAAACTACGACAAAGCTATAGAGCTTCACGAAAAAGCTAAAGAAATTCGAAAAAAAACGTCAGGAACTAGTCAGGTTGATGTTGCTAAGTCTTTTAAACAATCTACGTGTAATGTATTATGAAACTCTACAGCCAGGAATCATCCTAAGTAGAACTTAGAACTGCCCATGCCCTGAATCTGACATTCTTCTTTAGAATTTATTCCTAAAGAAAATTGCTTTTATGTTAAAACCAAGTAGTAATTTTTATTGTATGATTTACAAACATACTAAAGTATATTCGGATGACAGAATTTTATGACATAAATTTTGTTAAATAAATACTATCCTGTTAGTTGTTCATATTCTTTGATACATTCAGTAATTTTTTACCCAGCTCCATAAGCCTATGACCATATTCCAGGTTCCTATAATTTCCAAGGGGTACACTTTTCATACCATACATACCACTCCACCATGCTGCAGCCAATATTCCTGTACTGTCACTATCTCCACCATGAAACATAGAACAAGAACACAATTTAAACCAGGAATCTTTTGCCATCATCAAAGCATCGTAAGCAATCATTGGTGCATCATGACCACTGGACCCACCCCAACCTGCATAACTGACAGATTTATAAACAGCATCACGTTCAGGTATGTTATAATTCACTGGAAACTTTCGTTCAATGGTTCCACTTGTTAATCCCCGTAGTTCAAGATATAACTCCCAACTGTTTTTAAAGCAGCCCCAAGATTTCTTGTTTTCTTCTACATCACGACCAACCTTCTCAATGTATTCCCAAACTTTGGGTAAAAGACTTAAAAGTCCTGCTCCCCATTTTTTTGGAGCCATCTTCTGTATATGTTGAGTTCGAGTTACTCGCCATATCTCTTTTCGTAATATACTCTATACCTTCAGTAACAACCACGAGTGAACTTAATGATCGAACTGATTTTTATTATTTTACAAAGCAGTATTTATACTATTTATCACAAACAACAAATAATATTATTGGCAGGAGTAGTTCCTCTGTTTACGCTATATATGGTATATAAGGAAATTTAACTAAGTTCAATAACTGTTCCTTGGCTCTTAGCCGTGTGGGAACGGATACATTGGTTGACCAAACTACGTATTTACTGCTTCCCTTTACGTAACTCTGCGGTTTATGAGCATGACTCAACAGTATAGCATAGGCTGTAAATAAAGCTGCAGTAACAGCTCCTAGATAACCTATAATTAAAATCATTATCTTTAAAGATTGCTAATTTTAGGTCACTTACATTATGATGACCCTATTTACATAATAGCAGCATTTTGATATTGATCATGGATTCAATGGCTGTAGTAGTGAAGATATTAAAGCAAAACAGCAATGGCAATTCAAACAGTTTTTAGAAGACAGAAATTTTGAAGTGTGGAAAAGCAATAAAAGGGATGGATCAAAGATATGGTCATTAAAAGTGAGAATGTTAGAAGGATGGAGGCATTTGAGATGTGGTTCTAGAAAATGATGGATTGCATAGACTTATGCAAACCAAAGGTCAACCTTCTTTTATTTCATTTATAAATTGATATTAGATAAAAGGATATGAAACATTCAAGGTAATGGCTTGATCAAGTAAGTTATCGAAGGAAGAGTTGAAGATAAAACATTTAGCTAAGAAAAGCAAAAGGATTGAAAAGCTAAATTACTATAAAGGTTTGTTAAAATGAAAAGCAATGCAGATAACAGGAAAACCTAGCAAACTTTATACAAAGCAACACTTGTTGATAGACAAAACACTAGACATTAGTGACTTGATAATTGATACATGATCTGAAATCTTTGCTTTATTATGAAAGGTGAATACCTGTGGGGTGATTATGAGTCATCCTTCCACTTTCAACAGCAATTTCAATTAACATTTCAATTTGATCTTCACAAGGAAACATCAAACCTATACACATGGATCTCATAGCTGCACCACATCCTCCACCTCGTTCATTAAATGGTATAATGTAACCTTTTTCTCAAGAGGTCGTAACATGAAACATGCCTTTGTTGTGGTCTGCCCAGGAGCTCTTTCCCACATATCCTCAGCACATGTCTTCTTGTACTTTGTAGCCATAATGCTCAATAACTCTTCCGTTGTTGTCCATTCAGAAACCAACGCTTCTGCTGTAGCAATGTGTAGTACAGTGTCGTCACTAACCCTCCATCCTTTAATGTCAATTTTATCAAGTCCTCCGAGTTTTTCTAGTTCTTCATGAATTTGAGTACCACTGTAACAGAATTCCCACAAACCATTCTTATAACCTAGAGCATCCCCAACTCCACTGAGAGAACCATAACTGCTTCGTATTTCTCGGATAATTGGACCGTATTTTCAAGAGCCATTTTTAATATGTTTACTTCACCGTAGTTTAATGAATTTTTTTGAAACACAGGGAAAGTACTAAGCTTCCCTCAACTTAGTCAAGGTTTGATCGTGAGAATACCACATTACTTCATGTTATCCGATTTTGTTAAATACTTGTCGGTAAGCGCACTCGCACCTGTCTCGGGCAAATCGAAAGTATGTTTTGTTTTAAGTATGTTTTTTAATCGAAAGTATTTTTTTTTCTAAAGAAACAAATTATGATATTGATGTGAAGTTACAAAACATGACCAAAGTTGCAATTTGGCTGGCTACATAACTTTCAGTGGAATGAGAGTTGAGTGTGAGCTTATTCACAGAAATTAAATTTTTCAGTAAGTTTGAAATTCAGTTAGATCGTTGCATAATTAAATATGCTGTTCAAAGCAATATTACAATAGTACTTCCATAGAAAGTGAATGCGATCTTTTTTCTTTTCGCTATTCTGAAGCAGTAAACACCATGATGCAAAACAATTAAATGTTTTTCATTCTTTAACTGAAGAATAAGTGAAATTGCTACGTACTTGCCAACAATTTTCGTTTCAACCCTTTCAACTTTCATTAATGCAGCAAACCCTTCCAGCAGAAACTCCCACTTCTCATCTTCTTTGTATTTCTGAATAGATGGTAATCATATTATGAAACTGGTAGCTTGCTTGCAGCCTGACTGTTACTAAGGAAGAAAATTTAGGATGTAAACACGCTATGAAAGTGGTAGAGAACATAGAGACACAGTTATTTCACAGCAAATCTCTTTTTTACATTGGTGGTCAATTGAGACAAACCTCCAACAGTGATTCTAGTGGCTGCATCACAAATTATTACATAGGATATGCTCTGAGTATACATTACACATTCTAAATTATAGTTTTTCTATAGTTATACTATAAAAAAACTATATTATAGTTTTCCTGCAAGCTTTCTGTTGATATGTTCATGCAAAAAATAAACAGAAAAGGTTCAAGACAAATCAAGAGCATTCTGTCACACAAAAACATTACAATGTTTGAAGTGGCATCCAGCCAAACCATTAATGAAAATTAATGGTAGATTCACTTTAACATTTATATGGGAAGCATAAGATTATTTTCAAAGTCATTGTAGGTATTTAATATTTTTAACCCAATGGAAAAAACCAATCTGTATGCATATGAAACCAAAGATTACAAACATTCCAGAATTGATCACATTCTTTAATAATTGTATAAGCCTTTGCCATCCATACCGAGAAATTGCACCCAATGAAACAAATGTTACTTGATAACGTTTCAAACATTAATCTAACAGAGGGGATATATGTTTGTAGACATAAATAAATTTGAACACATACTTTTGTTGATATGACTGTGCTAATAAATGTAAATTAATATGAATTTGTGCAACTACAAATAATAAAAAGAACACTTTAAAAACTCATACCGCATCATCACTTTGTGTGGTCTCTTTCCTCTTCACATTATTGTAAAAGAACTCATTTGAGCGTCTGAATTTCTTCATGAATTGACACATTTACCAGGTGTAATCCAAAAATACCGCAACTAACAAAAACCAGTATCACTGCCAGTACTGTGTTCTTGAATTAACAAAGTTAGACCATAATTAGTCGAAGTACCATTCTCTCAGCCAGACTTCTCAGATAGATATTTACGAAAACTGAGTGAGCCCTGTTGATCTCTTGCATTCGAACTTTTGCAAACTCTAAAAAAACATACATATACAAAGAAATATTGTTCTCATATATGAAATTTTAAAATTGTACTAAACTATGGCACTGAAATTTCTCTCTTAAGTTGCACCAGTTGTATTTGCGGTTATACATGCCACTTTAAGACACAAACTTACCACATGTTGCATTTACGCCATGTTCTAATAACAAAAACCATGACCAGCCGACAATTTAAAGAAATATAGTACAAAACAAATTCCGAAGAGGCAAGACATCCTGAGATTGCAAAATATTCATCAAAACAAGACAAGAAGTGAACTGTAAATTTTCGACTTTATTTCAAAGTCATCCTCGGACAGAATGATATTTAAACCCTACATATATATTTACAACGCAGGAAATGAGTAAACGGAAGTAAGCTATAGAAAAATAACAAATTTTAATAACAAATTTGGCGCGATTTTCATTACTTCAAGTAAGTGAAAGTCAAAAGGAGTCTACAAGAATGTAAATATCGAGATAAGATGGCGTCTACTTCCTCTGGTAAAACACCTAAAGGAATCTTAAAACAGACTAATTCTTTGGAGGATCAGAGGTACATTAGTAACTTCTATAAATTTATATTTTTCGCTAAAAATGAAAATAAATACGGTGATGTAGATTTGATTATTTCTGTGAAAATGTTTAAACTAAGATTGTCAAGGACTCTTAAGTTTTTAAGTATCTTTACACATTGTCTGTCTTTTGAAACTGACGAAACAGACTTTCATAAAAGTATTTGACTATCAGTCGTGTACGCAAATCTTTGTCATAAAACACAGTGATCTGTTTTGAAATAAATTTGAAGTGGATAATTTGAATCATAATTCTAACAAATAACGTACATAGCGAAGCTAAATGAAAGTAATTAGCAAAATGACAACTTAAACACTTAACAACCCATTTTAATACTTTGAAAATATTCATTTGTCAACAAAACATGCAAGGCGAACATCTTTTATTTTCTTATTTCCGACTTCCAACTACAAGATGTAAAAAAACAACAAGTTAACATCCCATTGAAATCAATCGGAGTTTAAAGTTTGCATGATTCTGCAGTATTTATTCAGAAATTTCAAGGAATTTCAGGTTTGTTAGCCACAGTTTGTACATATACCTTTTATATAAATTTTCCTGTTTGGTCAATGATTAAACTGTGTGAGTTTCACTACAGCAAGATCAAACAATAAATACTCTTTGTTCTGTAGTTAATAAAACACTATATTAATCTACTTATTTAACATATAGAATTAGAATTTATTTTTAAATAAGGTGTCAGAGGCAATGGTATGATATATGAGAGTTGCTGCTTTTCAAATCAAAGCTTTGCAGTTTTTGATAACCAAATTGTTCACTGTCATCATAGCAGTGATCACCACATTCACTAGTGTGTAGTGCTGTTTGAGAAGGATTAATCCAAGAACTCTTACCTTTCTTTGTAGTGTGGAGGTGCATTTTGATGAAATGAACATTTTACAAACATACCATCCAGCAAACAAAGATTATGGTCATATGAAGATAAATGAACCTCCAACACCTTACAGTTATTCTTGTGAAGATTCTGATACTGAATCCAATGAAAAACTAGATCCAAAAAAGTTGGCTGAAAAGTAAATTATTTAGAGTCTTTGTGTTTCCAGTTTACTTTTTCCTTTTTCAATTTTTTTTCCATCGTTGGTATGAACATGAGAGCAAATACTGTTCTTTATTTATAGAATGCAAAATGTTGAACCAACGTCTAAACATGAATCGTATGACAGAAATGAAAGCAGTTCTGATGAAGATACGGATCTGACAGAAGAAGAAAGAAGTGAGTTAATGACATGAGCTTTAAATTTGAATTCAAAATGAAATGAACCAATCACACAATGAAAATGAGTCACATGCATTCTATAACAAACTCATCACTATTTTTTATACATAAAATCTCATTGTAAATCTTTACATTTTATAATACATGTATAATGTATTTGGTCATGATAGAAAACATTTTACCTTCCAGGCATAATAGTATCTTTACTCTAAAGAAAATTTATCAACGCATCAGTATTTAAACAAAGTAATGGAAGAAATATCACATGGTTCTTAGGGGCTGTTAACATGAGCCCTACGAAAGGGCAAGACCTCTCTGTTGGCCTGTATTTTACCTCTCTTTTACATGCGAATTCTAGCCCTACATGCAAGAGGTCGGTTTGAACAGCGAATTTTGGCGCTAAAATACAAAATAGCTGAAAACAAACCAATATAACTGTCGCCTTAAGATTTTTTACGCTATTTTAGTTTGTTTGCTTCCGTTGATGCTTTTCTTGTCGCCATTGCTGAAAAGCGATGTCTTATTGCATGCAAATGCGTTAAATTTCAAGCCCTACAGGAAGGCTAGCCATACTGAATGAGTTTACGTGGGAAATTTCCAGCCTAAATGGCGAGATCTCGGCCGGTAGGGCTGGCCCTCCTCCTCATGTAAACGAAGACAGATTTTATATGGAATTTTAATAACACGCGCCATCTTGCTTGGTAGTGCCAGCCTCCCTGTAGGGCTAATGTAAACAGCCCCGTAGTTCCACAATCTTGAGAACATAAGCCATTATTTTTAGACGTTTTTTAAAAATATATTTAACTATGTTCCTACACCCAGATCTTCATGTTATGTGTTTAGTAAACAATGCTTTCATATATTTAGAATCAAGGAAAGTTTTCAAAGATAAACGAAAGAAACATTATAACGAATTTGGAAATGTAAAATTAGCTCGTGATCTTATTGCAAAAGAATTGGCAGAACTTGAGGATGACGATTGATTATGTAAACTTAATGGTTTTTACAACATTTTCTTTATTTTCACCATTATCTTGCATTGAGAATAAGAAGACTTGATGATGACAGAGTATGAACACTTCATTAAAACGAAAGGAATATTTAAACTTTGTTAATCATTCTAAAGATTACGACAGTGTATCTTTTCTCTCTCGATAGTCATAAAATATCTTGTATAGTAAATCGATTAAATACTGTCTTCATCCTATTGATGTATACAAGTTAGAAGTTAACAATACCATAACTTCTACTGTGAGTGCAACTTTATTTTACTTAATGTAATATTGTTCACATTTAATATATGAGGAGAAAATTTTGAAAAATAACATCTTAATTTTACTACAATGGACTAAACAGAATTGTTAAAATGATGAATGGGATTTGATGTTCGTATTTTATAGATAAAATAAGTTTAACATTCAAGGAAATGTTTACGAGATTCCTATGAGAAAGGCAAGTTTTCTTCATACCTTTGTTATAAATGCTACATTCCAAGCCTACATCAGGAGCTGGACCTCTACGTTTAGCTCTAAATAACAAAAGTCATTGAGTTAGTTATTACAAGAAATCAAAACAGTATTTGTCAGTTAGTTCCACTAATGGTAAGTTAATGCTGATGTGTTTTCTTGTCGCTTATGATTACAGAATCATGTCCATTACATGCTTTTTCGTTGACATTTTTAGTCTTACATGCGAGATCTCGGCTTGTCGGGTTAACTCTCTGTGTAGGACCAGACACGGTGTCTAGCTCCCCCTTTTCTCAAGGAAACGTTTTTGCAAACATTTAACTATTTTAGGCTTTAGCCTCTTAAGGCAAGGTAAAATGCAGTAAATGTAAGTCATGGCGCTGTTAAGAACACCTGATTTTATAATTTTTGTTTATATTTTTGCTACTATTTTCTAATAATCAAAGATTTCTGTAATGCATAAACCTCTCGTACAAATTCAATATTACAAGAACTATATGTAAAATACTTTAGTCAAGCTTTGACGGAAGAATTAAAAGAAATTTTCATTTGTGTGAGCTGACAAGATTCGTTAGAAAAGTGTTACAATAATATAATTACCTTTCCTCTTTCACTAAATGTGGCAGTCTGTCTGATAAGGAAGAACGATTATTTTCAAATTTCTTTCAATGGTGACTCGGTGTCTGAGAATGGATTAAACATGGATTATGAAAGAAGAAAAGGAGAGAGATTAACCGCATTTTGCTATCTTTGAACACAAAATATATATCATTCATTCTTTTAATAGAAACATGAACGATTACATAAGATAAACTGTAGGATTAATTTTTAATTTAGACATGAAGCAGTTTTGCAACAACAGTATTCATACCTGCCGTCATAAGAGAAGACAAACCGCATCTCTTCATTTCTCTTGGAAGATTTCAGCAATACATGCCAAGATACGGGACTTATTTTCTGCCTGTTGCTTTGACCCTATAGATTTATTCAATCACAACAAATATATTAGTTCATCGTTGATAAATTATCAGTGATAGATAATCTATATTTATGGATTACCTTATTTAAAGTGGTCTTAACCAATGCATTGTCAAGTGCTCATCACTCTTTAATTCTCAAATGATGTTTTGTTAGAAAATCCCTTAAACTTGGCGTCAAGCGTTTTTTATACTAGTTATTAATAAGTTGTCATTAAAAGCTTAACAAGTTGGACGGGACTCTTATTAAAATCATAATAAAGCATATTTAACACATTTTCATATGCAGAAGTTACGAAACATATCAAAGTTTCACATAAAGTGACTTTAATTTGAAACAAATATTTTCCACTTTCTCGTCTCAGTAATACTATTACTTCTAGCATTTGACTAAATGCTTGTCTCTAAGTGATGGCAATAACAAAAAACAATCATTATTCATTATTTTCGTTTGTTTAAAAAATAATTGTTTATGACAAGTTTATACACATAACCCAGCCTCGCGTCAATTTCATTCAACAGACAGTCTCTTCGAGCCCGTTAAGGTACTACCTTTATTATCAAAGAACAGTATAAATTGTAATTAAACTGAGGTAAGCATTGTTTTTTTTCATTATACACTATAATATTCCAATTAAATGCAATTATGTATCTATACTTTACACTGTGTTTATATCTACGTGAGCAGTTTACAATGATCTTTACCAAAATCATGCTAGCAGTTTTTTTGACTTCACGAAGGTTCACATGTTGTATGCGTATGAATATGGTCCAAAATGGATACTGAATGTAGCACATGCATTGTAGCTTTAAAAAACACAAAAATTTTAAATAAGTCTCGTTCTCAGTATTCAGATTTCTCAGTAATTTACGGAGGTCAGCTTTAATCCTTTACATGTTGTGGAGTTGAAATGGTAATATTCTTACATAAAAACACAAGTGTTCAAATACATGATCATGATTTAGGCCTTAAACGTTGATCGGAGAAATGATAAATATTTTTTTCAAAGATGTGCTATCATCAACTTTTCATGTGTGTTTTATTCCATAAACAATTGAAAATACAAATTTAATTCAACAACGCACGCTCAAAAAGGGAGGTGTATTTTAAAATAATGAAAAGTATTGGTCTATAGAAATTATACATTTGCATCTGTACAAAAAGGTTCCGTCATGCATGAATAAACGGCTGTTGATAGCTTAGTCAAGCGGCATCACGTTGTAGCAAAGCTTCTTAGAAATTGCTTCACCGTTGTACATTTACACAATTAATTTTCAACCCTATCAAAAAATAATCACATTGTCCTCCGCTTAACAGAAATGTTGAAAAACTGTATGAAACAATAAACAAAACGTTCAACATTTAAGGTTGATATGATGTCAGGTTCAAATGACGAAATTGTTAGAAACGAGAGAGTAAAACGGCCAATGAATGCCTTCATATTGTGGTCACGTGAGCGACGAAGAGAGTTGGCAAATGACGACCCAAATATGCACAACTTTGAAATCAGCAAGAGATTGGGGATTGAATGGAATCGTTTGGAAGCAAAAGAAAAGAAACATTTTTACGACGAAGCCCAGAAACTTAAAGAAGAACATCGAAAAAATCACCCAAATTATAAATATCACCCTAAACGAAAACCCCGTCGGCGATTCAGTCCCATTTCCCCATCACAACAGTACAGAATGGCGTATTATGTACCCGTAGACAAATCTAACACAACGTATCCAGTAAGCTACCACCCAAAAGTTCCCTGGCTCAATAAAAATCTTTTAACTAACATCGACGCGACTTACGTACAAGACATGAGATATTACCCACAATCCCACTTTCTCATGAATACAAACATGGCCACCGGATACGGGTTTCATGAGATGACGTCATCAATGACAGGTGCAAGTCCCATAATAGAGATGATATGTAGTTACAGCCCTGGCGAGTTGAAGAAAAGACAACTGTTGAATCCAACATCCCATTCTACAAATAACAAAACAAAACAAGGTGAAACTGAAGAAAAGAAGAAAAGTGCCAAGCCACAAATTTATTTCCACGATGTGAGATCCACTCAAGCTTTCTGTGTTGGTTGTCAAGGAGGAAGAGCCATGTTTTACAATGGAACTTGCCCAACAACACAAGAGCATTTACAATTGTGATAATTATCAAAATCATTAATTCAGAAAAGCTCAATCTATTTTCAATATGTTGCCAGTATTGCAATAAACGATTATAGGAAAGCGTTTTGTATTTCTGTAATGACAAAACTTTTGAACTAATCTATTTATATTTCAAGCAATCAGTTCAATGCACAACACAGATAATTTGCATGTTTTTAATTATAACTACCATGAAATTTGAAATCCTATTGCGAGCATAAGAGGATAAAGTATTGACGCTTGCAGCTGCTCTTTCGTTTATTTCGCATTTTGGAAAACAAAGCCGACAAAAGGTTAGTCGTTAAATATTACAATTCGCACAAAATATAGAACTTTCAGACAGCAGGTATAAATAGGATAGGCGATAAAAATAACATGTATAAAATATTGATTGTTATTGAACAACAAAATTTTTAGATCATATCTGCGATAACTCTTACTAACAAACTTCTGAACAAAGAATTAAATATTGCGAGAAAGGGCTGCTTTTCCTCATGTATACAGTGGATTTGCTATTCTTAACGAAATTTTAAACAGCAACTAGTGTATAGCAGGCAATGTTCGTAAAAATGATTTCAAAACAATCATTAAATATATTAGGTTGCGATAATTCAACATTGTAAAGAGACACGAATGGCAAAAGACGACCTTTCACCTTTACATCCTTAATCACTGACGGAAGAAATGCGTTGTTATCTTAATTCACATATAGACACAAACACCAAATATAACTGCAAAATTCCCCCCCAAACCTTGAAGGTGCCTTAACTAGTTGACGTTACAGTTGATGTTTTTACAAAAATTTTCGTTCAGCCAGGCCATGGTAAGGAATATTTTAAAAATTCCCAGTTATCTGCATACAATAGCACAATTTTCCTCATGAACTTCCAGCTTGCTGCCTTAAATAGTTTATTCAAAGTTAAAAAAGGTCGGCTGTCTCATCAACTTAATCATCTCGCTAATCGACTTTTTATGTGCTTTAGTTTTAAGCTGTTTCCAATAATCAATAAAGAAATCATTTGTTCTGCTCGTTTTCAAGTTCAAGTATACACTCCATCATTCGAAGCACCGTATTGGAAACTGCGTGTAATTACAAGCAGTATTTAAGAAATACTTTTCAAGATAGGGTCTCTGTTCATACTGTTAATGGTAATAGCAGTTTACTATATTTGATCGATGTTTATCAAATGACAGTGATTATAACAACGGTACATAACACAACCTTTTCTATGTATAATGAAAGTGTTATTTTACACCATTGTACAAAAACGATGGAGACAATCCGCTCTTGATTATTTTTGTCTGACGACCCTCATGCAATATATTTTTAACAAAATGATTATAATCAGTAAATTTAGCATTATGATATCATATATTCTAAAATTACTTGGTTGATAATCGACAATAAGAAGACATAGATTTTAATCAAGTAGATGACAGTTTTATATAATTTTTAACAGGTCACGATTTCCCATAGTGCAACACATGTTTATAGTTTTGATACTTAAAGTATTTCAATAATTTTTCATACTTTTTTAATTGCCCTCCACTTGCCTCCTTTTGTGGTAAAATTTTTTTGTGAAAAATAGCATTCTGGTATTTCCTTATGTGTAAACTGTGATTTCAAAAGATCACACAAATTAAAGATGAATATATTTTTCACGAGTTAGCACTTTGAGATAAAAACCCACTATTTTAGTTAAAAGTTGATTTCAAAGCAGGATGTAGCAGTTAAAACGCGGGTATAATTAAGCTTTCACGGTGTTAAGAAGATTAAAGGACAATTATCAACTTTTTTCACGTATGATTTAAACGCGATGGTTGTTTTTAGTTAACGATCGAGGTTCTCTGCAGGTTCACGATTGTGCATTATCACTCAGTGGACCAAATTAAAAAGGAACGTGTGTTTTGTTCTCAATCTCTCAGCTGGGTAATTGTTTCGCGGTCAATAATATAATATGTTATGCGCAATTGCACATAGAGGCGATCACATTACGCAAGAAGTAATGCCATGAATGAAGACAAAATACCAATGCGCTGTTCTATGTATGTTTGCTCATGCATTATTTTAACGAAAGGTTACTTCGCGATGAATGCTGGTTGTATTCAAGAAGATTGAAACATTAAAATGGCTGTATCGGTGGGGAATCTTGTATTTATCGTAATCGCTCTTGTTGTCATATCATTTCAAACTTTCTTATTTCTAAATCTTGGCAATCAACTGAATATTTGTTTGAAACGCATCGAGCATCTAGAGGAACTATTGAAAAATGCAACAACTACACTAAGATCAAAGAAACATAAACTTACTTCCAGAAAAGACATTCTAGAAAATGAAATGAACTATGAACTTCCAGCTGATTATTCCTTAAAGATGACTCTCCTGCAATCAAGACACAAAATATTCAAGTCAAAACAAAGGTAATACGTTTAGTCATTAAATAGAACTTTACTTAGCATAATTTGCGCAATATTAAAGCGCCCACAGGTCGAGCGCAAATTATGCTAAGTAGGAAATGCCTAAACAATGTTTAATAAATAGTGTGGACAAATATTGTAATGACACTGCACATGTTGTTTCAAAAAGGGCCACTTACAACGTCGTAAAGAATGTTTTGATGATAAACATCATATGAAACAATAAAAAATCAATTATTATTCTTTGTAAAATGACGTGTTTTTTTCAAAGTAAATAACATTTTACAAACCCTTTCTTAGTTTTGACTATTGCAGTCAAGAAAATGATATTAATGAATGAATAAATGACTTTCTAGGGTGAAAAAGTCGAAAATACGAGGAAAACGAAGTAGGTTTGACTGACCTTAATAACAACCACAGGCCACAAATTTGGATGATTAACTTCAGTAAAAAATTTCTTTTTTGAAGATTCTAACCATCGTCGACGATACGCAGTTTATACATCTTGGGGTAGCAATATCTGTCCAGCTAAAAGTACAATTCTCGACAAAGGTAATAAAATGATATAAATTTAGTCACAACTAAAGAAATAGCACTCTAAATTGTCTCTGTCGCTAGCAAATAGCCTAGGGAGACGGGGGAAAATTTTCACGACTTTGAAAATCACTGACAATGAACTCCATCAGCTCGATCTTTGGGGGGGAGAGGGAAGGGGGTAGACAATCTTCGTATGTGCATGTTATGACCTTAAGAAGAAATTGATTTAAAGACATTTTATAAACTCTAACGAGCATATAAGAATATCCCCCCCCAATGATTGAGCACGCAGACTACTAATTTCTTTGGTTGTGTTTACTTTTGTATTTTGGAGGACAATTTGAAGCGAGGATCTGGGAAAAATTTCCCCTTTCCCCTCCTCTCCTGAGAAACTTTGATTGTACATTTCATAATTTCAGGACAAATGGTGACCACAGATGGTAGTGACTTTTTTTGTCTATCCGATACACCCGAGGACGCACCAACCAGAGCCTCCTCGTCACGAAACCGTTACCCAGGCAACAGCGTCAATCTCCGAGGAGTGACGTACGGGGATATTGAGGGAGTACTGAGTTTACATGCGATTCCACCATCGGGAATCCACAGCCGAAACAATAAAACCGTACCATGTACGATTTGCGCACGCTATGGTAAATCTAGCAGTGCCGTAGTTTCGGCAATTGAAAGAAAATAAGAAACTTTTCATACATACGACGGGAATATCGCGGTGTGCTGATGTCGACCAGAGAATCGAAAAAGTTAATATGTTTGAGTGTTGACAGTAAAAATATTTGAACACGAAAACAACATCAGAGAACGGCAGTAAAACGTCAAAAACTCTTATAAATACCGTGAAAATACATCCAGTAGAGCTACAATGTAATTCACTGCACTGTGAGTCATCACCAAGCATTTATAGGGAAGGTAATCGTATCAAATGTTTGGTTGTCACATTCTAAGCAAGATGTATCAGAAGCAAGAAGATTTTCGCTTGATTTTTGTATCGAATATAATGTTTCCTTTAAGATCACAGCAATACTTTATCATAAGGAAAAGATTATTACGAAATGAAAATCCTTGGATGTATATGAGACGTGAATATAATATTATATTTATTTGAATTTGTTGATATGTTTTCTTCATCGTCTTGTTTTAAGCACAAACAAGTTATAAAAATGTTACAAATGATGAATGACCTTGACATAAATACCCTGGGTAAGATTTCCATCTCTACAAACAACTTCTCCACGGGGATGAATGTCGTGAAAGTAAAACACAACAGAAAACAAATAATGGTTGTTGTGATTCGAAGGTAAGAAACCATTGTATGGGACGTTAATATATCTAAAATTAAAAGAATTTTAATGGTGAGTGTAAACTTCAATGTAACAAGAAAGATAAGAAAGAATGTTTTATGAAGTGCGGTGTTTGAAATTAAATGTAGATATGATCTTCGCACTTTGCTGGACAATTTAAGCAATTGCCTCATGAACCTGAAAAATTCAGGTGACTCAACGGGATCCCGTTCATGAGACAATTGCTTAAATTGTCCAGCAAAGTGCGAAGATCATATCTACATTTAAGAAAGATAAGAGCCACATTCTTATCTATTTTAGGCAGAGTTGCTATAGGTATAATTTCAAAACATGATACATGAAGAAGTGAATAATCGTACCTTATAAAACGCTACAAACACCAGATTTTTTTGTCTTTGTGTTCACTTTCTGGTTTTTACCTTCCGTGACTTTCTTCATATCATCTTCATTGTTATTGCTGTCATCTTTGTTTATATTTTCCTTGTTATCTTCATCTTTCTTAGAAGCCTCGGCAATATTCTCTTGTTTAGTTAAATCTTCTTTCTTTGGATCTTTTTCTTTGTTTATTTTTTAATATTTTGTTCATTTTCTTCGTCAACATCCCCATTCTGCGATAATAACAAATGATTAATTCCATCAGAAGTTCATGAAGATTGAAGAATGATGAAACAAACCTGTTTATCCAATTTTTTATTATTGCCATTTTTTTCAACAATTTTTTCTTTCACTTCATAACTAACTTCATCTTTAGATTTTACGGGCCTCGTTTCTACGTGGAACAAAGAGAAGCAATGACGATATGTGGATAACAGAGGTTTCCTAGGAGTAGAAAGTGCAATGACGATATGTGGATAACAGAGGTTTCCTAGGAGTAGAAAGTGCAATGACGATATGTGGATAACAGAGGTTTCCTAGGAGTAGAAAGTGCAATGACGATATGTGGATAACAGAGGTTTCCTAGGAGTAGAAAGTGCAATGACGATAGGTGGATAACAGAGGTTTCCTAGGAGTAGAAAGTGCAATGACGATAGGTGGATAACAGAGGTTTCCTAGGAGTAGAAAGTGCAATGACGATAGGTGGATAACAGAGATTTCATAGGAGTAGAAAGTGCAATGACGATAGGTGGATAACAGAGGTTTCCTAGGAGTAGAAAGTGCAATGACGATGCGTAAAGGATGTGTTAATATTCTTACCTTGGTCATTGTCATCCTGTTCTCCTGATCCATCTTTGCTTTCGTCTTCTTCACTCTCGTCATATTCAGATTCACTTCCTTCTTTTCTATTATTGTTAATCCCCGTTTCATCCCCAGTAATCCCCAAAAGACCTTTTCGAATCTCAGTAACCATATTTCCATCCTCATGTACACCACTTGCATCATCCTTTACTTTAACAATTTTCAATCCATTCTTAGCAAGTTCATCGTCACCACTTTTATCATCATCATCATCATTTCTATCACCACTGATCCTTTGGGCATCGTTTCTATCACCATTTATCCTTTGGGAATCATCACTTTCATCAACTGATTCTTCTTCATCATCATCGCCTTTACGGCCATCGTTATTTCTAGTCATTTCTGAAAAGCAAATTATGGATTTTATGGCAAATTTTATTATACCGTATATATAATAACACCATGCAAGTTTTTAACAAGAAAAATCGCAGTTTTCTTCGCTCGTTACTTTATCAATTACAAAGGTAGGTAAGTAAAAGTGAAATAATAGTGCTTTTTTTACAGCTGAAAAATAACGACTTGAACAATAATCTCAGCATGATCACCATTTTTATCATTCTCTTCAAAACCTGAAGTAGTTTCATTTGTTTTTTCATTTCTACGACACAAAACAAACAAATTTCTCTTCTTTCTTATCAAATACAAACGTCATGTTAAAAAGCAAACCTTCATTTCTTTTATCTTCCTTTACAGTTCTACGTTTACGAGGTGTTGGCTTCGGCCGTGGTGATAGCTCACTCGCTATTGGCTTATCATGTTTAACCTCGTCATCACTCTCGGTCCCATTCTTTCTCGGCGGTCGTCTAGGTCTCGGCAATGGACGGTGTTGTTTCGTTATGTCATCATGATCTCCTGAAGATGACAAAAATAACCATCAGTGGATGGTTTATACAATAAAACATAATAAAACATAGTTTACTTTTATTTGTAATAACTGGCAGCGTTGACTTATCGAGTGAAGTGATTGTTTTTTCATTATTATTGTCGAGTAGATCTTGATTTTTCTTTGAAGTAATACCGATGGTTGCCCCAAGTGGTGGAAGAGATCGATGAAGAGGAGGTAAGGAACTTTTTATATTCGTCGTGTCGTGCTGCAAAAAATAGATGAAAATTTATTTGTATTTGAACATTCATAAATAAGTAAAATAGAGAGTTTTCATAATCACCTCCAATTCCTTCATCCTTCTCTTATCACGAGGTGACATTCCATGAGCAGGGATGGTGTGGGATAATCTAGGACCATCAGGTACATCTTCACCATAGTTATCCTCCTGTGTTATACTAATATCCTGACCATCTCCAACGTTATCCCTTTATTCCTAACAGCAACAGCCAACATATGACAACCTCCACAAGACGCTTGCTCGACATAAAAATCTTTAAGTCTCGAAACTCGAGCTGGTTCAAACAAATTTGAGAAACAATCATCGCCCATTGCTAGTTTACCATGCCGCCCGTCACCAAACGTAAACAATTTGCCATTTTTTGTCAACACTGCCGTATGATCTGCACCACAAGTAACGAAAGTAAAAATTCTCCTTGACGTAATGTAACCTGCTTTGGTAACACAACATCATCGTAGAAAGGACCGTGACCTAACTGACCGTATTTTCCAGAACCGAATGTTAAGAGAGCACCGCAATCATTTATGACAGCGGTATGATTTGCTCCACAAGAAACACAAACTACTGCCTTAGTTACTGTCTTTACATGTTGTGGTTCTACTGTACTATGACATTGATCAGCTTCTAAACCGAGTTTTCCATGATCATTGTCGCCAAATGTAAACAATCTACCATCGACTGAAAATAACGTAAGAAAATTGATCGTTAAATTTTATGTATTTTACAGATATAATGTTTTAATATTTTATCTCAGGTTTAAGAAAAAACATCAATGAAAAAATTCACATTTTAATTTAACGAAGTAAATACTTTTACCTGTAACAAACGCTGTGTGGTAATATCCACAAGAGACTACTTGAATTTTGATTTAAATTTCAACAGCACTGGTCGTTCACATTCATCCACACCAATCCCCAATTGTCCCTCACTGCCAGATCCCCACACATATAATTCACCATTATCTAAGAAATGGTGAAAAAATGTTAATTTCATCACTAGAATGGTGCTCAGGAAAAGAGAGAATTTTTACCAGTTACTGCAGCAGAATGTTCAGCTCCACAGGAGATCTGCGTGACTAATTTATCATTGAAATCTTGAATTTGAGTAGGAAGATTACAGCTCTGAAATATACATGTAAAAAATACATTACAATAAAAGAATTTAGTAATGTATATCATTGAGCATAAAATTATTTATTTATATCATATAAACTAGAGACAAGAGATTATGCAGACTTAGATGACAAAATTATGCAGACGAGATTGATGACTCTCACACTCACATCAACAAACAGAACAGCCACATACAATTTACCAAAGATGTCGAAGAAAACGGAGCTCTTCCTTTTCTCGACTGTTTGGTAAAACATGACAATCAAAAACTACGAACAACAGTTTATCGCAAACCAACACATACTGACCGACTACTAGACCAATCATCTTACAACCCTACATCACACAAAGCCACCACAATCAGAACATTAACAAGACGTGCACAAATCATATCTGATTCACCGGACGCTCTACAGAACGAAAACAACTATGTCAAACGTGTTTTTGACAAAAACAACTATAACTCTGACTTTATCAAACGCAACACTTACAAACCCAACGAAACAAACAACTCAGTGACAACAGCAACAATACCTTACAGCATTTAAACTATTAAAAAACAACTGCTTATAAAGCAACCTACTACATACACACTTTATAAAGAAAATTAAAAGTTCATGAACTTTTAAACTTTGGCTTATTGATTCATTACCTCACATTCGCCGTGACCAAGTTGACCATCAGCACCATCACCAAAACTAAATACTCCAGCTTCTGTAAAAAATAGCCATGAATGCTATTCAACTGTAAATCGTTTTATCTTGTGAAAGAAACATGGAAATTTTCTATACCTGATACAACCAATGTATGACTTCTACCACAAGCAACTGATTTGACTACATCTCCTTTAAATTCTAGGCAAACAATCAAACAAATCAATTATTACCAGAGCATTAAAAGAAATATCAACCAAATTATGATCACTTACTTTTAACTGTAGTAGGTCTTGTGTAAGGTTTGTTATTGCCGTGTCCCAACTGACCCCAGTTGTTGCTGCCAAATGTGAACAGTCTACCTTTGCCTAAAACAATCATCAAATCTGAACTATACGAAAATTAGAAAAGTTAACTAATATTAAAGACGAAAGTAAAAGCAAAAGAAATCATCATACTTGTTATAACAGCAGAATGTTCATCACCACAGGCAACCTGTAAAATTTTATCATCTCGAATCCAAAACTTATTCGCTAAATTTTCCGCGAATTTGGTTTTGCCGAAGGTGAAGATGGCTCCAGTTTCTATAACAACGACAACAAAATATTTTCAAACGAAACCAAGGTCTAACACGACTCAATAATTCTTTGGATACAAAGCGCTATAGTTTGAAATCACTATTATAGTAAAATTGAAATAAAATAATGATTTATGTCGTTAAAAACAAACCAGGAATATCTTCGTCGTCCGACGCCATATTTTGATATTTACATAGATACCACTGTTTCCCATCTACCAGAATAAGTTAATATTGATTCCTCACATTGACCAATTGACCATATCCAAATAATCTAATGGTAGTGTAGTTTTTGGATTCATGATGAGTTTAATGCGAAATACTGTTAGAAAAGCATTGCCTTCAATCTTTCGCGTCTTTTCATTGAAGAACGAATATGTGGCTAGCCAACACAGCAAGAAATTCTACAGCAACGACAGGTATATAACGTTATAAAATTGGTAGTTTTGAAATGTTTAGAGAGCAAGATTTAATCCTTACATCGTGTATTATGTCAGCTTGGATAGCTTTGATGATAATCCTTACTCCTTTGTTAATGAAACGTTCCTGTCGATGAAGGGGAGAAATGAACTAGAAATTAAACATTTGCTATGGATAGCGGCAGATTTAAAGGAAAGAATCAAAAATGGAACGAGGTATTATGTACATTATACTTTACTAAGGTACTAGAAGTTAATAAGCTTCACAGATTACAAAACCAATAATCTTATTATTTTAATAACAAATGCATACTTTCAGACCATCAGACCATTGGAGGGTAAGAGCGTTGCATTAATTTTCAAAACGAAGTACAAGAACAAGGGTATCGACGGAAACAGGTTAAAACATCAAAATAATATCGAAGTAAATTAATTAAAATTACGACTGTCAAAAAGTAAATAATTAATTAACGTGAATGAACGGTTAATGTGGATCTCATTTTTAATTTGTAATTTTTGAAAAATTCACATTTTCTACAGATGATAACATGGAACATTCGTTGAACGCTTAGAATAAAATGTTTACTTTGTAAAGAGTGTCAATTGTATTGTGTTTTTAATAAATTAACTTCTAACTTTTTCTTATTTTTCAAATAGGAGTTGCATTACTGGGAGGACATCCTTTATTTTTGACAGAGAATGATATTCATTTGGGTGTAAGTGAATCACTTTCAGATACAGCAAGGTACTAACAAAAATATTATTGTTATAAAATTTATTTTCACCATTTAAAGCTAATTGTACACTACGTATAATTACTCATTTGAAGGTTTAAAATAATGTTTTGTCGTTGTTTCAATGTTAATTGTATTATTTGTAGAAAGCACACTAGCAACAACTGTATTGCTTACCTTAAACTTTTCTTCAGGGTATTATCTGGATTTGTTGATGTAATTCTTGCTCGAGTGAATGATCATAATGATTTAGAAACTCTGACTAAAAGTGCTTCAATTCCTGTTGTCAAGTAAGTTTTAATAATATAAATTGCTTAGGAAGAGATCATTTTTAATTTTACATTGTGGTAAGTTTACAGTTTCATTATATACCTTATTTTAGTGGTCTTTCAGATGTGTTTCATCCTTTGCAAATACTGGCAGACTTTCTTACTTTACAGGTGACAGCTTACTTAATAAGTGTTCTTGTCTTCTGTTCTTCTTCATTTGCATCTATTTTCTTCCTCAGTTCTCTCGAGATCCTTCTTTTCCATTTTATCTTATTGTCCTGAGTATATTTTGGTCTTACATCTTCTTTCATTTTCCTGACTTTTAATTTGCTTCTCTTCTTCTTCTTCATCAAATTAGGAACATTATGGATATCTTGATGGATTAAATATTGCATGGATTGGCGATGGTAACAATATTGTACATTCATTAATGATGGCTGCTCCTAAAGTTGGAATCAACCTAAACATTGCTACACCAAAGGTTCTTGAAGCCCAATCTATTTAAAAAATGAAAAAAATGTTAACACTTGTTATGAACACGTAGGGTTACGAGCCACAGGCAGACTTGAGAAGGGAGTGCAGTAAATTTGCAGAAGAGGTTAGGCCCATTATCGACTGAAATGTATTTAATAAATTTGTGACAAGAAATATATCTCCTAGCATGGCACTACAGTTAACTACACGTCTGATCCTCGTGATGCATGTCATGGTGCCAATGTAATTGTTACAGATACATGGGTCAGCATGGGTCAGGAGACCGAGGCTGAACAAAGGTTTAAGGATTTCAAAGGATATCAAGTGAATCAAGACGTATGTAAATAGTTCATTTCAACTTACACACATTTAAAAATTGTCAATGTTTTAATGGTAAATTTTTAGCTGGTAAACTTGGCAGCCAAAGATTGGACATTCTTGCATTGTCTACCTCGCAAACCATATGAAGTTTCTGATGAGATATTTTATTCTGATCGTTCATTGGTTTGGCAAGAAGCTGAAAACAGAAAATGGACAGTCATGGTTTGTCATAAGAAAGCTCACTCTTTTCATTATAGTTGTTATTTTAAAATATTTTTTGCAATTCTTCTTGCAGTCAGTGATAGCAAGTTTGGTGAAAGATCTTGAGCCAGAAATACCTGTTCCTGTATGGAAAAAATAAATGACAACATTTCAATGATATTCATTACACTTGTGGTAGTGGAAAAATTATCATCACTTAACTCATTTCTTTTGATTGTTTCTTTGCGTTTGAAGCTGGTCATTGTATGGTTAAATGGTGATTTATTTACTGGAATAGTGCTACAATATCCAGCAAGTTGGTGGAAAAACAAAACCAGTGTGCGAATTAACGGTGTGCAATGTGCAATTTGCACATCGTTTTAGCTAAAATGAAAACAATTGCACATCACTTTTTCAAACGATGTTCAAAAATCAGCGGTTTTAACGAAAAACACTGTCGTAAATCATATGAATTTGGTCACCTTTAAAAATATTAATTTGGCAATTAGCGCTCTATAATAAATAACGTAATATCGATTTGATTATGCCTCTAAAGAAACACTTTTGTCAAAAAAATTGCACATCGTTTTTTCTGAACTAATTCGCATGCTGAACAAAACTGCAAAATTTATGAAGCTGTGTGCTTCGTATGCAGCTACCTTATTTTTGAGACATTTAATTTATATCATACTTACAACACATTTTATCCATTACAATTCCTTAATAACACATTTTATCCATTATAATTCCTTAATGAGAACACATTTTATCCATTATAATTCCTTAATGACGACACATTCTACATTTCGGCAATTTATCATTGCATAATTGACGAGTCTCAACACAAAAATATTTCTAAGAACTCAATTGTCATTAATACATACAGTTCAAATCAATAAAGTACACCACTAACTACTAACTTACATTAAATAATTAAGGTAATACATGAAAAAGTATTAAACTTATTAAACATTGCAATATTTAATGCACAAGTGGAGATGGCTAAATTATGATTTTAATATTTGAGAAAATTGTTTTTTAATGTTTTCGATGTAAAAAAGTGATTTAACCAAATTCCACAATAAAAATCTACCTGTATGAATATGTTAAATTGTCTCTCATACAGTGCTCAATTTGACAATACCAAGTTCACTTTCCTCAGACAATAAATTTCCTTGGTCATTATTTGATTGATAATTAGACATGAGAGGTTTCCTTTGCTCAGATAAATTATTAGCATCGCTTGTACTACTGACACCTGTGGGTTCCGTACACGTGGTCTGCATGAGAGAAGTTACGGGTGTTGCAGGCTAAAGAGAAAAGTTCATTCATGTATTCATTACTGATAACAAGAATATTTATACTTCAATAATGATTCCTGAAAATATTCCCAATTTACAAACACCTGTTGATTTGTAGCAACCGAGCCATACTGTCCTTGCCAGGCATTTTCACTTGGATCTGGAACCACAACACCTCTGAGATCTAGCAAGCTTTAAAATATTTGTAATGGTAACATTGAGCAAAGTTGAGAATAATTTTAAAACATTTCTCCAGCAAATTTTATTGTACCTTGGTTTCACAGGCGCACACAAAAGTTCAATACAATTCGCCCACACTGATCCCCTACTGTACGGATTGTACATATTTTGTCCTCGGCGAGATGAAAATGTCCCTTTGATCTGAAATAAAATTTTCTTAAATGAATTAAGAAGGTCTCTATGACAATCCATAATATTTCAATTTGCTCACATCTTCATTTGTCGTCTGATTGGTTGCCACTAGGTAACTATGGAAACCGGCTAAGCCGAGGACCGACCAAATAGAAAAGAAACAGACAATGGCCTCTAGTATGGTATGATAGGTTAAGAAAAGTTTAAGTACAAAATATATGAGGTCAAATATACAATCCACATATGAGAAGAATTTGAAGGATATCTAGCTGGAGAAGTTTTCAAAGCATGAAGAAAACTACCTTCATCTTTTGACACTGAAATCATATGTCAATATAAAAATCATCATTACTTATGAAAACAACCTGACATGATTAAAATCAAGAGGTATGTAAGGAAATGAGAAACACTTACATAGAACTAAGTGCAGAATAACAAATGAAAAGATGTACACACAATAAATTGATAAAGAAACTAAAAACAGATAGAAAAATCTATAATTCCTTTCTCCAACACAATTTCCAACCTAAAGTAAAGAGTAATGGTAGTTAAAAAGAGGTTAGTTGCAGTAACAACATCAATAGAACATACCCATGGACAATGATGATCAAAACGATCTAAAATAAAATATAACATTGATATAATCCACGACAAGGTAATATTTACTTAACATTACAAAACTCACCAACGCAGTTGTCACACATGCTACAATGTGATGCCCTCGGTGGACGAAATATTTTACAAGTAAAACAATATTTCAATTTCACGTTTTGCCCATTCACAGTAATGTCTCTTGTTCGTGCTGGTGGACGATAGCCTTGGGATTGACTTACTTCCAATGCTATATTTAAAAAAGCTGGTATTTAAACTCCATCAATAGCTTCTCAATTTTCAGATTTAATCTTACCAATGTGTTTTTCAACATATGCAGCCTCTCAGGTGAGGCTCTTGGAATAATTCCTGGATCTATAAAGCTGCTCTTGCTAGAGCTCCCAATGAAAAGAGGAAGAGCCACGCAGCAATAAATGGTACAGCCTTTGAAACATTCTTATATAGGTAAGGAGAGCTATATAAATAAGATATGATTTATTTAAGAACTTGTATGATACAGAAAATTTCAAACTAATAAACTACTTATTAACTTCCAAACAAAATTAAAGCAAAAGTGTTAAGTTCCTCAGTAAAACATATAAACTCTTGCTGAATGATATTAATAATTAAATAAAAATCAGTACAAAAAAAAGTTAAAATGCGCAATAATTATAAATTTGTAAAAAAAAATACTTCTATGCGTCTGTTTATATAGAAATATATGAAAACGAAAAAATGAACTTACTCGAAAACAAAAAATAATATGCTTGTTGATATTATCAAAAATGCAGTGAACATACAAACACCATTTGCCTTTGCCATTATAAATCTTCCATCAAGGTAAAATTTGTTTCTACCAGGAAACTCTTCCCATTTTCGTTTCGGCGACATCTTTTGCAGCGCTTCGTATTTATGAGTCATAAGTTCATAAAGATGAAACCATAATGTTGACAAAGTACGGAATATTTTTTAACTGGATAAAATACAACCTAGACACTCCATTTTTGCGTAAAGTTACCACGTTTTTCAACCGCTGAATACACTTTCAATATCTTCGGGTGCTTTTCGCCAATTTATATCGGTATTCAATCAAGGAAATCATGAAAGTTAGAGGAATTTTGATCAAAACAATATTTCTAGCTGTGAAAACAGATGGCTTGCCTGCCAGTGCCAGGTCAACCGATGAAAATTACTACAGTATAGGAGTCTGGGATCTAGTGTTAGACAATGACGTCATATTTCCTAGTTGACCAATTCTTCTCCCACAAGAATTATGAACAATGGCTTTGCTAGGTGTTAATTATTTCCAAAAATTGTTCAAAAATGTATATCGTAGTCTAAGTTCGATACCTCCATTAACTAATGAGATATATCCTGAATTAAAGCGTGGAGATTATAAAGTAGTCGATGAGGAAGATCTAGAGAGTTTCACCAACATTCTAGATGTTCATCGTGTAATAGAGGGTGCAGAGGAAATTGCAACAAGAAATATGGACTGGCTTAAGTCTATACGGGGTCAGGGTAAGGTGTTGCTGAAACCCAAAACAACACAAGAGATTTCTAAAATTCTGTCTTATTGCAACAGTAAAATGATTGCAGTTGTTCCTCAAAGTGGTAATACAGGATTAGTTGGTGGAAGTACACCAATCTTTGATGAAGTAATTCTTTCATTAGAATTAATGAATGAAATTATTAGTTTCGATACTGTATCTGGTATATTGACATGCCAAGCTGGTTGCATCTTAGAGAAAGTTGATCAATTCTTATCAGAAAAAGGTTTTGTAATGCCTTTGGATCTAGGTGCTAAAGGAAGCTGTATGATTGGTGGAAATATTGCTACTAATGCTGGTGGTCTCAGACTTCTACGCTACGGATCACTTCATGGAACAGTGTTAGGTCTTGAAACTGTCCTTCCTAATGGTCAAATAATTAATACACTGTCCACAAGTAGAAAGGATAATACTGGCTATCATCTAAAACATATGTTTATTGGTTCCGAAGGTACTCTTGGGGTCATTACAGCGGCGTCTATATGTGTCCCTTACTCATCCAGATCGGTCAACTTGGCCATGCTGGGATGCGAAAGTTATGAAGACCTTCAAATGATATTTAAAGCAGCGAAATCAATGCTGGGAGAAATCTTATCTGCGTTTGAAATGATGGATAAAGAAAGTGTGAAAGTAACAGAAGTTCTTAATATGAGTAATCCAATACAAGAGAGCCCATTCTATGTTCTAATTGAAACATCTGGTTCTAATGCAACACACGATGAAGAAAAATTGACAATGTTTATGGAATGGTTGATGAATGAGAAACTTGTTCAAGATGGTACAATTGCTACTGATGGCCAGAAGATCGCAAGTATCTGGGCAGTACGAGAGAATATAACAGTAGGACTTGTTCAGTTAGGTTATGTATATAAATATGACATATCAATACCTGTTCCAAGGTTGTATGATATTGTTGAAGATCTTCGAGAGAGGATTGGTAATGAAGTTCTAATTGTATCAGGATATGGTCACATTGGAGATGGTAATCTTCATCTTAATATTGTCACCAAAGACTATGATGTTAGAATTCACCATTTACTTGAACCTTATATATTTGAATGGGTACAGAAGTGTGGAGGAAGCATCAGTGCTGAACATGGTGTAGGAATGAAAAAGACAAAATATCTTCACTATTCTAAAACTCCCGAAGCCATTAATATCATGAAAGATTTAAAGAAAATGTTTGATCCGTATGGTATACTAAATCCCTACAAAGTCCTTCCATCAAAAAGCTAACTGACTCGTAAAAGTATTAAATTACAACTGCTTTCAGAATTAGAATATACAAATTTGTATTTTGTTGTTAATGATTGACAGTTGAACTATCCATAAATCACAAAGCTGTACCATCAGTGGCATAGCCAGCCAGTTAAATTCTACTGTGAAAATACTTTGGTGTTAAATTTCTGCATATATTTGAGTCTATAACCAACTTGCAGCCTGGCTAAGCCACTGGGTACTCTGTCTTAAATCCTTGCAACTTAAACAAGTCAAGGTTAATATTTAATATAGTAACCACGTTTCTAACAACAACAAAATGGTTTCACATCAAGTTGTTAAAAAATGAGAATGATGTTAATCTGAATCTGACAAGATTTCAGTCACTGGGGGAGGTAAAAGCAAAGGCCTGCAAGGCGGACCTGAAAAGTATATAGAGTAAAAATAGAGTCAATATAGAAAAACCAAGTAGTATAGTTATGTTTTTCTACTTACATCAAAATACGTACATACCTTGTAAAGTGAAAGTTACTCCACCGCGTCTTCTGCGTCTGGAAACAATCCGTCGATCGCTGTCAAACGAGCTTTATAAAAATGTATCATGAATGATTAATGTATTAAAAATTTCAAAGGTTTCTTATACGTACATTGATTTCGAACGTAGAGAGTTGGATGGAAGGGAGAAACTTCTTTGTTGAAGTGATAAAGCTTGAAATATACGTTCATCGCTTGTTTTCGAAGGTAAAGAATAACTGCGATGTTGTCGTGATGAATCTCTGATTGTTGATGGCTCTTTTAATGATTGTGCATGAAAAATATTTTCTTGTCGTAATGAAGTAGATGGTTCTTTTTTTTCTTGTGATTGGTTAGCGGAAGATGTCGCGTATTGATGAACGATATTCTGGAATTGTTGATCATCTTTACTAGACATGTTGACGGTATTCTGCACATCATCATCGACATCTTGTAGTCCAACATTTTCTTGTGATTGGTCAGCAGAAGATGTCGCGTATTGATGAACGACATTCTGGAATTGTTGATCATCTTTACTAGACACGTTGACGTTATCCTGCACGACATCATCGACATCTTGTAGCAGTCCAACATTTTCTTCAACATTTTCAGACTGCTCCTTTTCGGTTGATTGAAAATGTGAAAGACGTTTGGCAGTACGTCTTATGAAAGATAACAAATCTGTTACTTTGAATGACAGCTTTTCTAAAAAGATTTAATACAACATCTTTAGTAGCTGATGATGTAAAAACTGCCTATTACATGAACATACGAGTCGCATCCTTCCAAGGAGGCTTTTATGTCGGGCTGTGAATCCGTGGGCTTCAAATCATTTTCTTCATCACAAGGTGGGTACATATAACGATATATTATCCAAAACCACGTTAGCAATAAAGTAAAGCTGGTAAGAGAAAGACCCTACACATGTAATGTTAAGAAAAGTAACTTGAAAAACAGGTGAAGACTCAGGAAATTAAGAAGTTTCCCATCTCTGAAATATAGAGAAATTACAGTGAAAAGGATACAACTATCATAAAACGTTTCTGTAAATGATAAGATAAGAAAGGTTTTTTTCTCGTCCTTACATTACACCAATCATTAACAAACTTTGGATCGCCCAAAGGAACATTGGATGTATCTGTTTTCCAACCATCATCGCAAACACAAATATCACCAGCACGTTGACCATGGTTACAGCGAATTGTATTCTATTAATAAATGATAGCTTTAAAAACCGGGGGCGTTGGAACGTTTCTGTAATTGGGGGTGAGACTTATCAGGGTGGATTCATCACAGCAGAAAAAAATTTGGAGCCGATATGTTGATGGAAACGATTTTCAAAGCATTTGTAATGAAAGTATAGCCTCCCCCTATCTCCTATAGCCTCCCCCTATCTCCTATAGCCTCCCCCTATCTCCTATAGCCTCCCTATCTCCTATAGCCTCCCCTATCTCCTAGCCTCTCCTATCTCCTATCTCCTCCTCCCTATCTCCTATAGCCTCCCCTATCTCCTATAGCCTCCCTATCTCCTATAGCCTCCCCTATCTCCTATAGCCCCTATCTCCTATAGCCTCCCCTATCTCCTATAGCCTCCCCTATCTCCTATAGCCCCTATCTCCTATAGCCTCCCTATCTCCTATAGCCTCCCTTATCTCCTATAGCCTCCCTTATCTCCTAAAGCCTCCCCTATCTCCTATAGCCTCCCCCAGTCCCTCAATACGCATCATCATAGCGAGCAATGAGAAAAAGTATATGAGAAGAAACATTTTTCTACAAAAAACGAGATGGAAAAATTCACCAAAATCGTCAAACAAAATGAAGTTGAAAATTTAGTCGAAACCTTATCATCGGGACCATTATGTGAGTATTTTCTTTCTCTGCATCGTCCATGCGACGTTTCATGTGTCTCTTCATATTTTCCTCCTCTTCTCGACTTAGTTTTTTTTGTGTTAAACTTTTACATTTGTTGTGATCTTTATCAAACGCCTTTGAAAAGAAATTTGGAGGAAAAACAGTCAACACACAAGTGAAAATAGTTATGAGTACAATTTAAATGGTAAATTTCACCGTTGTGGGTAATCCATCTTCATCTTTACTGGTAAAACATTCATGAACCGGCTCGCATAATTTTGTTTCACGACGGAAGAAATTTCTTTTACCGTTATATTTTTGCACGCAGTTTACTGGTTTGCACTTCTTTCTGGGATCCTAAAGTAAAATATGAGAGAAAATGAGATTTTTCAACTACAAGTTGTCCTTTATGAAAAAAGTTTGAGTTATTTTATACGTCGTACAATCATACTAAACATGCTTATGTAAGTTCCAACTTATACAGTTTGCCCTAGTTTACTATCAATCTTTATCATATTATATGAAATCCATGTTTGTAAATGTAGATCGTCCAGGTTGGTATAGTCCTGAGAAGGACTGTTTTTGTTGTTGTTGACTGACGTTTCGATAACCTTAGCGGTAGTCATCTTCAGAGTCATCTTCAGAGTCAATTGATGTTAAAATTTATAAAATATTTGCATTTTTTGTTTATGTTTTATGTTTGAGCAATGGGTTACCTGTGGTACAACACCCAAGCACCTTCGTAAACTGTCTAACGTTACGTCACGAATATCTTGACCAGCTATTAATATCTTTCCTTGAGAAGGATCGAAGAATCGATAAAGCAGACGTACATTTGACTCTGAAGATGACTACCGCTAAGGTTGTCGAAACGTCAGTCAACAACAACAAAAACAGTCCTTCTCAGGACTATACCAACCTGGACGATCTACATTTACAAACATGTAACGATACTGCCGGGTTCAAACATTTACTTTATATGAAATCCAGTAGAAGTTATAAAACAACCTTTTCCGGCCGAGAATTTGAAGAAACATAAGTTAAAACATAATCCAGAAAACATCATTTTGGCTTGATAATCACAAAAAAAAAGTTGAAACATCGCTTTTAAATCACGTCTCTTGCACATATGACGCAAATTTTGAGTTTACAAGATGTTTTTTTGGAGTAGCTACGTATAATTTATCGTATAAATTACACAATACATTACCAAATCCACTGTTTCACATTTTTTGGTATTATTCTCTCCTCCAACAAAAGAATCTATGATATATATTAAAATAAAGTACATCACAATAATATTTCATTGACCAAACGTAAATTTTCTTACTGTAAAAAGATCCCAACAGTGTTTTGTCGTCTTTCTCTCCATAAACCGTATTGAAGCGTATTGTGTGAGCAAATTTGCTTTTTTTATCCCACAAATGAAACACACAATAACCAATTCTGTCCAAAGGATACTAAAATTAAAAAATGTCAAACAAAGGATTTAAGAGATGAGGGAATTCATTTCATGCACTCCATTATCAAATAATGCTTTTCAAACTTTACCAAATTCGTAAAAAGGTAAGTTATGTTTGCTTTTCTTGAAGGCTCTAGTGTTACAGTCATTCCGCCATGCAAATCCATGGACTGAAACAGGAAAAACACGACTTTAAATTGAATTGAATTTTAAGGATATTGCAGCGTTGAAAACACATTTTTTGTACATCACAATCCTTTTTTCCTGAGATTCCTGGATGATTCCAACAACATTTTATGTTTTTGATTGTACCTTTTTCGTACTCACGCCGGAATTCGCCACAGTCATAACTGAAAAAAAATATGTCCGTTAATGAATGACAGCAATACTGTCCAATATATATAAGACTGTTTACCGTTTATATAAGACTGTTTACCGTTTAAGAAATACTTACAAAACACAACTGCGATCTCTCCTGGCTTTGCTTTCGAGTGTCCAGATTTCTAAAGAAGTCTAATGTTCAACTTTGGGTCTTTTCAAGGATCCATCAATCTAAAAAGTTTACTACAAACCTCGACGTAAAAGTTGTCAAATTCAAGGGAATTTACAAAAGGCAAAACAGAAATATAAACCACAAAGTATATAAGCGCAGCATACACGTTCATTTCAGTTCGAAAATGGTTTGAAATACAAAAAAATAGTTTGTATTTTTGAAATAAACACTGACATTTTCATAGTCCTTCTTCCTCGTTACTTTTGGCGCCAAAATTTAACACTTGACCCAGGCCCCTAGTTTGCTCATCATAAATATCCCTCCATATCCCTTAAGCTCACGACATTTGTTGAAAATTTCATAACTGGTGGAGCCGGCATAGTAGTTTCAACCATTTTTTTGGCGGGGGTACACACTATACATACATTTGATGTTAACAACATTTTAAAAATATTACGTATATATAAAGAACATAGTATGGAAAATATGGAAGGGCATTGTCCACCTTGCAGTTGCAAGCGCATTTACACCAAAGTATCCAAAACGTCAAGTAATTATTATTAAATAATTTTAATAACATAATTTAATAATATAATTTTAATAATATAATTCTAATAATTAAATATTATTAATTATTATTAAAGAGTTCAAACTTCAAAAGATAAATTACGGGTAGAAACTTGTCAGCTCATCTGTTAAGATAAATTAATCAAGGAAGTTCTATGTACCTGTGAACCAAGATTTCACAGCATTGTATACAGGGGGGATACATTGTTCACAGCATTGTATACAGCATTGTAGGCAGGGGGGAAGGTATGGAGAAAAATAAATGACAATGCAAACGTGTGAGATGTTAAAAATTTCTTTCAATTTATTCTTCACCGGCATGTATACATCTGTTTTCATTGTCATTTTTCATACCAACGATGATTTTCTTACATGAATAAAGAAATATCACCAATTTCTGATGGTTGGCGTTTTCCAAACAACGATGTAAATAATTCGTTTCTAAAGAAAAACAATAGAGAAATCTTAACAATAAAGATCATACAAAGATTATATATTGCAGTAAAATATAATATAATATAAACCTTGATGAATCTGTCATTGTTCCTTTTTGTTGAGGTGCCATAAAACTCACGAGCTTCGAATGTATATCGTACCTTTTAAAGAATAAATGAAACTATCTATTTAGCCATTTATACAGTATATACCAAACTTTATAAAATGAAAAAACAATAGAACGCATGCGCTGATTAGCTGCGTTTTAGCCGGGGCAAAAAACATCTGACCTCAACCAATTAAATCAACCAATCAATCAAAGAGAATTTGCAAATCAATCATGAACACATTTTCAGGAAAAATTAAAACGTTTGCTTTCGAGTTCTTCCAAAAGGTCTCTTGCATTAGCCTGAGCAAACACATAAAACATCTTTCATTCCTTAAATCCATCTATACACCAAATTAACAATCTATATACCGAACTATCCATCTATGTACACAATTATATGTTTGTAGATCTTGATCCTGCAGGTCAGTGCAGTCCTGAGAAAGATTGTGCTGACTGATGTTTGAACATCATTATTTGAAGTCACTTTCAATTGACTCATTTCAACTTGATTCTGATGAAAAATAAAATTGTGAAACGTCAGTCAACATCAACAAAAACAGTCCTTCTCAGGACTATACTTACCTGGACGATCTACATCTACAAACATGTAACGATACTCCCGGGTTGAAAACATTTACTTTATACCAAATTATCCATCAAACAATAAAATTCATAATTCACGAACCTTAATCTTCTTCCTTTACTCGCTTTAGTGTCAACCTTTCTTTTTACTTTATTTCTTAAACGTTGCACTTCAAGCCATTGTCTAAAACAATAAATAACCAAATACGACTTATAACAAACACATCATATGTACCCACTGTGAAATTTATACATAAACTTTTGTGTCACCTTCCCATTGTAACTGAATCATTAGGATCAACACCAGATTTTCTTTCGATAAATTCTCTAAGTAGCTGTAGAGAAGACAAGATTCATGTTACAGTATAACTATAGGGCTACATTCGAAATTAATGACCTCAATGGGCGGCTAATTTTAGGGAGGGAGAGGCTTAGTTTGGGAGGTCGCTTAGTTTGGGAGGTCGCTTAGTTTGGGAGGTCGCTTAGTTTGGGAGGTCGCTTAGTTTTGAGTTGTTTATCTCAGCATTGGTTAACTTCTGTCGTTAAATATTAATCAACGTTACCGGTATATATAAAGTATTTTTCAGTCTGTTTAAAGTTGTGGTAGGTTGTGGTAGTTGATACTAATGTACATGAACGTCTTAATTGGATAATGAAGGATATAAGTTCTATAAAGAGTACGTTTACTTTTGAGAGGACGGTTGCGTTAGGGGCCTGGGGGGGAGGCAACTTTCAAGACTCAACGTTATTTCACATCACAACATAAAATGTCATCTTACAAGTGTTTACTGATAGCATTCCATTTAAAATAAAACTGTACCTGGTGATAAAAATCATCATCATCAAATACTTCTGTATCGTAATCTTTCAAATGTACATCACGTTGGTTCTAAATACATCAAGAACCCTTAACATCCCTTAAACGATCACACAATTCCTCGCTTTGTTGTTAAACACATTAACATTCATAGAATTAAGAACATAATGACCGGAAATTTTGGTACGAATTTCAGTGAATCGTACCCGCTTACGTACCATAGAATTATCATTGATATTATCTTCAAATTTTCCTAAAACTCTGTACGAACTTCTCTTTAGTTGAGTTCTTTTGATGAGTCTATCTTTATCCTTGAGAATCTAAATGATACGTTCATAGCTGAGTTAAATTGACGAAAGATTTTCTTCCTTCCATGAATGTTTGCATCAAGATAAGAAAGAGAAATCAATGTAACGTTTTTTTAAATTACTGACCTGTCGTATTTGGTTTAAAGTTGATCTTTCAAATGTACTAAATGACTACAAGATAAAAACATTATAATCAAATATTCGCAACATCGAATTATCTCTTCAATATCCCAACGTTGTTCCTAACAATCCCTAACCTTGTTCCTAACAATCCCTCTTGTTAACTCCTAACCTTGTTCCTAACTCAAGTTGTTCCTAAAACCCTAAGTTGTTCCTAACAATCCCCTTGTTCCTAACAACTCCCTAACGTTGTTCCTCCCTCCTAACTCCCTCCTTGTTCCTAACTCCCTAACGTTGTTCCTCCCTTGTTCCTCCCTAACCTTGTTCCTTGTTCCTAACCCCTGTTCCTCCTTGTTCCTCCCTAACCTTGTTCCAACTCCCTAAGTTGTTCCTCCCTCCGTTGTTTCCCTCAAGTTGTTCCTCCTCCTGTTCCTAAACTCCCTCAAGTTGTTCCTAACTCCCTCAAGTCCTAACACTCCTGTTCCTACTCCTAACACTCCCTCAAGTTGCTTCCTAACACTCCCTCAAGTTGCTCCTAACACTCCCTCAAGTTGTTCCTAACACTCCCTCAAGTTGTTCCTAACACTCCCTCAAGTTGTTCCTAACAATCCCTTACCTTACTGCTAACTTTCCCTGCAGCAAGTTGCGTTTTTTCATTCCATTTTTCAATTGTCGAGTCTTGAAAACGTTGAAATGCTGAATGACGTTTTGTTATTTGTGAAGAATAATCTTCCAAAGTCTTCAATAAAACAATAATGATTTATTCACTAAAATTTCCCATTTTAAAATTATACTGTAAACAAATTTTCACTCTCTTAAACAAAACATAACCATTAACTTTAAGAAAATAAAATATCAAAGAATAAAATTTTACCATATTTAACTTTCTCTTCCTAGGTAATATGAAATCATCTTTCTCTTCATCAATCTCTAAATCATGGATGGTTTCACTTCTCTGTTCATCAACATCACTAGGAATATCTTCATCATCATCATCTTGGTCACGTGACTGGTCACCAGTCTTCTCCAATGTTTTCATCAAATCATTGTTACTTGCATATAATGATTGTTGTAATATCAACATATTGTGCAGCAAGTTTAATAATTTTTGTTGAGCTAAAAAAGAAATATTTTTGGTGTAGTATGCGATGATTCTACAAGTTTCATAAATATTCTCAAAAACTTACTATTATATAGTGGATCCTTAATCTGACTGACACCAATTTCATTTATCTTTTTGTACATTTCACATTGAGGTAACTTGTTAACATCAACCAACATCTTTTGTAATCTGATACGATTTTCCAACATACTGTCCCATAGGGCTATAGCAATTTCATGAATGGTTTTCATTTTCAAAATATTTTGCTATTATTTTCTAGTTAAACAACATATGGCCAAGAAAAGTGTGATAAAGTTAAGAAAAGTGTGATAAAGTGTGATAAAGTTATAGCTAAGAAAAGTAGCTAGCTGGCATCAGGATTAATTATAATTTACAAGTTGAAAAGTAGAGTTCACGTTATCATAACTTAGAGAAAGTTTACTTCATTACTATTTAAACAAAACATACCAATTTGGTTAACAACAGCCTTCCTCTTTCAACTTCAGCTTTATTCTGTTGTAATAATGTCCTTAACTCTTCTTCTTGTTCTTTCTCATCTTCTTTTTCTCCTTCTTCCCTTCATCTTCCTCGTCCCCTTCAACTTCTTCTTCTTCTGTCACTTCAACTTCTTCATCTACATGTTCACTTTTTCCAACTTCATTCTCCTCATCCTGTTCACATTGAGCTGATGCTTCGTAACCGCTATCATCAATTTCACTGAATTCTTTAAATTCATCGTCACTTGATGAATCATCCAAATTATATTTTTCACTTAACATGGTCTTAAGATGGTTCTTGTAATTGACATCAACTTCTTCTGAGCCTTGTAAAAACATAAAAAGTTTTACAGTCAGTTCAATTACTTAATAATCATAGGCAAAGATTTGCAAGGTGTAAAGAATATTTCCAATATAAACATTGTGGTCAATATGAATAATAATCTTTGAGACAAAAAAAGGATACCCTGCTTTAAAGATGGCAAACAACATTCAAGCAAGGTTATATGTAAGAAAAAGGTTTTGGTTTGGAGGAATGAGTGTAGTTTAGTATGTAGTAAGCTCTACGTAAGCGGTATGGCACATAAACTACTCCTAATTTTCCCCCCCGTCTTTCCATTTTCCAATAAATCACATACTAAAAATGGAAAAATAATATTTATCACGAAAAAATGCCATTCCATTATTACTAACCATCATCTGTCAGCGGGTCATCGCTATCTTCTTCATTAACATCTTTTCTTGACACTGTCTCTCCAGCGTACCTTGTATCTTTATCAGCCAATAAAACGTCAGTTTTTGCTCTGAAATTACTCTTATTTACTTCGACATTCTCATCAACTTGATCTTTTTCCACAAGTAAAGCGCTAAAATCGTCGTCAAAGCTTTCTAGATCTATCTTCGCTGGCGATGGTTTTGTAAGCCACAATAATTCTTCAGCTAAGGTAGCCATATTACTCTAACACTGAACTTCAGCGAAAATGGAGTGATATCTTTCTCACATGTTTGTCGTTACAAAATAGGTACGCCGTATGTACAAATCCAAAGGATAAATCTCGCGATGAAAAGACTGGACACAAACTGAGAATAACCTGATTTATGCAGTTAAGAATATTATAATTATATATATTTATCGAGTATATTATGTCAATTTTATAGACTATCGTAGTCCAAATTACGTATCATTTAAGACTTATCCATTTTCCATTCTGGATCGAAGTGACTTGAAATATCAGACCAGACCTTGTAATAACTATTGTCAAGCTTTTCTGAGGTTTCAGCTGCCCACTTAGTAACTGCCAAACTGAGACAAGACTCAAACATAAACGCCTAAAAACATAAATTGCATTTTTTGTATAAAGTCCTATACTTTGACTTTCTTTCTACACTTTAAAGTAAATGGTTTGAACCCGGGAGTATCGTTACATGTTTGTAAATGTCGATCGTCCAGGTTGGTATAGTCCTGAGAAGGACTGTTTTTGTTGTTGTTGACTGACGTTTCGACAACCTTAGCGGTAGTCATCTTCAGAGTCAAATGAGGAGTAAACGTCAGGTTAGCCGTTTTGTTATCTGGTTCTTACGTCATTGTATTGTGTGTGCAGGAAATGTGTATTGTCATTGTGAATTAGTGTGAAGTGAAATATTTTTAGTTGTGATGTGTGATTTAGGTGTGATGTTTTTAATTGTAATGTGTGTTTCTACACTTTAATATATGTTTACGCTTCGATTTCGAATACTTCATTAAGAGCAAGTTTAAATGGAGTTTACAATTCTCAAAAACAGCGCAAGGAGAAAGGGTTTTATCTTTACCACGAAATGCATTTTTACAAGTCGTGCTCTTTTGACAAACGATCAATTTTTGCCAAACCACACAGCTTTACGTAAAAATGATGGGAAAAAGAGTTTGGTTCAAAATATAACATTGACAAATGTCATGGCTAACTTTCCCTTTAACTTAACCATGCCTTTCCCCCCTTACTCCCCATCGTCCCTTCAAATATATATTTACGTCACCATTGTGCCATCAGCAACTCTTTGAGGTTTTAAATCTTTAACAGTAGATGCTTTATCAAAACATTGTTTATCTGGACCGTGTGGTGTCATCATACTGTGTAAACTTGCGCCTCCAGGAGCAAAACCTTCTTCCTAAACAACATAAAATAAATCGTCACATATCGTCCGTTCCCGCCATTGACAATACCAAGTAACTTTTATATTAATTTGGTTTTTGTAGCTATAAGCTAAAGTACTTATGTAGAGTAATGGAAATGAATTTTAAATACTCCTGTAAGTTTCATTTAGAAAAATTCCAAAGTATGGAACACTTTAATGAAAAACTTAAACCACAAAAACTTTTAGAAATAATCAAATCAAAAATACCTTTGCTTCGTAATTGCCGTAAATAAGTCCCATAAACTCACTCATGCAATTTCCTAAAATAACACAAGAGAATTGAAAAAGTTGAACAAAGTTGAACATTCTACACGGTAAATGGTTTGAACCCGGGAGTATCGTTACATGTTTGTAAATGTCGATCGTCCAGGTTGGTATAGTCCTGAGAAGGACTGTTTTTGTTGTCAAGCTTCATTTGACTCTGAAGATGACTACCGCTAAGGTTGTCGAAACGTCAGTCAACAACAAGAAAAACAGTCCTTCTCAGGACTATACCAACCTGGACGATCTACATTTACAAACATGTAACGATACTCCCGGGTTCAAACCATTTACTTTATTCTACACAGTCCTGCAGCACAAATAATGTCCAATTTAAAAACTACAGCGGACATGATATTAGTACGTTAAAAAATAAAACTTACTGTGATAGTATGGAGGTCGAAATGTATGTTCACTAACACTCCATCGAGGTGGAAAAATTACAAAATCAGCGATAGCCACTCCTGGCATGGTACTAGGACACGTCAAGACAGTAAAAATGGAGGGATCCTATAGTACAAATATGTACGTGTTAACAAGTCTGCGAGGGATGAACAAGGATAAACAGGTATTTCTTACAGCATGATCAAACGCAACGGCATTGATGACCATAAACGTAGAAAGATTGTACTTATACGGTACATAATTACCAAACCAGGCCACGACATCGTACGGTGAATGAGTCTAAAATATACAGAATTTATTGTAAAGATATTGCAGAAATTGGTAGCAAATGATATTTTACATAATATGAACAAAATCATCAGAGATTTTACACAGCGAATCGTTCGAGAGCGTTATAGTTTAGTGGTGACTATTGACTGTAGAATTATAAAATTTTTACACGTTTGTATATGTGGGCCGTCCAGTTTAGTGCAGTGCGTAGAAAGATTGTTGCTGTTGATGTTTTGACATCTTGGTCACAGTCAAGATGACTACATTTGTCAACATTAACAGCCTTTCTCAGGACTCAACTAAACACCAACGAACACTAAGAGATTTGACAATTATACAGTCAATCATCACAACTGAACTTTATATAAATAAATGCCATACTTTAGTTCAAATAGTAAAGTCGAATAACATCACCTGTTTGGGTACGAAAGCAATCTCCAAAATTATATTGAACATTACTGATGTTACAAAGAATACAATTTCGCAATTCTATCAACAAATTTTAATTGATCTCTTTCGTGTTTTCAAGCATTGACATGAATATTAACATCAAGCACTTCTAATCATAATAATATGGATTATAGTTGAAATAAAGTTGAAGCAGTGTTTTACAAACACTGTTTTTGTCTAGAAAAATGATCGCTTAATGGTAGATCATCGGGAAATACAGACTGTTCAATATTTGAGATTTCGTACAGGCAAATGTGTTAACTTTAAGTTCATCTTAGGCCTTCATGCTTATTTGATGAATGAACGATGTTTGAAATCTGCAAGCGCTAATTTTGATTGTAATTGTACGAGTTGTATTTTACAAGTTTATTGTCAACGTCCAAACATAAAAGTGGTAAAGTTACTCTTTGATTACAATTTGAATTGTACTAATAACAATCACATGACAATAATTGTAGTAGAAAAGCATGACGCCATTGTATACAGATATCTATAGTTCAAAGAAATTCACCTGTTTGGCGGAAAATAAAGATCCTTGATACTTATTAATGACAGTAAAACCACTGTGTGCGCGCGCATCCTCAAAACACGCCACTGGGGTCAAAAAGTCACGTGGGTTTGCCAGACCATTAGCACCTAAATAAATGAGTAAAAATGAGCATGACTCAAGACAAAAATATCCCCCCTTCTCACTGATGTACCTATAGGTCCCAAATTTGGTAAAACAAAATGGCCGTCGAATACTTCAAGAATGTATCCACGGGAAGGTTCTGAAATATGAACACTGAACCTCATTCCTTGCTAAACAATGAATAAATAAAAATGAAACGAAAATATCATACACATATGTACCTGTGTGTATCACTGTATCCATATAGTATCATACATGTATATGCCTTTATGTATCCTAGTATCCATATAGTTTAAGGTACCTGTATAACACATATTTCATGAGGTTTTACCAGAAACTTCCCAAATTCTGTAATAATGTCTAAACATCCTTTTTGTGGAACTAAAAAAGCGAACAAAATATGTAAATTACTTCAGACAGATAATTGGGAGAGAAAATAAATGTTTTGGACAGTCATACCAATAAGAAAATCTCCATCAGAATTGTAAAAACATCTGAAAATGATATAATAATGATATTATAATATAATATAATAATATCAGAGAAAGCATTGCCATCTAGCCACCCTTACGTCTCATTCATTGATGTATTACAGGAATATATATGGATAGCAGCACCATTTCGTACTCTTGAATCCCCAGCACCACATATAGTTCTCAATCCCTAAGAATCATTGAATGTGATAATTTAACTTTTATTCAAAGCATATACTCAAACCAATTAAGTCTTGGATCAGTGTTGATGCTGGACAAAATATTGGAGTGGAGTTGAGAGGTGAAATTATTGAAATTATAATTTTAAATAATGAACAGTGGGTCGACAAAGGAGCAGTTGGATTCATGTCATCATTTTGCATAAAATCATGCCTAATTTGAAGTTCCAAAAATATAGTAGATAAAGATTAAGCTACAAATGCCATGAAGTTGATTACACCCACTCTTTAACCATAAAAAGTTGCCCTCTGAAGCTATATCATGTATTAATTTGTGTGCTTTTAAATGTACAATTACAACCTTTAAAATAAAATGTTTAAACGGTTTTTATAATTTATTTAGATGCACTTTGTCAACACAAATGTTGATAAAAATGTCTTATTTAAATAAGGTTGGGGGTGGGTGGAGGTGGGGGTGGGGTGGAGGTGGGGTGGAGGTAGGGGAAGCTGCACCCCAACCCACCCTCTTGTATCTGCCCCAGCTTTGCACTGCTAAGCTAGTAGACATGTACTGTAGTACCTGAACAAAATCAACTTTGCTTTCTTTATCTGGCAAATCAAATGGCTTCCATCTGAACTATATCATATTGTAACAGAAAACATAAGCTACCTAGATTAATGAATGTCTTTTACAAAAATAATAATTTAATGTTTAGTCTATACCTGATTGGGATTGGGTAGGTAGTCATTCCAGTTATTTGTAAAATAATCAACATCAAATGGTTTAAATGGTTCGTGAACAACTGATGGTCGTATACGATAGAACCAGCTATATATGATAAAAAGAAATATTAAAACAAGAATATCACCTTTGAATAAACAAAACAATTTTACGTTCGTTTATTTGTTTCCCTGGGTGATGTGAAAGACGATCCAGAAAGTTGCTCCGCATATAAACCATAAGGACATTGTTGTGGATTATTCTATAGTGAATATTGTAAAAAAACAAATAACCACGATTTTAGTATATCTACAGTTATAACAGAGTTCTATATTCCATGATATTTACCAATTTAATCAATACCTGACTTGCAGTTCTTACTTACTTGTCCTTTAGGGAGAGCATTTTTAAAGCCTCAGAAGAAAATTCATTTCCAAAACCAGACAAATACTAAAAAGAAATAAATAAGAGCCTTCGTTATTGGTATATAACAAAAACTGGAAAGAAAGCTGTACATACCTCGTATTCCTCCATCTTTACTGCTGAATATTCAGCACACAGACAAACCTTCAAAATAATCAAAGAAAATTCAGATACGAAAAAACATCGGCGAGGACGGACTATGTCAACAGACACGTTGAAAGATATTATATATTTAGCAATTCTGCAAGTTTTGGTCATTCTCAGGCTTCTCTGCTTATGTAAATTTCGAATCATCATATGCAACATCTCATTGATATCGCGTAGAGTGGGTGGCCAATCACAAAACATGTTTTTACATGTAGCCAATCAGAATTCCTTTTAGAAAGACGTGGTTAAATTTGTAACATTGTTACTTTGTTAATTTGACAACCACAAATGCCAGAAGGAAGTCAAACAAGACAAACAAAAGACATGGCCTGCTTTTCACAATGATTACGTGATTACAGAATTTATCATGTTGAAACAATTGTACTGAGCTAAAGTTATGAAATCTCAATTTGTTTTATATTTTCTTGCGATCTTCCGCCATTTCCAAGGCAATTTATCAGACCTTTCATCTCACCCTGGACATTTAAAACCACTTGGTTCCAATTGCACAATTGTGAATGTTGATTCAGTGGAATATTTCCCAAATCCTCGTGATTTCTATTCAAAATACGTCGAGGGTAGTCGACCATTAGTTATACGAGGTGGAGCAAAGCTATCGCCAGCTTTTAAATTGTGGACTGACGAATATTTGGCATCTATAGAAGAAGGCAAGAAAGAAATTGTAATTGTTGAACAAGCGAAAAAAGAAAATAGAACTTTAACGCCAGAGGAGATTCCCTTCACTGATTTTGTTAAAAGATATAAAGATGAAGATATATACCTTGTGAATGATTTACCCCACTTTCTTAGGTAAAAATAACCAAAAAATAATTCAACCATATTGTTGTAATGTTGATAGTTGCAGGTGAGACGACAACTATTGAGAAATTTTCTAAAGTTTTGTAAACTTTTTATTTTCATAAAACTCTAGTAAGGATGTATCTCTTCCAACTTCATTGTTATGCGAGGACATTGTCAAACATATGGTGGCCAAGGTAAGATATTTGTCAACTTTCTATTTGCTGCATTTTAGTTCTTAAAATGATTCTCTTTTGTTTAAGATGATGTGGTTTAGCAGCGGTGGAACTAAGTCGGTTTTACATACTGATTCAGCTGAAAATATTAATTGCCTTTTTGATGGTATTAAGTATTTCTACCTCATTGATCCCAACAAATATAAAGAAAACGTAAGTAAATTGGAAACTAACTTTAAATAAGTATGTGTGACATCACTAGCTTTAGCATGTGACTTGGAATTAACAGGATTGAGAATTGATCATTTCTATGTTTTTTGCCAGGTTACTATAGAAAACACAAAATCTGCTTATTCCAATGTAGATGTTGAAAGGTAGCTATGTAACTTTATAGATGTATTGTAGGTATACTATAGATATATTTCAGGTGTACCATAGGTGTACCATAGGTATAGGTGTACTATAATTGTAAAGTATATGTACTAAAAGGGTATGCAATGAACTAGAAGTGATTACATTTGATAAAGTTGCTTACTTTACCTTATATAGGGTAGATTTTCTCAAGTATCCTGGTCTTGCTGAAGTTGAGTATCATTATGTTCAAATGCAAGCTGGTGATTGTTTATACATACCATATTTATGGTGAGAATGCATTCATCAGAAATACCACCATAATGTTGATTTTATATCACCACCATACCCTTTACCCTAAGTACCATTATGTATCCACCATAACCACCATGCCATTTATCCTTGGTACTATCATGTATCCACAATTACCACCATATCATTTACCCTAGGTACCATCATGTATCCACCATAACCACTATGCCATTTAACCCTAGGTACCATCTTTTATCCACCATTACCACCATGCCATTTACCCTAGATACCATCATGTATCCACCATTACCACCCTATCATTTACCCAAAGTACCATCTTTTATCAACCATAACCCTCATGCCATTTACCCTAGGTACCATCATGTATCCACCATAACCACCATGCCATTTATCCTAGATACCATCATGTATCCACCATTACCACCCTATCATTTACCTTAGGTACCATCATGTATCCTCCTTTCATCGCAACATTGCAGTTAATGTCTGGTGGAGTCCATCAGCAAAACCTCAATTAGACAAATGCAATGTTAGCAATACAACATTAAATGAACTAACATTTATTGGTTTTGATGCGCTATTACCAAAGGAAGCTCTTGATGGATTGAAGTTAGTTGATATGGTTGGAAAGAAAATATATTTCAAAGTTTCTGCAGTAATTAAAACAGTTCATAGTCACATTTTTCATTTTTTTCATTTTAAGAGTGTTATTGAGAAAAATGTTTTCACATTATGAAACAGAAGCTGTAAACATAGAAGATTTTAAATGGTTTTTTCAGGAGGTTGAAAGATTTTTGTTGTTTTGAGAAACGATGCAAAGATGGTTACAATTGAACATTTAGATTTTCTTGTAGTATTCTGGTGTCTTTGAAGACGGAGCGACATGGTCAGATGATATGACAGATAAACTTGACAAGGTCATTTTGAGTTTCTTTTATAAGCTATTTGGGTATTTTTAAACACTGTCGAAACAATATCATCTTGTTTTTTTCTAGATATTTTCTTACATTGAAAAGCCAGTTCAAGATGACCTACTTACTATTGATGATATAGAGTCATTGGATGAAGATGTAAGCAAACAAATAACTCTTATGTGCAGAACCTAAGTTATTCCTTGGATTAAATCGAACCACAAATCGCTAAAATATATCAATAAGACACCATGGTATTTCCATTGTTATTGCTGAAGGATTTTTATCAATAGTGTATGGTATAAAATATTTTTTGCAATTTCTAGACTTGGGATAAGGTTGCAAGTTTAGCTATCAAGCTTACAGAGCAAGTAAATGAACAGTTTGAACAAGACAGTGATGATGGCAATTATGAAGTTGAAAATGACGACTCAAGATCCGTGGATAAAAAGGATGAACTTTAATGTGAATATATTTTTAGAAAGAGTTGAAAATATGAGAAAAAAAATGAAAATCAAAGGCAATTTGGAAAAAACAAAATGATAAGTAGTTACCATTTTAACTCAGGAAGTTGAATATCTATATATAGGTATAAAATTTAATCCAACATTTTAATTTTGACCAACTCAGTTTACGCTATGATTAATCTATTTTTGAACTATTTTATAGAAATAAAATATAGAAGGTTTGAAAGCAGGATTTTTGTCTATTAGTTTATTTGCACATTAAGCAATAAAATACAACTGTTAGTTTATACTTGACCAATGTTTTAATTCAACATGCAAGATTCGTATGTAGGAACCATGTATTTGATGTTGATAAAAGCGTCTTCGCCTCCCGTACGTTCAAAACTTTCAAGAGTTTCCTGAATGAGATCACCTATATTTTCCCGACGCTGTTGGCTGTAGTCGATGCGATCTCCACAATTTATGTTCTTGTTCTTAAATATGTTCAAAATTGGCAAGATTTGTCTGTAATAAGGCACAAGAGCTTCGCCGACCATTTCTCCAGACACGACGAGATGCTGCAGAACCTTCAATGTCGTACAAACAACTTTATGATTTCGCGTGTTCAGTGCTGTTTTCAAGGGAATTATAAGCTGTGGAACCACCGGTAATATTTTCTGACCTCCATGTTCTAACATATCGTGAACACCTTGCCTGGCAAAGAACTCGTATGGATGTTCTGTCTCACGAAGCCCATCGAAAAAAAGAGGCAGATAATGATGATAATCTAACTTCTCCAGTTCGACCTTCCAGGCGATCTTATTGCCCTTTGTATCGTGTTCAAGAGCAATGGGAAAATCTCCTCTTTCATAAAACTTACGGAAGCTTGTCTTGGTAGCTGGTCTTTCTTTAAAAGCACCGCATTTCGGAGGGTGTTTCACCTAAAAATTTAAAATCCTTTTGTAGAGATAATCACAGAATCTCGCGACAAAAGTCGCATACCTTTGCATTTTTTAATCTAGACTTGCTTGTAAAGCCATCAGCAACGATATTAGGAGCCATTGAAGTTGCCATGGTTAATTTTTTTCCACAAAAAAGCTTCCCTTTATGTGTGTTTTTACAGTTTGAAAAAAAGTCGCCCTTATGAAAATCCTTTAATCTTCCCTGACTGATTATTTTGTACATAGCAACAAGACCATCAACAAATGGTGATTCGTTGCATAGCAACCACGGCTTCACACGAGAGCCCAACGGGTTGTTCCGAAGAACAATTTCAACCTACATGGCGGCCAAAATGGCACAAGTACGAAGACTTAGTTCGGTGCTGAATTTACGCCATTTCGGACTGAAATTAATCCAATAAAGTATCGAACATCCTTATATAGACCTTCTGTTCAACTTCAGGTAGAATGTTTATATTTATTAAATTTGACATTACATTGCAACATAGACATTCTGCAAGACTGCAACCTATAGATCACTTGCCTTTGGGCCTTTGGCGGTCGGTAGATTAATCCCAAGGGAGGTAAAGCATTGTAGCTGACGTTTTTTAAAATTACCCGACCAAATCTGGCTGCCAGCAAAATGTAAACATGGTATGCTGTCTATTTGCAATTTCTCATATGGCAACCAAATGTTTCATGTGATTCATAGATCCGTTTCCACGGTTCAAGTCATAACAATTTACCATCCAGCCAATCGACCAATAATGAAAGAATTCAAGTCGCTAACAGTTTGAGGATTGTCAAAAGTATGCTTCGGCATATATGGCCAAAAGAACGCAATGATTTAAAAGTCAGAGTAATGTTTGCTGTGTCCTTATTAGTCGGTTCTAAGGTAAAGTATTCTACAGTATCTGTCATTACTCCCTAATTCATTCCACTCAGTTCCAGCAATACAATGATATCAAATGTCATCTTGGTGATCTTTCTGCCCACCAATATTAGTGTTCACTATTCAAACTGCACCAAAACTTAACTCCCACTCTAAGTTGAACTAATATAATTGAGTTCTAATGCTCACAGCTCATTTGGTATTGTAGGTAGTCACTTGTAGCCTGCAGGTGAACAATTTACTATGCTTGTAGCTATGTAGTCACTTGTAACATGCAGGTGAACAATTTATTATGCTTGTAGCTATGTAGGTAGTCACTTGTAACATGCAGGTGAACAATTTATTATGCTTGCAGCTATGTAGTTAGTCACTTGTAACATGCAGGTGAACAATTTATTATGCTTGTAGCTATGTAGGTAGTCACTTGTAGCATGCAGGTGAACAATTTATTGCAGCTTAGTGTAAGGAATTTGATACAAGTTTTCGAAACTTGCTTAATCAATTACATATAAGCTATGAAATATCAAGAAAAACTTGCAGATCAAAGTATTTTAACATGTCTTATAGGTGTTAAATGTGCAGGTTCCCTTCATGTTTAAGTATGCTGTGGATCATTTGAACAATGCTACGCAATTGACTGCGTCTGCTATGACTTTGGTAACAGCTTTATTGCTGGGATGTAAGTATTATTTGTTTCAATGTCAATTTTGATCTAGGTTCATCAGTTTAAAATGCTGAACTGCAATTTTAGACGGTGCTGCACGAGTTGGATCTTCATTATTCAACGAGTTAAGAAATGCTGTGTTTGCCAAAGTTGCTCAGAGTTCCATAAGAACAATAGCGAAAAGAACATTTTATCATTTGCATAATCTTGATTTAAATTTCCACCTCTCACGACAAACAGGAGCTTTATCAAGAGCCATTGATCGTGGGACAAGGTTATAGTTTATTTTCTCTTGAGAGACTGCTAGAGATGTTTAAACTATTCTTCTTTTTTTACTTCAATGTATGTATTTGTTTGCTGTTGCAGAGGTATCAATTTTATGCTGACTGCTTTAGTGTTTAACATTTTCCCAACATTTCTTGAAGTGTCCTTAGTCTCCGGAATTTTGGTAAGAAATTCTAAAATTTGTGTATTTAAGAAATATTTTTCTCTCCCTTTGTAAACTCGTTCATGTCAACTGTTAGGAAAGTTACATGTTTGTAAATGTAGATCGTCCAGGTTGGTATAGTCCTGAGAAGGACTGTTTTTGTTGTTGTTGACTGACGTTACGAAAACAGTCTTTCTCGGGACCATACCAACCTGGACGATCTACATTTACAAAAATGTAACGATTCTCCCGGGTTCAAACCATTTACTTTATTAGCGTTGTTGCAAAATGTATTTTTACATATTTCTGCTAGCTTCATTTCAAATTGGTATTGATGGCATTATAGGTTTATGTATAAGTATATTTTACGTATTGTTGTTACAGCTGATTGCCTACAACAGCGCCTAGGGTTGTTTAAGAACTAACACTTCTTCTCGTGAGCTACATCAATCTTTATTTTATCTTCTCAGGCATATCGCTGTGGCAAAGAGTTTGCGTTGATAACTGTGGCATGTATAACAGCCTATACAGTATTTACTTTTCTGTCACACAATGGAGGACAAAATTTCGTTTGGACATGAACAAAGCAGACAATGAAGCTGGTTCTTTAGCAATCGACTCACTTCTTAATTTTGAAACCGTGAAGGTATCGAGTGTTTCTTTTTGACGGCTGTGTATTCCTGATGGTGTTCATTTTGTGATTAAATTTTTTATTTATTGTTTTACGTTTATTATTATAACAGTATTTCAACAATGAGAAGCACGAGACAGTGAGATACGACAAGTTTTTACAGAAATACGAGAAAGCTTCGTTGAAGACGAGTACAAGTTTGTCCATGTTAAATTTTGGACAAAATGCGATTTTTACAAGTTCACTTGTTGCGGTTATGTTGTGCGCAAGTCAAAAAATTGCATTGGGTATGTTATTTTACATCTTCGAGGTTAAACTTTTGCGTTAAAAGCAAGCATAAATGGGCAATTTCACTACCTTCTGCATGGTCACATGACGTGGTCACATGACGTCGAACATGGTCACATGACGTCGAACGTCTGATCTCCGGCTTCGTTCTTTAAAATGTTTTCTTTGGTTAACCATAAACTAGTTTTACTTTTACACTTCATCTTATGTAAAGTATTGTGCTGTGAGGGTAATGTCATTTACTCAATTTTAAGATTGAATTGATTAAACATTGGATTGTGCAACAGGTCTTGGGGACTGGTGTTAGTTGCACATATTGAAGCAACCAGAATCTATGTTTAATTATGATTAAATACAAAGCTCATTGGAAGCGTTTGTCGACTATGCTTTGCGGTCTTTTTAAACTCTTTGTCCGTTTAAGATCAAGGAAACTTTAGGCAAAACTTGAAAATTTTATACACTGCTCAATAATGTGTATCTTTTTGTAACACGTGATAACTTTGTGCAAAACTTGACAAAATTTTGTACACTGATAATTTTGTAACAATAACGGTTTTGTAACACGTGATAACGGTTTTTGTAACACGTGATAACGGTTTTTGTGACACGTGATAACAGAATGCTTTAAATATATTATGTTTCAGGTACAATGACCGTTGGTGATTTGGTCATGGTAAACGGACTCTTATTTCAACTTTCATTTCCTCTGAATTTTCTTGGTTCTGTTTATCGTGAAATACGTCAATCTCTTATCGATATGCAAACTTTGTTTGACCTTCGCGATGTTAAGTCACAAGTTAAGGTGCGTGCTTGATAAGAAAGGACCATTTGGTATAGATTATTTAAATGTTTCCCTCAGATAAACACCGCAATTCTATCGTAATTTATAAAATAATTTTGATCTTCACTAATGTTGGAAATTTATTTGTTCTAATATAAGATTGAAATAAAAATGGCCCAATTTTCCTGCTTTGACTTTTAAATTACAATTACAATTTATATATGTCTCTAATAAACGCCGCTTTTACCGCTGCGGCTTTTATTCGAATGAGTTTAACATAACAACATTGTAGACAATTTGTGAATAAATTGATACGAATATCGAAGCCAGATTCAAACTAATTAAAGAAATGACAACTAATTTATTAATTTTTTTTAAAACTTACGTATTCATTAATAGGAAAAAGAGAATTCTTTTCCTCTGATTCTCAAACCTGGCGATCCAAATGCGCATGTGCGGTTTGAAGACGTTCACTTCAGTTACATGGAAGGTCAGAAGATCTTGGACGGCTTGAGTTTTGATGTACAATCTGGGAAAAAATTAGCCATTATTGGCGCAAGTGGTTCTGGGTAATGAATTTATCGTTGCAATACTTCATGTAATTATTATTTCAGTCAAGGATAGAGGATTGTTGGTTCGAAGACTGTATAAACGTTAAGTTTGCTGACTAATTCAGTGTAAGATGAATAAAATAGTTGATTGTTTGGAAAATATCCTAAATTATCTCCAGATAATGATTTTGAAAATTTCCTCATTGTCTTTGAATTTTTTTATATTTTTCTTCTTTAGAAAGTCAACTATCGTACGTCTTCTTTATCGATTCTTTGATCCTTCTCAAGGAAAGATATTAATAGCTGGTCAAGATATTCGTGACGTAACGTTAGACAGTTTACGAAGGTTCTTGGGTGTTGTACCACAGGTAACCTAATTGCTCAAACATAAAACATAAACAAAAAATGCGAATATTTTATAAATTTTAACATCAATCATTGAAATTATAAAAAATCTTGTGTATTCTCTCTGCTTTATTATACTCGTCCTATTTATCCTTGGTTATCCCTCATTATCATGTAAGTAATGGACAATCAAATTTTCCTCTCCCCAGGACTCCGTGTTATTTCACAACACCGCTTTCTACAACATCAACTATGGACGAATGGATGCAACCCCGGAAGAAGTTTACGAGGCTGCCCGACTTGCGGATATTCACGAACAAATACGACGATGGCCGAAAGGTTACGATACGTCGGTCGGGGAACGAGGTCTAAAATTATCAGGAGGAGAAAAGCAACGCATAGCTATTGCTCGCGCTATACTGAAACAACCACCTATTTTACTGTATGATGAAGCGACATCATCACTTGATTCCATCACTGAAATGGTGTGTATGTTTTATTATTACCGTTTTGGACAGCTCATACTTTCTTACTTTGTTTGATTTTCCTGGTTTACAATTACCATGTTCTTTTAGAACTGCACTAAATTAACTCTTATATACTGCAGAGCTTATATTAACTTTAATATTGAAGTAAAACTAAAGGAAGGCAGAAATTTATGTGTTTAACAACATTAAAGAGGTGTTATATGTTTCTAGATGTACACTGATTTAGATCGTCCAGGTTAGTAGTGACCTGAGAAAGACTGTTGATGTTGAGGGATGCTTTGACAGTCTTAGCGGTAGCCATCTTCGAAACGTCATTCAACATCAACAACAACAGTCTTTCTGAGGATTTTACTAACACATTTAAAATAAACGACAAATTTTTTTAAAGCAAACATGTTTCGGCATACTTTATGCCATCTTCAGTGATTTTACTAACCTGGACGATCTACATCTACAAACATGTTACGATACTCCCGGACTCAAACCATTTACATTATCAAAGAAGTACTGCTAATTCCAAACCCAATCTTTATTATATTGTATATATTATTCAAGTCTATTTTGATTAAATGAACGATCTAAATTAATATTTGATACTTTTTTAGAACATACTGCAATCGTTACATCGCTTCACTAAAGATAGGACCTCCATTGTAATTGCACATCGTCTCTCTACGGTGCTGGACGCTGATGAGATTTTAGTGTTGGAACGCGGGCGCGTAAGGGAACGTGGAAGTCACAAGACTTTGCTAGAAAATACTTCTGGTTTATATTCTTATTTATGGCATAAACAGTCGCTGGGATATGCTGGGATTGAGGAGGATGCTACCTCGAAGACTTAAGTCGATCAAGCCAAAGCCTTTTATAGTTATATTGCCTGAATTAAAGTGAAGGAAACTATGAAAAATAATGTTTATTTGAAGGTTTTAGGTAAAAGGCTGATTTTAATGATATATATTTTGTACTTTACGTCTTCGTCACCATGTTGTAAAAAAACACCAATAAGGCTGGTTATACAGGATGAATGATAGACACTGGTTGGTGTGTCACTCTCCCCTCCCCCAATAAATAAATATCAAAAGCAGGAAGCGTTACCATGGAAATTAATAACGGTTCGAACTACTACATTTTATACATTACATTGATGAACATTGTAAAATTGATATCTGTCAAATTATTCAGTATTTTATTTGTTCGCGTCCACAGATCGTAAGTGAAAATAAAAGTCGAAAAGATTTTAATAAAAATTTTCGAAATATATTTAACGCAAAATCATAGCTGACCTGCTTATTTGCTATGCAAACCTTCCTCTGCTTATTTATAAAACAATAAATTTCGAAAGAAAGGAATTTTACATGGCTGGACCAAACGCGTTTGATATTTGACTCATCTGTCACGAATGACAAATGTTGTTCAACACTTCCGCGCGCACTAGGAAATTTTGTCGATCACGCTTGTCACGAATAACAAGTACTCGCGGCAAGTTTACCAGTGTTACGTATGAAAATGTAAACATGTTTACTACATCAAGAATTATGTTTAACGGTCATTCAAAACATCAAACGAAGCGGCGGTATGGTAGTTCTTGAAACTCTCGATGTTTGATAATTAGGAAATGCCTAAAATTTTTTCTGGCTAATTTCCGCACAAATATCGTCATAAAAATTCAATAAACAGTGAATGGCTCTTTTTCCAACAAAAACGGCGACAATGGTAAACGAGTTTCTATCCAAAGCAACAAAATATCGCGTTTCATACAAACTGGCTTGCTTGCGTGATCATTTTATTGCGTGTGTTTGCCCAGGCTTTGTTCGGAAGAACTCGAGAGCTGATCAATACAGACCGAAGTCGAGTGTTGCAGCAACTCAAGAGTTCTCACAAACTTCTTCGTGGTTTGCATAAGCCAGTGCAAACAAAAAAAACATCTTTTATTTCTTTTCTAAAACAACAATAATGCCAAACCGACAAATTTAAGACAAACGTTTTAATTTTTATCTAAAATGCATTCATGATAGATTTGAAAATTCTCTTTGATTGATTCGTTTGATTTGATTTTTGAGCTCAGGCGCCGGTTACACGAAGCCTGGATAGCGTTACCTATTGGATAGCAATTTTTTCTGAACTGAGCAATCACTGAAATAAAATAATGTTTCGAAGATTACGAGTTATAGTGATATGTCACTATAACTTATCATGTAAACTTCCTGCATTTATTCACTTCGCACTGAAGATGGCATAAAGTATGCCGAGACATGTTTGCTTTAAAAAAATTTGTCGTTTATTTTAAATGTCTTATAACCATTGTGCTCTTACCAATAGATAACTCTATCCAGGCTTCGTGCAACAGGCTGCAGATGTGTTCAGCAGATGCTAATACAAACACAGCCATGGACTAATAGTCGCTCGCGTTTTTTATAAATTAAGATTAATGTCTCTATTATATGACTTCAAATTACAATCGTAGACTCTTAGCACTGTATCATAAACTATAATTTATAAACATTTTATCTACATCGCTTTAAGTGTTAGCTGACTATTTGTCTCGGAGTTGGTCCAACTAGACGCTATTAAATCACACTGTAAAATAGTCCAGTAGTTTCCGGAATTGTTGAATGTTTTATTATGTTCAAATAAACAGACATTTTGTAATAAAATTTACTTTCTAATAAACCTACGTTGTCGTAAATTTCAATAATCTCAGAAAGAAGGTCGTTATCGTTAGACATGCTAAATCACTCTGATAATGATTCCATTACAAGCTTAAGATAAAATAACTCAAAACATTTCATGGCTGTTACTACAAATAAAAAGATGAAAGTCGACGCAAGCCTCTTTGGCATGCCTCATTGATTTACTTTCGGCGCTGTATAATCAAAAACACACTTTTTTACTCGTTATCCGACATAGAAACCGTGTACAACAAATATATGTTTGTTTGACAGCCGACTAAGACTTGTGATAAAATGAAAAGCAGACAATACACGAGAATATTGAAGAAAATACGCATTAGTACGTTTATCACGGAAACATCATTTTTTGAAATTTATTTGCCGTAAAACAATGGACTGAATGCTGTAACAGTTGTTATTTTAAATATACAAAACAACACATGCAAGTTTACAAGTTTGAAATGTAAGAGTCAAGATAAAGCTATTGAACACAGTCAAATTCTCATTATGAACTATTGATTTCCCGGCGTTTTTTTTGTATGCACAGCCTTAGGTATCACCATTTACGTTGGAGCAAACTTTTTATTGTTTATTATTCATCATCTGCTAGTATATGCATTTCTTGAAATGTATTTTAAAGCTCTTCAAGTCTTGTACAGCGAGAGAGGAGTTTCAACGGTCTGTTTTATTTTGATTGATAGCATATGTTAATAATATTACCCTCCGTGAAGAATCAAATACACAGTGGGATGTTTGAACCACTTGGCATGACAAGAATATGTTCATCTGGTCACGAAAAAACCTACGATTACAACGTATCAAGATTTTTTTGGAGAACAAGTCACCGACGATGTAAAATAACCATCTTTTGAAATTTCAATTCATTTCTTTTATAAGAAAAACGACATTGTTAGTGTTTTCTAAAAATTGAACATTTAAAATACACCGCAAATTTCTTTAGAGCAAACATTTTCGGCATACTTTTATGCCATCTTCGAGCATACTTCGGCAAACTTTATGCCATTTTAGATATGCCGAAACATTTTGCTCTAGAGAAATTTGTCGTGTATTTTAAATGTTTAATGACTATTCTGCTCTTAGGAAATTATCCTAAAATTGCCTGCAGCAAAAAAACTAGCAGATTCGCATGGAAAATCTAGACTTTAATTTCCTCAAAACACTCGAACACCATTCTACTTTATTTCTTATCTGTTGTAGAAATGGACAGTTTTGTTTTATGATAAATATTTTTGTAAAAAGCATGTTGGTATATGATTTATCAACCAATCATTGCAAATGTTTGGTGTCTGTTTCATGATGCATGTAATAACATCTTTGAGAGATGTCAACACTTATTTGCATGTTTTTTGCTTTGGGTGTTTATTCTTTCCGACGCAGTTGGATTGTGAGCATCAATTCGAAAACTAGTGAATATCTTACTGAAAAAGGTGAGAATTCTACAAATGAGTTTTATTTGTGGTGTATGTTATATTACTTGTTTAATACGTATTTTCATGCAAATGGATATTTCAACTGAAATAAACCGGTAAATTTACCACACTGCCTTAGTGCTGGTGTTTTATTACCTAGGAGATTATTGTGTTGTACTTTTTAGCATTCCAATGCAAAAATTACAATATACAACTTGAAGTTACATAACGATTGATGTTACAGTACTAAACAACTATGACCTTGTGTTACAAAAACATTTGCGTAAACCTTTCATTCCTCGTCCTTGCAAACGTTACTGACCCGGGATTGAGACCGGTATAGCAAAGTTGAAAGATGAAAGGATTACATATTTGCTTTATTTCTTTTTTTAATTCATCAACTTTGCCAGCGACGACTGAAGTAAGATTTTAAATCATATTTGTAATACAGAAGTAATATGTCTATGGTTTCAAATATCATGATATAATTAATACTACCTCATGTCATTTTGAAAAAGCGATGCATTTGAATATTTAACTTCGGAGTAATTCACGACATTTTTTGAAAGTGCTTCTTATCGCTTGCCATAAGGACAAAGCGCGAGTTCCCTCTGTAAACTTTTCACCTTTGACTCTCCCATACCTGTCTCAAACCCGGGTCAGTAGCTTTTGCAAGAGAGCAGGTTAACGCAAATGTTTTGTATAACAATGTCATTGTTGTTTAGCACAGTCAATGTTTAAGTTTTAAGTCATTTAGTATTGACATTTTCCAGTTGTTCTTACATAATATATGATACAACCATTATTAATTGCGACAGTAACAACGGCAGTAATCCATCATCAATATTGCTAAGAAACCAACTTTCTTCGGTTAATTTTTTCATGTACTGCTAGTAATATTGGACTGATGAATTCCTTCTTCTGTACATCGTAAATCCGATTAAAAGATTTTAGTAACACTTTATTTGTTTTTAATAAGTAGGTTGATAGCCTGATTACCTTCCAGCAAATGAAGTACAAAGTTCAACGAATAACATTGTACTATTTAAACTTCATTCTTTTGAAAAATATCCTTATGGAAAGCACTCCAAATTATGGAACAAACTTACATAAAGAAAACGGTCTATTGTCTGGATAGTTTATCTTTTGCAAGTGACGGGTTCATATTTACTGCTGCAGCAAGAGAGCTGCCAAATATCAACACGTACAAGAATCATATTTTACGAGAGCCTGAGATGGTTTGTGTTTAAAATAAATTGTCAAAATATGGAGTGGGGGCTTGGCACTGGTTCATTTATGTACGTGGTGTTAGCCTGTAACGGGTGAATTTGTTAATTATTTTGTTTAAAGGTTCTGACAAATTTAAGAAGGCAGCATTCATTACATGTAATGTAAACTAGTTTATATAACACGCGTTCATTGAAATGAATGATTGATTTTACATTAGGTAAACTATCTCGCGAAGTATTTCAAAAGTTTCTTGGATTCTTTATAAAATACCTTAGAGAATTTATCAACTACAAAAAAATAGTACAAAATAATGAAGCTATTGTGTTTGAACTCCACTGATTCCCAGTGATTCGCGGCAATATTTTGTAGTTTATTTATAAAAAGCCTTGTCATCATTGTCTATTTTTAATGAACATAATTTATACCTTCATAATAAAGCTTTGTCTCACTTTTCGGAAATTTCCGTGCTTTTTTTGCTAAAGAAAGAGCAAAAGTATAACGAATACTAATATTATTGACCAATGTCGAATTAAAATGAAGTCAGTATCTGCTGGCTTTAAGAGTCACTTATCAGGTCAAGTGCTTTTTTACCCAGCAAAGACGAAAAACTTTCATCAATTCTCTGCTTGTCAAAGTCATAAGATGCGATAAATTTTGGTGAAAACGATCTAGCTGAAAGACGGTATTTTAAACGAAGATGCTTACTCACTTTACTTGAATATTTTAATAGCGAGAAAGTTTAACATCTCCAAGTTGATGAAAGATGTTGAGCAATGAAAAGGGTGACATAAATGGCAAGAAAAATGGTTTAAATCTTTATGCTGCTGAAAAAGTAGTTGGTTATGGATGGTTATTTTTTCGTCCTCCTTATTTAAAAAGACTGTTAACTCCACTTATGTGTCGGATTGTTTTGACAATGTGTGTATCTTATGCTGGTAAGTTGCCAATATATTTAATTATTGTTGACGATATGGAGCTCTAAAGAAAGTTTTGAAAAAGCTCGTTTATATAGGGGTTAATAATGAACATGGGTGTATCATTCGTATGATTATGGGTTGAAATGGGTTGGTAATGAACACGGGAAAAAGGTAATGGTTGTTTCATAAGGATATAAAGTAGATATTGATGCTTAAATAAAGTTTTTAAAGATGAAATATTGCAGTAATAAGTTGTACAACTATCAAACTAGAAAAACATTTTGCTTCTTTTATACAATAAAGTCATTCTTGTATATTTGCTGTGCGAGGCAGTTCGATTTCCTTTTCGTACGGCCGCTCATTACAAATGCAAAAAAAACACATGCATGCCGTAGATAAAAAATATATATATTGATTACCAACTTTAACTTACCATAAAACCTAAAATTTCACTCAGGCTCACGAGCATTTAACAGCGTTTTTGGCGTCGGGTCCGTTGAGACGCAAGATATTTCTCTAGAAGGGATTACAGATTGTTTTAGTAACATTTATGATATGACTGTTTGTTGTCAATACAAATAGAAATTAGACATTTTCTACGAAAAAAAACGACTATTTTAATAATTTAATTTTTCCTTTAAGCAAAGAGTTTTTATGTAATTTTAGATTTCTATATGTTTGTAAATGTACATCGTCCAGGTTGGTATAGTCCTGAGAAGAACTGGTTTTGTTGTTGTTGACTGACGTTTCGACAACCTTAGCGGTAGTCATCTTCAGAGTCATTTACTTTAAAACAGTCTTTCTCAGGACTATACCAAACTGGAAGATCTACATTTACAAACATTTAACGATACTCCCGTGTTCAAACCATTTACTTTACATTTCTATGTGAAAAAAAGTGTGATGAAGTCATTAGGAAAAAACATGCTGTGAATAATTAAAATGTTTTAATCAACAAACGTGTTACTTAAATGATTCATGACAAGATATTGGTGTTGTATTGAAGTGATGCTTGCCTGAGTAATACAATTATCCTGTTCAAACTTAAAATATAATTATTTTTTCTTTAGTAATGATACAACATATGTTGCCGGCTGTGCAATTAACATTAAAACAACGTTTTCATCTTTCTGATAAAGACATTAATGGTCTTAACATTGCTCAAGGTGTTTCTCTCGTGATTGCCGTCATTATTTTTGGCTTTTCGGCAGTTTTCGAGCAAAAAAGATTCATTGTATTGCCAGTGGTCTAGTAGTTACAGGTAAGTTAAACATTTTAAGGAGAATGGATAGGAAATTGTATCATTGACCTCAACTTCTCTCCTTACTGCCATGAATTTTTATCATTGGACAGCTAGAGTGCTGGAATTTTGAACTAAACCATTCTGCTCAACCTGGCTTTAGCTTAACTACACTCAAAACTGATAACTGCAAAACATCAATATAGGTCATAACCTCATACTGTTGTGAACATTTCTTATTTTAAACCCATCTAATGAATACACTTCGTTTGTGTTGGTTGCTTTCGTTTACATAATGCACGTTTCTTTTACAGGTTTGGGTGCAATATTCTTTGCAGTTCCACACTTTCAAACATCTGACTATGCCCCATTTAATGTGACAAAGAGCTTTTTTACGAATCTTGGCCTTTGTCGCATTACACCAGGACCACCTGCACCATGTTTAATCAAGAGTGTTGAATCATCACATATGGGAATGTTTGTGTTTGGTCAAATATTGATTGGAGCAGGTCTTGCACCTCTTTACTCTCTTGCACCATCTTATATTGATGAAAACACTAGACCAAAATCGATGCCATTTGCCATGACATTATGGTACGTTCTACTGGCGTTGGGTCCTCTTTCTGGTTTGTCTGGAGGTGGAATATTTCAGGCTTACATTTATATTGATATTAAACAGGTACACAAAATGTTACAACTAATTTTCATTACTTCTTACATGACGTATTTAGACTATGCTAACAGTTTTTCTACAACAGCCAAAGCTCATTTATCCAATGGATAACAAAGATCCCCGCTGGCTTGGTGCTTGGTGGCTCGGATATTTGGTATCTGGCCTTCTTACCATGTGGTTTGCTGTCATAGTCGCTGGTTTTCCTCCTTATTTACCAGGCTCCCGCAATACAAGAGATGAACATATCCTTAAAGGTACACGGATAGTAGGATATACATAGTTGACAAAATATTAACAATATTGTTTACAGTTTTTCTGATGCCATAGTTTAACCTTTGTTGAAATCTAGAACATTTCAATAGATGAATTTGGTGTATTTTCTAGGGAACATTCAAGCCAAAGACGATAAGATAACGATGTCTCCTGTTGGTTTACTATATTCTACAATAACTTTATTCAAGAATAAAACATTCCTTTTCAATACATTGGCCAATCTGTGCATTGTCTTCTTCATGTACGCCATTGGACCATTTATGGTTCAAGTTGTTATATTAAAATATGGTGCTGATCCTTTATCGATAGCAATGCCTGTCACATTTGCTTCTTTTTTTGGTATCATAGGTTGGTGACGTTGATATGTCAATAACAATAATGTTTTTATAGTATTGAAATAAATGGACGACAGGAATTATTAAATATTTCTTCAACGTTTCTTTTTTAGCTGGTGTTGTTGGTGGTGGTTTACTGACATATCGTATTTCTTTAAAAAAACTTGTTAAAGGAGCCGCATTTCTTTGTCTTATATTACAAACAGTTGCAATTCTCGCTCCATTATTGTTTGTCATTCCTGGTTGTAATGAGAGTAACATAGCTGGTGTAACTAAAGAATATCCTGCGATTGGGTGAGACTATTAAATTGACTGAAGGGTGCTTTTTATGTATGACCAAGATTTGTTAATCGAATGGTTAAGTTTTTCTCTACTGTCATGTAACAATCCACAGAAAAAACACAAGACAATGTCATGAGCTTCCTTATTTTCAGCAGTAAGAACTTGTTGAACCTGCAGTATAACAAGATTTTAAATAATTTTGTGCTGCAGGCATTGTTGATTGTTGTTAAGAATAAAGTTCAACATTGTTACATCCAATTAAAACAACACTTTATAAACACGTTAACAGCCGTTATCTATGTAATAAGCATAACATTGTTTTATAGTAAAGTAAATGGTTTGATACTGGGAGTGATGTTTTCTGTTTGTAGATGTTGAGTGCACAGGATAATGCAGTCATGAAAAGGAGTGATAGTTTTGGTATTGACATTGAATAATGTTTCGACAATCTTAGCGGTAGTAATTATTTTCAAAAATGACTGCAGCTAAGATTGTCCAAACATCAGTCAACATCAATACTAACAATTCCTCACAGAACTACTTTAACCTCGCTAATTTACATCTACAAACACGTTGATAACATTACATCACCTGTCGCTTAAGGAAATAAAGGCTTTTAGTTTTAATCTTAGCGTTTCCATTCAATCTTAACGTAGATATTAATGACTATTTTTCAGAGGTAGAGCCATGCCAATGATGGGTGAAAAAGGTTCAAGTGAAATAACATCAGTTTGTAATGCACAATGTAATTGTTCAACGTTCTTCAGTCAGCCTGTATGCGGTTCAAATAATGTCGCTTATTTTGATCCTTGTCATGCTGGTTGTAAAGTTAGGATAGACGACACTGTAAGTATTGGTATGATGGTGTAAGTATAGGTATGATGGTGTAAGTATAGGTATGATGGTGTAAGTATAGTTATGGTGGTGTAAGTATAGGTATGGTGGTGTAAGTATAGGTATGGTGGTGTAAGTATAGGTATGATGGTGTAAGTATAGGTATGATGGTGTAAGTATAGGTATGGTGGTGAGTATAGGTATGGTGGTGGTATAGGTATGATGGTGTAAGTATAGGTATGGTGGTGTAAGTATAGGTATGGTGGTGTAAGTATAGGTATGATGGTGTAAGTATAGGTATGGTGGTGTAAGTATAGGTATGATGGTGTAAGTATAGGTATGGTGGTGTAAGTATATGTATGATGGTGTAAGTATAGGTATGATGGTGTAGGTATAGGTATGGTGGTGTAAGTATAGGTATGGTGGTGTAAGTATAGGTATGATGGTGTAAGTATAGGTATGATGGTGTAAATATAGGTATGATGGTGTAAGTATAGATATCAAGATGGTGCATTAAAGTATGCTATTATTTGTTGCGTTTTCGCCATTCGATTTTTTCTCAAAACTATTTAACTTCCCTTGTAATTATGCAGCAAAATACAGTAGAATATAAGAGAATTGCGAGTTGTGATCAATGAAACCAGACGAAAGCAACGTAGGATAAATTATTTTGTTTATTTTTCTCACAGGATGACTACACCAATTGTACATGTGTACCTCCTGGTCCAGGACAGAAATATGGAACAGCAAAGAAAGGATTCTGTGATCGGGGTTGTGCAAGCTGGAAGCTTTTCGTCTTTCTATTATTCGTAGCTGTAGCATTGTTTACAGCAAATATTGTTCCAAGCAAGGTCGTAATACTAAGGTAGGTCATAGTGATATTTATTTACGACAAAAGTCGCTATGGAGAATTGTAGTATTCATGTACTCCATTATTTTCATTCTTAGATGTGTTAAAGATAATCAGAGATCGTACGGTCTAGCTGTGCAACAGTTTCTTTTCATTCTTTTTGGCTTTATTCCTACTCATCTTGTTAAATACATCATTGATCGAGACTGTCATATATGGCAAACGGACTCTTGTGGACGCAAGGGGATTTGTTGGGATTACCATACCAACTCTATGAGCAAGAGCATGACAATATTTGGTCTTGTAATTTCAGGTATGTTTTTTGGAATTATTTGTCGTGTAAATTGTTCACTAACAAGGTTCAACACCAACAAATCATTTACTGCACAGAGTCGACTCCTAATTTCCATTCACTGACAATGTTGAACTCCTAGAAATCATTTACTGCTCAGAGTCGACTCCTAAATTCCATTCACTGACAATGTTGAACTTCTAGAAATCATTTACTGTCAAGGCTCAACTCCCAGAAGTCATTCACTGTGTGCAATTCCTTCCCAAACGATCAGCAAAATAGACAACTAATTTACGCCATTTTATGGCGAAGTAACTAGACTAATTTCCTCAATTATTCTCTCTCTAGCTCTAGCCACAGTGTTTTTCTTCCTTTCTTGGTATCTTCATAATGAAAGAAGAAAGAAACCTGATGATGTAAGTGACGAAAACACCACAGCAATGTGACGTCACTTCCTATGCAGAACCTTTCGTAATTCATGTTGTTCAAATATTTCATCTTATTAGAAATTTCTTTATATTATCAGTCTGTTACAAAGTATTCATTCAATAAAACCAGCTTCTTCAATGTTGAATATTTTTATATTGATATGAGAAAGTTATTTTGATTCATTCTGGCCAACAATCATTTTCACAATTATGCCCAAGTTTATCTCAAATTTTCACATTTAATGCTCAAAATTTTACTTTTGTCAGCACATCTGGTATGCTATATAAAACGCCATCAAATCCCACTAATTTTTATGCTGCTCAAGAATAAGCGAATGTTTCAAAGCTGTTTTCTTTATTCCACACTGTAAGCTTGTCATTTTAGTCATTTATCAATAAATTTTTACTGTACAACTTAATTATTCCTACTACACACAAAAGGAACATCCCCTTTTAGTAAAGACAGCTGGATTCTTCCTATTTTGCATTTAAAAATATGGTTGAAAGCATTTGAACAATTGCATTGTAATTTTCAATACAAAGGCAATGTAGCATGTCTGATAACAACATCTTATTGCGATGTTTTAAAATAAGGAATTGGGTCACAATATTTATTGTGCCTGTTTTGACAGTTAACAAGGTAGTTTGCCTAGGGGGGGGAGTAGAACGTTAAATTGGGGGGTGTTTATTTATGCATTAACTTAAGTCCCTTTGATTTCTTTTAAAAAGTGAATTTAATTTCAAAAGAAATCAGCAGGGCACAACTGAATATATCAATATGCACCAGCGCAATTAATGTTTTACTTTTGATATTCAACAAAATTTAATGCGCAAACTTATGAATATGATAAAGAAAGGAATCGTCGATGAAGTACAAATTTCAATTATTTTGTAGTTAAGATTTAATGTAAACAGAGTAAACAGTTATTCGTTGCAATTCTTGACTTGCAACCATTCTCTTGAGATTTGTCAGCTGGTGCCAACAATAACACTGATAAAATATTCTTTTGTATCAGACCACCAACATGGCTGAATTGCCAGCTAAGAATAGTGGTTTTGCTTTCTTGTAAAGAATATTTAATACGATGTAACTTATAAATTATGTTGAATTGATACAATGAAATAGTTTAAGTCAAAAATGAGAAATATACAGTTAGTCAAAATGATTGCATTTGTTTTATAGTAAATATTTCATTTCATATGGAAAAGACTACTTTTCGACATGTTTCAGCGTTATATAAGTCTTTCGTATGAGCTCCGAACGTGAGTTCAATGTACTAGAACGCTATCAAATTTTGTGATTATTTTATTTACTAGCGAAGAAGTTATTTACAACAGTCGTGAGTATTTTATATTTTACAATTTATTTACAGGCATTTTATATATTTAGCTAAACAAGGTGCAGTTATCACAAGGCGGATAATGTACTTGAAATTGGAGTAGTTTTACGTAATTATAACGTTAAGTGCGTAAGTTTAAGTAGCTCGTTTGAGTAAGTGTAGGATTGGCTATTCCTGTATTGCCAATACATAAATCTAGATGAATTATATACGCACTTTATGTACGTCTCTTCAATGAAACATTTATTGTTAAGTTGACACTTAATGCGGTTAAACCAGCTTTACTATAATTTAGATAAGCAAAACCTGAGCAAAATTATCATAACAAGGAAAGGAAAAGATTTACAACATACTGCATGATGTGTCTATTCTTAATAACGATAATGATAAAATTTATTTGATCAAAAGAATAAAAACATTTCGTATCGTACAATATTACTTTGTCAAGTTCAGATATTTAATGATTAGTTATTTAAAATATTTTCCTGTTTTATTAAACTTCACCATAAACATCTTTTAAAACATGACTTACTTGAAATTTTTTTAATGTTCTCCTCAAAACGACATAGCGCGTATTTGAAATTAATCATCGCAACTTTTAACACTGATTTCTTGCACAAAATACAACTTTTGAATAGCTGTAACAACAGCTGTTTGAAGAGTCTGTAACATCAGACAAACGTCAATGGGAAAAGGCTGAAACACATGAACTGTGTAGTCGCTTTGGTCGCGCAACTTAAGTGAAGCGCAAACACATATGTAGAAGCGAGCATTACGACCAAATTTAGACTATCAACATGGCGTCTAGTCATAAGGTTAAGTAACTAGCATCTGTTTGCATTTGTACGCGCTGGAATATATTGAAAAACGGAAAAAGGAATAAAATGAAAGGGCAATGGTGGGTTCGTCAATTAAACAAACAAAAGATTTTCTGCGCACGGTTCAAGAACAAAAAACCGATGACGAACAGTTCAATCTGTATTTTCGCATGAGCCCTCAAATATTTGCCAAATCATCGGCTCATTTTTATAATTTTTGTCTCCAAGATCAAATAAAACCGGAAAATTACCGAAGGAATTTGAGCGCTTTTTCGTAACCAACCATCTTTGTTCACGTAAACTTTACATGAGCATTTTGAACGAGGAAATAACCAATCACATGCAAGGAATGGCGTTTTGAACGAGGAAATAACCAATCACATGCAAGGAATGACGTTTTGAACGAGGAAATAACCAATCACATGCAAAGAATGACGTTTTGAACGAGGAAATAACCAATCACATGCAAGGAATGACGTTTTGAACGAGGAAATAACCAATCACATGCAAGGAATGACGTTTGAACGAGGAAATAACCAATCACATGCAAGGAATGACGTTTTGAACGAGGAAATAACCAATCACATGCAAGGAATGACGTTTTGAACGAGGAAATAACCAATCACATGCAAGGAATGACGTTTTGAACGAGGAAATAACCAATCACATGCAAAGAATGAAGCGATCAAGGTATGAAGTGGCAGTATTTATTATTGCGCAATTAATAATGGGAGCTGGCACATCTCCATTTTATTCATTACTACCATTGAGTTCTATAATAACTGGAGCGGCTATCTTTACTGGGGCGAGGTCGCCAAAAAAATGGCGGCCAACGGACGTATTTCCGCTGAAATGATCGCTTTGCAGAAAAATAATATTCTCGACCTCCCCCTGGTGTCTATAGTAAATTATAAAGAATTTTTCAAAAACAAACACGATATCACAGAATATGGATATCGTTAGTTCCATATTCTGTGACGATATCTTTTTTGGCATTTCTTTTATAATGCCAACACTTCAATCGTTCAATTGTTGATGTCGTAGTTTCCACAAAAAGGAACATATCGCTTCTCACAGGTGAGGTAGTTGTTTGTTTTGTTAGTCCGTCAACGATTGAAAAGCAATTATACATGCACTTGAAAAGCCATAAAATACATAATTTTTGATCATAATTTATCATCATTCCATAGATCGTAATTTTTAAGACTGACTTGAACGCCAAATATACTGATGTTTTCCTGTTTTTGTCTATAAAATTCTGCATACTTTTCTGTCATTTGTTAATGCATGAAATCGTAAATTTACCTATCTATTTGCAAAATAGTTTCCTAAAGCAAAAGACCCTGCACACATTTTGCTCTGTGAAAAGTATCAAGAAGAAATGATCAGCCCAACAGTACCCATGATTTGGAGCAGAGCTTGTTATGTTCTATTTGCTGACAACATGCAGGGAAGACCAAGAAGTAAAGATGACTGGAAGATGTTATTGACCAGGCAGAGTCTTAAAAAAGTGATAATGCTGTAAAGATAATTGATTTATTGTCTGCCTTATCCAGAGTTATTTAATTTGATCATGGTCAAATTCTATGGATGGAGACAATGGATTCACTAATGATGCCTTGAATGCTTTGAAGTAAAAGTTCATGAACCAAAAAAAGATGGCAAGAAGGTTGTTTGTTTTTGATGCTTAATTAAATGTCAATTCACAACATATAAAATGGAAAGGCCATAAAGTTTGTGTCTATGTAAACATTTGTACTGAGATTGATGATGACTTGATGCAGATGTGAAGCATTAAACTGAATAAGCCATTGGGTTTTATATAACATAATGTTTAAATCATGTCATATCTTTATCAAAATATTTTAGTTGAGTGTTGTTTAAATGTTACTAATATCTAATGCACTATACTAAAGCATTAAAGATTCAGTGATGAAACCTTTAAAATTACTGTACTGTATATCAAAATGTGCTACAACTTTACAAGTATTTGATGCAGTTGCACTTCAGAACATCACAAAAAGGTTACTTAAAGTAATTTCTATACAATATTGTTTGTTTTCATTTACCAAACCTATGCAGACTTGAGTCTTTTTGAAATTTCATGTGAAACTCAATTACAGAAAATCCGTAAATATCCAGAGATTTTATATGTACTTTTTTAAAGAAACAAGTAAAATCCTACAATTGTGGCGAAAAGCCATTGCCCATTGCATGAAAAGAAGAAAATAGCAATGATAACAAATAAGCTAACTCTCTCTCGTGAACCGTGGAGATGAACTATGATATACTTTTTGTATAGACTAAAGAGTTTAATCGATCAAACAAGTTTGACGCTGGTAAGAAAACGACGCATATCTGCATTCATAGATGTGTAGCCGACATATAGCTCTTTCGTCGATAGTTATAAATACATCCTCGTAGGAGCCGATAACTGGAAAGCTAGGTTGACTCGCTGTTACGAATTGTAGGTTTTTAACGTGATTTTCATCAAAAAATTGCTTGCCAAATCCCAAATACACACATTTTCCTCCTCAGGAGGGAGTGGGAAATGAAATTTTCGGAAAAGCGGTCAATTTCGGTAAATCTCAGCGGCAAAGGACGAAATCCGCCATTTTTTTGGCGTCATCAGATATCTAAGGCCGCGCTTGAGATAGCCGCTCCAGTTATTATAGAACTCAATGATTACTACCCGCTTACCTTGATGAAAATGTCCATCCTAAACATACACCCGTTTATCTCGCCATTTGGACATGCGCAACATTCCTCGACCCAGGCTCCTTGGAGGAAAATTTCTCGACATTTATCTGGATCTGGAGCAAGTAAGAAAAAAACATAAAATAACATTAAGTAGACAATCACGAATAATGTTGAACATGTTGACCTCGAATGAATCTATTGAAAAAATAAGGTTTAGAATACCATTTAAAATTATAGTTTGTTTTATGAATTTTCTACAAATAAATAATAATGATACTTCATGTTACTTGTAGCACTGTACGAACCCTTTAAATATTTTCATATACGAACATGGAAGAATCATGATTTAAAATGAACATGATTTCATTGCCCCTGTCTGATTTCAATTGTTTGAAATCTTTAATATCGACACAACAGCTCACGTTAACAGAAAGTTCTTGATTTTTTAAGCCTAAAGGTGTGAACCTCAATGGATCGGCGCATGGTGGTTGGATTTTGTCATATTTGGAATCCTTACTATTATATTTTCTATTCTTCTACATGCGTTTCCACGTGAGCTGCCTGGGTCGAGAGAAGTACGAAAAGAAGAAATAGAGAAAGGAAATCTAAGACCAGCAAAAAGCGCCATAAAACCAACTATGAAAAAACTTCTTCCTGAATTGAAAGATTTGCTGACAAATTGGACGTTTATTTTCAACACGTTGGGTCTAACTTCAACCTTACTTTTTAGAAGCGCCCTTATTCCCTTTTATCCTAATATATTCCATAGAAAATTAGGTGTTCTTCCAGAGAAACTTGGGTATGTTTAGGGATCATTAATGATACCAACAATGATTGGTAAGTTGCACAAGTACATAACGACAAAATAAACTAAAATCACTTTAATCAAAGGTTTTAAATGATTTTATATCACATCACTTATCATTCTAGTGGGATCTTTCATTGCTTCAACAGTAGTAAAGAGATTTTCTTTGTCAATGTTATAATCCATTGGGAGCAATGAATTTCAAAAGAGCCTAACGTTGCATATCATGCATTTATGAGTCCCCTCAGTTATCGATCTTCCTATGACCATGCTTAAAGATGTTTGAATCACAGTTTGAAATGAATGTGAAGAAAATGCTTATTGCTATAATATGTGCTTTAGATTAATGCATGCAGATCACAAAGAAACCTACAATTTCAACAGGGACTTGTAGAACAAGAGCAAGTCACCGACGTTGTTTAATTACCATCTTTTAAAATTGCAATTAATTTCTTATGAAATAAAATGACATTGTTAGTGATTTCAAAAATTACCTGTAGCAAAAAACTAGGAGACTTGCACATGGAGATCCTAGACTTTGAACTTCTCTGAGCACTCAAACACCATACTATTTTATCTTCTATCACGGGTAGAAATGCGTAGACTAAACAGGATGTAAGTATATGATTTATTTTGATATCAACCAATCATTGCAAGTGCTTGTTGCCTGACCGATGACGCATGAAATACTATCTGAACACGACACATACACATATTTGTGTTGCTTTGACGTTAAGTCAGTTAGTCTTTGGGACGCAGTTGGATTGTGAGCATCAATTTGGACACCAGAGAATATCTTGTTGAAGAAGGTGAGAATTCTACAAATGAGTTTTATTTGTGTGTATGTTATATTATATATTTAGTACGTATTTTCATGCAAATGGATATTTTAACTGCAATAAATTGGTATATTTACCATACTGCCTTAGTGCTGCAGTCATTGGTGTTACCTAGAATATTATTGTATTGTACATTTAAGCATTCCAATGCAAAAATTGCAAAATACAACTTGAAGTCATAGACAGTCAATCGTTTATTCCAAGACCCTTCTAGTACTTTAGTTTGTTTGTAGTAGAAGTTAACTTTTTTAACTTTTGAAAAATTATATAATATGATACAACCATGGTATTAATTGAGACAGTAACAACGGCAGTAATCCATCATCGAGGTGGCTAAGAAACCAACTTTCTTCGGTTAATTTTTTTCATGCACTGCTAGTAATATTGGACTGTCCTTAAATCTCTTGAGGGATATAAAAACGTATATTGAAACTAATCTATTAGCTGTTTGTATAATATATTATTCAATATCTAAATACTCTATAACCTTGTGAAACGCTTCTTCTGTACATCGTAAATCCACTAATTAGACTTCGGTAATGCTTTATTTGTTTTTAAAGTAGGTATAGAATTTAATTAACGGTTGCCTTCCAGCAAACACGTACAAAGTCTAACGAATAACATTGTACGATTTTTAAACATTGCCCTGAAAAATATCTTTATGGAAAGCACTTTTACTTTTGAAAATTTTATAGAGAAAACTTACTCAAGGAAAACAGTCGGTTGCCTGGATAGTTTATCTTTGCGAGTGGCGGGTTGTTGCTAGTAAGCGTCGAAATGACTGATTGATTTTACGTTAGGTAAACAGTCTCGTGACTTATTTTAAAAGTTTCTTGGATTCTTTATAAAATAGACATTAGAGAATTTATCCTCTACAAAAAATAGTACAAAATAATGAAGTTATTGTGTTTGAACTCCACTGATCCCAGTGATTCGCGGCAATATTTTGTAGTTTATTTATAAAAAGCTTTGTAATCATTGTCTGTTTTTAATGACATAATTTACACTTTCATATAACAATGCTCTGCGGTATATTTCTAAAATTTCTGCATTATCTTTGCTAAAAAAAGCGCAAAAAGCCTGAGGAATACTAATATTACCGACCAGTGTTGAATTAAATAGGAGTCAATATCTCTTGGCTTCAACTTGAAGAGCCACTCATCAGGTCAGGTGCTCTTTCACACAGCAAGAACAAAACATACCTTTATAATTCCCTCATCAAAGTCATAAACCGCTTTTCTGAATTTCCAGTTTTTATGAACTTCTTTCGAGTTAGAAACAAGATTGAATTGCAAATTTTGGTCTGAACGATCTAGGTGTAAGATGACATTTTAACAGAGGATGCTAACTCGCCATTTATGAATATTTTAGTAGCGAAAAAGTTTCACATCCGTAATTGGTGAAACATGTTGAGCGGTGAAACGGCTGACACAAATGGCAAGAAAAATGGTTTAAATCGTTATGCTATTGGAGAAGAAGGAATTAAATATGGATGGTTATCTTTTCGTCCTCCTAATTTCAAAATGCTTTTAAATCCAATGACGTGTCGGATTGTTTTGACAATGTGCGTGTCTTATGCTGGTAAGTTGCCAATATATTTACGTATTGTTGACGATATGGAGCTTTAAAGAAAGTTTTGAAAGAGCTCGTTTATGTAGGGGTTAATAATGAACATGGGTGTATCATTCGTATGATTATGGGTTGAAATGGGTTGGTAATGAACACGGGAAAAAGGTAATGGTTGTTTCATAAGATATAAAGTAGATATTGATGCTAAGATAAAGTTTTAAAGATGAAATATTGCAGTATTTTAGTTGAGTATTTAACGTATCTTTAAGTTGCATGCATAGGGTCAGTTTTAGTTCAAGTAGTAAAGTGTTTTATTAGAGTTTTATGACATAAAAATACAACAAAAATAATTGGAAAGGACGGCCGTCTAAATGCAAAAGTAATGAACAGGAATTAACGAACTACACTGTTATAATGTACAAACGAACTTTAACTATTCCTTTTCGGTAAATTCTTGCTTGGCCAGAAAATTGAGTTGACAAACAAGTCATCAGCAGTAAATATTAAAGTCGAGACAGACAGACCACCTCCATAATCCACCGAACTTTGTAAATAAAGTGGCAAAACACAACTAGCAAATAATGTAGTTTTTTAACTCCGAGTCATAAAACTATCAAAGCTTAAAGTAGAAAAAAATTTGTTTCTTTTATACAACAGAAATTATCTTCGCGTATTTATTATCCGACTTCGTTTTCTTCCGGACGCCCCGTCTCTCTGCTCATTAGAAACGCAAGAAATAACTGCATGCATGGTAAATAACAAATAAATATATTATTTACCAATCTGACCTGACCATAAAAGGTAAATTTTACTCAGTCTCAAAAACCACTCTTCGCTGTTCGGCGTCTGATTTGTGTCGGTATTGGCACCGTTTAGTGAACGTCGTGAGATGTTTCTCATGACTGGATTACTGCTAGAAGTTACTATCGCGAGGAGGAAGTGAAGCTCCGGTCTCCTTGTCAGCAAAGAATTTCAAAGACGGACATCTTTAGGACTGCGACTTTGTGTACTAGGTGATTTCTTGTTCAAGCAAAAAGTGAAAATTAGCTTGGATAAACTGCTTCAAGACAAATCTGTTAAGCTTTGTACGTTGTGATTGCGTAATTTGAATAATAAACAAAACATTTCTACTTGCGTGTCCCTTTATTCAACATTACGTTGGCAAGCTTTATTTCAATGTTCATGCAAAAATATTTGTCCGAATTTTACCATAAACCATAAGGTTCGGCACTTCACCATGTTTAGAGAGGAGCATGAGATACTGTTTCTTCACTCAACCGATAAGTTAAACGCATATTCACAGACGTAAGACAAGACAATGTTATGCATTTGTCGTTTTGTTGTCACCATCTTCTTAATTATATTTTGATAGGATCTCATTGCAGATGATTAAATGAAGTTTAATCTTTGAACGTGGAGTAATTGCAATAAACCATTGCAATAAACAAATGTTTCATTTTACAAAATAAAAAAGATAAATTGCGTGCTGTGATTGGACAAGAGCAGTGTTTGCATTAGCCTCAGCAAAATACATCTGAGCTCAACCAATAAAATCAATCATAATATTCAATCAGTCAAAGAGATTTTTGAAATCCATCATAAATACATTTTTTAAAAAAACTAAAACCTTCATTTTGAATTTGTCTGTTGCGCATTGTTTTATTACACACAAAAAATGAAAAGATGTTTTTCGTGTTTGCACTGTTTTATGCAAACCTCGGAGACGTTGGTGAGAACTCTCGACTTTCCGTCTCGGGTTTGCAATGATCTGCTCTCGAGTTCACCTAAAGGTCTCCTCGCTTTGCATAAGCTTGTGCAAACACAGTAAACATATTTTATTTCTTAAGTATTCCATGTCAAAACTAGTTTGAAATTCTTTGTTATTTTTCACGTTCTGTTAAATCCACACTGTATTATAAGTAATCAGAAAAACTAGAAGGAAACTAAACACATGTTTGCAAGATATTTTCTTTAACAGAACATTGTGATCAGAGTGTTTAAGATACACATTGTGATCAAGTGGCTGAATGCGGCATGATGAAACAATTTCTTGTGTTTTTTTGCAAACTACTGATGTGCCCTACTGATTTCTTTTGAAAGTAATTTTAATTTAAAAAGATATCACCAAGGTACAACTGAATATATGTATACCCCCCTTAATTAACGTTATAGTTACGCCTCTGTCTACAGCATCACGTTCGTTATGCTACATCTGTTCAGATTGCAGGCGATAAAAATCAAACGAACGTTCCGAAAATTATACTTTATTGTGATTTTCACTGCCCTAAATTCGTAAATTTTCTCATGGAATTGTAAACAGACAGAACGTAATCAAAATTTAACAAGTATATAGGTCGCGCGGGGGAATGAATCAAGGAATGACAAGAAAAGTGTGCTGCAACGCTTAGACGCAACAGAGGCCGGTTACACGAGGCCTGGATGGCGTTATCCAAACTTTGTCCTCCCCAGATTATTAGTTATAAATATTTTACAGTCAAACAACGACTATTTATATAATTTAAGTGTTAAATTAATCCTACAATCAAAGAGTTTTTGAATAATTTTAAAATTCTTTGTCAAAAAAAGTTTGACGAAGTTATGAGGAAAAAAATAATTACAATGTTTTGATCAACAAACGTGTTACTTAAATGATTCATGAAAAGATATTAGTGTTGTATTGAAGGGATGCTTGCCTGAGTAATCCAATTATCCTGTTCAAACTTAAAATATAATTATTTTTTTCTTTAGTAATGATACAACATATGTTGCCGGCTGTGCAACTCACATTAAAACGACGTTTTCATCTTTCTGATAAAGACATTAATGGTCTTAACATTGCTCAAGGCGTTTCTCTCGTGACTGCCGTCATTCTTTTTGGCTTTTTCGGCAATTTTCGAGCAAAAAAGATTCATTGTATTGCCAGTGGTCTAGTAGTTACAGGTAAGTTAAACATTTTAAGGACCATGGATAGCAAATTGTATCATTGACCTCAACTTCTCTCCTTACTGCTATGAAATTTTTTCTCATTGGACAGCTAGAGTGCTGGACTTTTGAACTAAGCCATATTTCAAAAAAGTGACTGGGCTATGCCAAAAGTCAGTGATGACGACCATAAGTATTCACACTGGTCCATTAAGGTCCGGCCTTTAGCTTAACTACACTCAAAACTGATAACTGCGAAACATCAATATAGGTCATAACCTCATACCGTAGTGAACATTTCTTATTTTAGAACTCTTCTAATAAATACACTTCGTTTGTGTTGGTTGCTTTCGTTTACATAATGCACGTTTCTTTTACAGGTTTGGGTGCAATATTCTTTGCAGTTCCACACTTTCAAACATCTGACTATGCACCATTTAATGGGACAAAGAGCTTTTATACGAATCTTGGCCTTTGTCGCATTACACCAGGACCACCTGCACAATGTTTAATCAAGAGTGTTGAATCATCACATATGGGAATGTTTGTGTTTGGTCAAATATTGATTGGAGCAGGTCTTGCACCTCTTTACTCTCTTGCACCATCTTATATTGATGAAAACACTACACCAAAATCGATGCCATTTGCCATGACATTATGGTATGTTTTACTGGCGTTGGGTCCCCTTTCTGGTTTGTCTGGAGGTGGAATATTTCAGGCTAACATTTATATTGATATACATCAGGTAAACAAAATGTTACAACTAATTTTCATTACTTCTTACATGACGTATTTATACTATGCTAACATTTTGTCTACTACAGCCAAAGCTCGTTTATCCAATGGATAACAAAGATCCCCGCTGGCTTGGTGCTTGGTGGCTCGGATACTTGGTATGTGGCCTTCTTACCATGTGGTTTGCTGTCATAGTCGCTGGTTTTCCTCCTTATTTACCAGGCTCCCGCAATACAAGAGATGAACATATCCTTAAAGGTACACGGATAGTAGGATATACATAGCTGACAAAATACTAACAATATTGTTTACAGTTTTTCTGATGCCATAGTTTAACCTTCTTTTTTGAAATCTAGAACATATCAATAGATGAAGAATTCTTTAAGTATGAATTTGGTGAATTTTCTAGGGAACATTCAAGCCAAAGACGATAAGATAACGATGTCTCCTTTTGGTTTACTATATTCTACAATAACTTTATTCAAGAATAAAACATTCCTTTTCAATACATTGGCCAATCTGTGCATTGTCTTCTTCATGTACGCCATTGGACCATTTATGGTTCAAGTTGTGACAATAAAATATGGTGCTGATCCTTTATCGATAGCAATGCCTGTCACATTTGCTTCTTTTTTTGGTATCATAGGTTGGTGACGTTGATTTTTCAATAACAACAATGTTTTTATAATATTGAAATAAATGGTGACAGGAATTATTAAATATTTCTTAAACGTTTCTTTTTAGCTGGTGTTGTTGGTGGTGGTTTACTGACATATCGTATTTCTTTAAAAAAACTTGTTAAAGGAGCCGCATTTCTTTGTCTTATATTACAAACAGTTGCAATTCTCGCTCCATTATTGTTTGTCATTCCTGGCTGTAATGAAAGTAACATAGCTGGTGTAACTAAAGAATATCCTGCGATTGGGTGAGAATATTAAATTTATGTATGACAAGACTTTGTTAATCTAATGGTTAAGTTTATCTCTGCTGTCACACTCCAGTGACAATATCATGAGCTAAACAATGTTGCGCTGCCTGCATTTTCCATTGTTGTTAACAATATTATTCAACATTGTAACATCTAATTGAGACTCAACAACACTTTTCAAACTTGTTAACAACCGTTATCTATGTAATAAGCATAACATTGTTTTATACTAAAGTAAATGGTTTGAGCATGGGAGTATTTCTGCACGTTTGTAGATGTTGATTGTCAAAGTTGGTAAAGCTGTGTGAAAAAGCCTTGATGTTTGTGTAGACTGACAATTCTACAACCTTAGCGTTAGTCATCTACAGAATCAATGACTTAAGCTAAAATTGTCAAAACATCAGTCAACATCAAAGGTCCTTCTTGCAACTCTACCAACCTGGAGAATCTACATCTACATAAAGATAATTGTTCAATTTTGCTCTTCCCGTTGAGGGAAATAGAGACTTTTAGTTTAAATCTCAGCGTTCTCATTCAGAACCTTGAACTTAACGTAGATATTAATGACTATCTTTCAGAGGTAGAGCCATGCCAATGATGGGTGAAAATGGTTCAAGTGAAATAACATCAGTTTGTAATGTACAATGTAATTGCTCAACGTTCTTCAGTCAGCCTGTATGCGGTTCAAATAATGTCGCTTATTTTGATCCTTGTCATGCTGGTTGTAAAGTTAGGATAGACGACACTGTAAGTATTGGTATGGTGGTGTAAGTATACGATTGATGGTGCATTATTTGTTGCGTTTTCGTCATTCGATTTTTTTCTCAAAACTATTTAACTTCCCTTGTAACAATCGAGCAAAATACAGTAGAATATAAGAGAATTTTGAGTTGTGATCAATGAAACCAGACGAAGTCAACGTTAAATAAATTATTATGTTTATTTTTCTTACAGGATGACTACACCAATTGTACATGCGTACCCCCTGGTCCAGGACAGAAATATGGAACAGCAAAGAAAGGATTCTGTGATCGGGGTTGTGCAAGCTGGAAGCTTTTCGTCTTTCTATTATTCGTAGCTGTAGCATTGTTTACAGCAAATATTGTTCCAAGCAAGGTCGTAATACTGAGGTAGGTCATAGTGAAATTTATTTACGACAAAATCGCTATGGAGAATTGTAGTATTCATGTACTCCATTATTTTCATTCTTAGATGTGTTAAAGATAATCAGAGATCGTACGGTCTAGCTGTGCAACAGTTTCTTTTCATTCTTTTTGGCTTTATTCCTACTCATCTTGTTAAATACATCATTGATCGAGACTGTCATATATGGCAAACGGACTCTTGTGGACGCAAGGGATTTGTTGGGATTACCATACCAACTCTATGAGCAAGAGCATGACAATATTTGGTCTTGTAATTTCAAGTATGTTCTTTGGAATTATTTTTATGTTTATCATTTACTTATCAGGTTCAACTCCTAGAAATCATTCACTGCCAAGGTTCAACTCCTAGATATCATTCACTGCCAAAGTTCAACTCCTAGATATCATTCTTTGCCAGGATTCAACTCCTATATATTATTCTTTGCCAAGGTTCAACTCCTAGATATCATTCACTGCCAAGGTTCAACTCCTAGATATCATTCACTGCCAAGATTCAACTCCTAGATATCATTCACTGCCAAGTTTCAACTCCTAGATATCATTCACTTCTGTGGTACAATTCCTTCCCAAACTAACAGCAAAATAGACAACTGATTTACGCCATTTTGTGGTAAATTAACTTTAAAAACAGTAGTTGGACTAAATTCCTGAATTATTCTTTTTCTAGCTCTAGCCACAGTGTTTTTCTTCCTTTCTTGGTATCTCCAAAATGAAAAAGCAAAGAAATCTGATATATTGCTGAGTGGAATGGTCGCACAGCCTGAGGATGTAAGTGACGACCAGGTCACCCCGATGTGACGTCACTTCATACGCAGAACATTACGTAATTCACGCTGTGGAAATATATCAACTTATTAGAAAATTTCTTTATCAGTCGTTACGGAGTATTCATTCAATAAAATGAATCATACGGGTTTTTTAAGTTTGAATTTTATATATTGATACGAGTATTTTGATTCATCCCGGCCAACAATTATTTTTAATATTATGTCCAAGTTTATGGAAAATTTTTACATTAATGTTGAAACATTGCACTTTGCATAAACATTTAGATTCAGCTTATCTGCTTCCGGTATGCGATAGAAAATGTTGTTAAAATGCCAAAAAAATTATGCTGCTCAAGAATAAGTGAATTTCCTCATACTGTTTCTGTTATTCCACATTATAAGCTTGTCATTTTAGTTATCTATCAATAAATTTATACTGTACAACTTAATTATTCCTACTAAACACAAAAGGAACATCCCCTTTTAGTAAAGACAGCTGGATTCTTCCTATTTCGCATTTAAAAATATGGTTGAAAGCATTTGAACAATTGCATGATAAATTTCAATGCAAACGCAATTTAGCATGTCTGATTACAAAATCGTATTGCGATGTTTTAAAATCAGGAGTTGGGTCACAATATCTATAGTGCGTATTTTGAGAGTTGACAAGGTAGGTTGCCTAAAGTAAGATAAAGTAAAGTTTGATATTTAACAAAATTTAATGCGCAAACTTATGATATGATGAGGAAAGGAATCATCGCTGAAGTACAATTTGCAACTATTTTGTAGTCAGCATTTTGATGTAAACAGAGTAAATAATTCGTTTCAATAGTGGCTTTTTGCTTTCTGGTAAAGAACGTAACTTATAAATTATGTTGAATTGATACAATGAAATAGTTAAACTAGAAAAATGAGAAATATACAGTTAGTCAAAATGATCGCATTTGTTGTATGGTAAATATTTCATTTCGTATGGAAAAGACTACTTTTCGAAATGTAACATTTATTGTTAAGTTAACACTTAATGCGGTTAAACCAGCTTTACTATAAATTGCGTAAGCAAAACTTGGTCAAAATCATCATAACAAGGAAAGGAAAAGATTTACAACATACTGCATGATGTGTCTATTCTTAATAACGATAATGATAAAATTTATTTCATCAAAAGAATGACAACAATTTGTATCAACATTAGTTAGTCAAGTTCAGACATTTAATGATTAGTTATGTAAAATAATTTCCTGTTTTATTAAATTTCACAATAAACATGTTTTAAAACATGACCTAGCGCCGTTCCTTTGACCGATTTGATATTTTTTGAATGTTTTCTTCAAAACGACATAAAGCTTATTTAAAATTAATCATCGCACTGACTACAGTGCTTTAACGTGATGTAACTTGTTGCACAAGATAAAAATTTTGAATAATTGTTGCAACAGCTGTTTGAAGAGTCTGCAACATCAGACAAACTTCGATCAGGAAATCCAGGCTCTATTACTAATAAAAATAAAAACGTTTGGCGGGTGTCATTGTTTCTTTGTATTATGGAAAAAATTCGCTCATCAATTTTGCCTGGCTATATATTGCATGAGAAATGTTTTAAGCAATATAATATTATGAGGAGCTTGGGAAATGTAGGAATGGCGATGATTTAAAGTTTAAATACATATAAGAACTGTTTCAGTTCATAGCGAAATGATCTGGTGTTTTCTGAAACAAGCTGTTTTATTTGAAAAACTATCTTGCAAAACAGCTGTTACATTTGTGAGATTGTAAAGCTGTAAAATCTTAAGGTAAATGTTTAATTTTTTAATAAAAACACTGCAGACAATTTCTATCACAATAACGATGAAGCCATCATATATTATAGCTAAACCACTTGATACAGAAAAACCTTTCAAATATAAACTTTATCTCCTATAGCAACATTCATTGACTTTTGTCTATAAAATTACAAATTATTCTTGCTTCAGTTTTCAACACCAGCGAACACGTTGACGTAGGTGGTGTAAGTTATATCTTTCCGATTATTTTTTAAAGATATCAAAACAACACGAACGCGAAATAAATCGGTTCAGTCAAAATCAACATTCATTTGTACACATTGATAATGTAAATGCTGCTTTGTAAAATATTTTTGAATCTTCCAGGCGCGGTTTAGTCAACGATGGCTGACAAAATGAAAGAAGTAGAAGTCTTTTTGCCGGAACTGAAAAAGAAATCGAAAAAATTTGGATGGGCAGGATTTAAGCCTGATTGTTTACAAATATTTAATGGTCCAAAATGCTTTCTTGTTGTTCTTGTACCATATACAATATGTCAAGGTAAGTTTTTCAACTTCTATTTGTAAATTTTTTTATTAAATAGTTTTTCAATAATGAAATGTTTGTGTTATAATGATACGAGATTAAAGTCAACTATAAAGTTAACTGTAACTTGAGTTCTTGAAGTGACCTTAAAATATAATCAGGTTTCTATCATATAAAAATCGGAATTAAAATATCTTATTTGAAAGATGTCATTTTTTCCAAACCATACAAAGAAAAAACAATATTCTTTCAATATTGTTGAGGAAAGACACGAACTCCAAGACAAGATACATCTTCAATATTATATTTCCAATATGTACATAAACAGAATTTTTTAATGTCATCAACACCACACCTTTAAAATTTAAGCTTTTACGGAAACATTTATAATTGTCTTTCAATAATTAAAGCTTTGTATGTGATGATATCTCACATCTTACTCAAAGTGTTCTAAAAAATTTAACTGCATACTGAGACATTATTTTTTCAATTTGGATTTCAACCTGATAAAAATTGTTGCACAACTGCAAAAGATCTTATGCGTTTCGTATTCAGTTCAAGTAACGCGGCGTGTAATTTCAGAGTTTTCATTCAATGGTAAATATTTTTCTTCTGACGCATGTCTAGCAATGGACACAGTCACGTTCGTATTCTGTTATCAGACACGTACAAAATAAAATAAATTCCGAAGAGGGACATCCCGTTTTCTTGATATTCAAGATATTACAAAAGTTTGAAACAAAAGATGGTGTGATATTTCATCTGTTGTTTCAAACTCTTTTAATATCTTCAATATCAAGAAAACGAGATGTCCCTCTTCGGAATTTGTTTTATTTTGTAATATTTGAAATCGTCTGCTTCTCCTGGTTATTATCAGACACGTTGCATAAGCTTTCGCAATATGACGAAAATATCCTTTATTTGAAGCAATTTTCATATCGATACTCAGGCGCATAAGTAGCTGCAACATTACTTTATAAAGTGAACACTATCCTATATATAATCCTTCATTTTCCTAACTCCTACTGTAGGTTGTACAACGTGTAAACCTTTCAGCGGACTTCAATAGTGTAAGACTGGATAAATTTCAACAAAGTTCTGACCAACTCTTCACACGAATTATATCATATGTGGCGAGACTTTAAACTCACAAACAACTCTCGTAATGATACACTTAAGCGATGGCGGTAACCGAATGGAATGTTTTTCTTGATGCAAGTCATCTAATAAGCTGCATTTTTAAAATTAAAATAAATTGAATCCTTTTCATGCTTAATAACGTGACTTTTTACTTTAAGGCAATGCTTAACTGTGTTGAACGATGTCAACCAACTGATGTTATTTTTTATAGCCATAATAGCAATGGGTTTGTCCAATCTCACTTTACCGAGTATTGAGAAAAGATTCAGTCTGACCTCAACAGATCTTGGAGTGATAATGGCCTCAAATGACGTCATGGCTTTAGTGCTGGTGCTGTTTATTAGTTTCTACGGTGACTATGGTAACAAGATTCGTTGGATTGGCGGAGGTGGCGTTATTTTAGGTAAGCAGTGTTACCCACTGAACTACATAACTATTGTATAGTTCAATGGTGTTACGTCATAGAAACGGATTTATGAGACGTCATATGTTATCCTCTCTAGGTATTGGTTCATTATTGTATGCTCTACCGCACTTTCTTATTGGTCCATATGACTCATCGCATATGGGAAGTAATGGATTCATATGTATGATTTCTAATACAACATCTACACAATGTAATATGAAAAGTGACAGTAGATGGTATTATATGGCAATATTTATTATTGCGCAATTAATAATGGGAGCTGGCACATCTCCATTTTATTCATTACTACCCGCTTACCTTGATGAAAATGTCCATCCTAAACATACACCCGTTTATCTCGCCATTTGGACATGCGCAACATTCCTCGGTCCAGGCCTAGGAATGATTGTTGGAGGAAAATTTCTCAGCATTTACGTGGACCTGGAGAAAGTAAGATAAAATATATCCGTTCAAGGCCAAATATATCTACGGGGGGAGCAAGAAAGTGTTACTTGGGGGGGGGTATTTTTCACTAACATTGAAAAACGCCAACCTTATATAATATCACCCCCGTCCACAAACTACTTTCATCTATAGTAATATCAGTAATACAATTATTTCAAACTGAACGTAAAAGTTAAAAAATAAAAACTCTAAAACATCTTTATATAAATATTTTGCACAAATTTCCGACTGAAAACAACTTTTGTATCATTTCTTACATAAAGCCACAATGAAGACAGTTTTTTATGAACTTAACGACGTAATAATACAAAAGTATAATTAAAAATAACCAGGCCATGGGAGGGTTGGAAGTTATCAAGCAAAACAGTAAAATTTTATTAACTGTCCGTAAGACTTAAATCATTTCAATGGACAAACACGAATAAATATGTTCATCTCATATGTATGTATTCAAAACATAAGGTTTAAAATACGATTGAAAAATATAGTTTGTTTTATTAATATCTGTAAATAAATAATCATGATACTTCATGTTACTTGTAGCGCTGTGCGAACCATTAAATATTTTTATAAACGAAAATAAAAGAATCATCATTTATAATGAACATGACTATCAATTCTATAAAATTTTTAGTTTTTACACAACAGCTCACGTTAACAGAAAGTTTTTGTTTCTTAAGCCCAAAGGTGTGAACCTCAAGCCACGTGACCCACAATGGATCGGCGCATGGTGGTTGGGTTTTGTCATATTTGGAATCCTTACTATCATATTTTCTATTCTTCTACTTGCGTTTCCCCGTGAGTTGCCTGGGTCGAGAGAAGTACGAAAAGAAGAAATAGAGAAAGGAAATCTAAGACCAGCAAAAAGCGCCATAAAACCAACTATGAAAAAACTTCTTCCTGAATTGAAAGATTTGCTGACAAATTGGACGTTTATTTTCAACACGTTGGGTCTAACTTCAACCTTACTTTTTATAGGTGCCCTTATTCCCTTTTATCCTAAAATACTTATTGTTAAATTTGGTGTTCTTCCAGAGAAAGTTGGGTATGTTTTGGGATCAATAATGGCACCAACAATGATTGGTAAGTTGCATATGTGGGTATGTTTTGGGATCATTAATGATACCAACAATGATTGGTAAGTTGCATATGTGGGTATGTTTTGGGATCAATAATGGCACCAACAATGATTGGTAAGTTGCATATGTGGGTATGTTTTGGGATCATTAATGATACCATCAATGATTGGTTAGCTGCATATGTGGGTATGTTTTGGGATCATTAATGATACCAACAATGATTGGTAAGTTGCATAAGTACATAATGGCAAAAAAACTATTCCAACATTAATGTAATTTGCTAAATCACTTTATTAAAGGTTTCAAAAGGATTTTATATCACATCACTTATCATTTTAGTGGGAATTGTAATTGGTTCTGCAGTAGTAAAGAAATTTTCTCAAAGATGTTTGCAAAAAATCTGCACTTTTTATATTTTTCCTGCGTGCTCTTGGTTTCATATCACCGTTGTCTTTCCTTATTTCTGGTTGTAATAATATAAATTTAGCTGGAGTGACGACACCTTACGTCACATAGTAAGTACTCAATAACTTAACTGGATTGATAGTGTTGTCTTTTTCAATTAGAACAAGTGTAAACTCAACTAGTGAGCATTTTGAATGCTTAAATTATTTTTACCTTAGTACATAATTTCATGAAAATTTTCGAATTGACTTCTTGTTCATTTCATTAGTGATTCAGTAAATTCCACGACAGAGAACATTATGAATAATGATTTGTCACTCATTCACACCTGTAATGATAAATGTGGCTGCTCAAAAAGTCGTTTTACTCCAGTATGTGGTTCTGATGGTCTCACATATTTGAATCCATGCCATGCTGGATGTAAAATAGTTTTCGGAAACGGGGTAAGACTTTATGGAATACGTCATAATCACATCTCATCCCTTAAGTTCACATCTAACCCCTTATGTTCACATATCATCCCATATGTTCACATCTAATCTCTTATGTTCACATCTAATCCCTTATGTTCACATATCATCCCATATGTTCACATCTAATCTCTTATGTTCACATCTAATATGTTCACATATCATATATGTTCACATCTTATGTTCACATCTAATCCCTTATGTCCACATATCATCCAATATGTTCACATCTAATCTCTTATGTTCACATCTAATCTCTTATGTTCACATATCATCCCATATGTTCACATCTAATCTCTTATGTTCACATCTAATCCCTTATGTTCACATATCATCCCATATGTTCACATCTAATCTCATATGTTCACATCTAACGCCATATGCTTACATCTAATCTCTTATGTTCACATCTAACCCCTTATGTTCACATATCATCCCATATGTTCACATCTAATCTCTTATTTTCACATCTAATCCCTTATGTTCACATATCATCCCATATGTTCACATCTAATCTCTTATGTTCACATCTAATCCCTTATGTTCACATCTAACGCCATATGTTCACATCTAATCTCTTGTGTTCACATCCCATCCCGTATGTTCACCATCCCGTATGTTTACATCCCATCCCGTATGTTCACATCTAATCTCTTATGTACACATCCAACGTCATATGTTCACATCCCATCCCGTCTGTTCGTATCTAATCTCTTATGTTCACATCTCATCCTGTATGTCCACACTAGTCACAGCTAGCCATAAGATCGCGCAAACATTTGATTCTCAGCAGTTTTAAAATTCTCATTTCAGACTTTATCAGGTTGTTCATGTGTTAAACGCCATTCTCAATCTCAAGGAAAGATTGGAACAGCCAAAATGGGAGTATGCGATAGAGATTGTAAAAATTTTATCCTTTTGTCAGTTTACTGGCGATTGATATCATCCTCCAGTTTGCGAAAATGGTTCCAGACAAAACAGTGACACTAAGGTAAGACAAGCTATGAATTTTACATTCACAGATTAACCGTTCTAATCCAGCAATTGTTTAAGAATATTTATATTTTAGGTGTGTTCCGGACGATAAACGAGCGTTTGCAAATGGTGTTCAATACATATTTATGAAAGCGTTAGGTTTTCTTCCCGGTCCTATTTTATTTGGTGGCGTTGTTGACAACACATGTACTGTGTGGCAGAAAACATGTGGTGTTAGAGGAAGATGTTTTGATTATGATATTGAGAAATTAAGTTACGCTGTGTGCGTACTTGGTGTTTCTTTAACATGTAAGATGTATTTATTTGCCATGGAAATTTATCTCAATTTCATTATAATTCACGCGTAAATTCATCACGAGAAGAAGGTTTTCTCATTAGACTCTGAAGATGACTACCGCTAAGATTGTCGAAACGTCAGTCAACAACAACAAAAACAGTCCTTCTCAGGACTATACCAACCTGGACGATCTACATTTACAAACATGTAACGGTATACCCGGGTTCAAACCATTTACTTTAAGAAGGTTTTCACTAATAACAATTATGAGAACGCAGGGTTGGGATAAAATCAATTTCGTCTACAATAATATCCTAAAATGGTCGACAGAACGGTTCTTTTTCAAAAGCCAGTCAAATAAGATGAGAAATGTTTATAATTTCCTTCAAGAGCTAGGTTTGAATACGTTATGGTACAACTCTAATACGACCATCGACCATAATGATGGTCGAAATGAACAAATAATTGTTAAAATCTAGGGCAGTAACAATTGCTGCGATTCTTTAAATAAGTGAAGCATTTTACTTACATGTTTTCTTCATTTTAGTCGTATCCGTTGTATTTTATTTCCTCTCGTGGTTCCTCTACAAACCCGAAGATACAATGGACAACGTCGGCAACGAAACGACCAACAACTTTGAATTTTTGATAGATAGTAAAGAAACGAATTTATAATAACATCAAATAACGAAAGAATTGCAAAACATTATCGTAAAAACGTATTTTCATACATATAAATTCCACATTTTATAGTGAAATATAGCACTAGATAATCACACAGCGAATTCACTATCTCTAAATACAAAGAAAATTTAACCTGCTACAACAGTAATTCGGTATAGAGTGAACTAAGTCTGGTTTACACGAGAGAAATATGCATAACTTGAGCTATCACAATCAACAAATCACGAGTAATGATTCAAACGCAAGCTTAATTAAAGGAATAAAAGGACAAAAGAATATTTCAATAAAATCTGGAGTCTTTGTCTTTGCAAATCTCTACGGAGGCTATCGAATGAACTGAAACACCATAATTTGTTAGTGGAACTTAATCAAACGCATGTGAGATTTAAAAACGTGTTTAAGACATACGCTTAGCTATTCAACCCATTCAAAGGCGAACTAACTTTAATATGGACATGAAAGTCCAATATAAGACTTCTAAAAGAGACAAATTTGAAAAATGCAAGCTTTTTGACAATAACGTTTCGTTTTCTTAATTATTTGCACAGTCATTGAAATTGTAATATATGATCTTTTTGCATTTTTTGATAGACAATGTCTTGTGGTTTATGCTTGAACCAGGAACAATGAAATATACATTAACACACGCTAAGAAAAACTGAGATTAAATAACAAATACATCAATGAAGCAAATCACTTATGCATCCTATCATAAACTAAAAGAGACAAGGATAAGGAAAGATACAAGCATCGTAAGTAGAAATAAAATAAAATAAGATTTCACAAAACTTTCCGATGTCATTGTCTTAGTATAGCCTTGAGCTAAGGAAACAAACCACTCGTGCAATCCGGGCTATACCGGTGCCCAGCGACAAAAGCGTTAATATCCGACCTATTCCGAAGATTTCTTCAAACATGGCGACTGCCGCAAAAACTCCAGATACAAGACAAGAACTTGCAGAATTAATCAAAAGACGGCAAGAATTATCTGTAAGTTTTTGGAAAGGCGTTATAATTTTAATTTAACTCAAGAAGTATATGATTTTGTGATGTTTAAGCTCTTACCATCGTGAAATTGCGTTTTTTATTTTCCCCTTAGAAATGTAACTGAAATTGAGAATATATGTGTTTGAAAATTTTTATTGAAGTCAAAAGTTTATAAGACCACGTTTATCAAGTGGACACGTATAAAAGCCTCCAAATAATTATATTTTGATCTCTTCAATATCAAATTTGAGTATTTTCTACTTTGAGTGATTTGTTAGTAAAAAGATGCATTTCATTCACCTAATTCAACTTTACTACATTGCCAAAAACTTGCTGGGCATGATTTAATCATCAATTACCAAAAGCTCTCTGTTATAATTTATATATTTCTTCAACCTGAAGCAGCTTCCACTACGACCAGGATATTGTCCTTCTTTGTTGTGATTTGTGTAAAAGCCTCCACATAATTATATTTTGATCTCTTCAATATCAAATTTGAGTGTTTTCTACTTTGAGTGATTTGTTAGTAAAAAGATGCATTTCTTTCACCTAATTCAACTTTACTACATTGCCAAAAACTTGCTGGGCATAATTTGGTCATCAATTACAAAAGCTCTCTGTTATAATTTATATATTTCTTCAACCTGAAGCAACTTCTACTACGACCAGGATATTGTCCTTCTTTGTTACGATTTGTGTTGTGCAAAGCTAAAATGTTTAAATATTAAATTCTTTTTTCCTTGATAGGAGAGTTTGGCAAACTTAGAAAGACAGATCTATGCATTTGAAGGAAGCTATTTGGAAGATACTCAACAATATGGAAACATTATCAGAGGCTGGGACAGATTAATGTCAAATAAGTAAGATAACAAAATGTTATTGACCAAAATATCATTTACTATTTAATGTTATCTACTCAATGTTTATATTTACTAGGAGTTCATCAAGTAAGCTTGAAAGAAAGCATAGAAAATTTAAAGATGCAGAAAGATTGTTTTCAAAATCATCAATAACATCTCTTGCTGTATGTATACTAAACTACTGAACGATTTTTTGAGGTAAACGTATGACAAAGAGACAGAATTTTATTGAAATTAATTTTTATATAATTAACAGGCCGTTCAAAGAGGTGGTCTGTCTGAACCAGAACCAGAAAGAAATCTAAGTATGTTAATGACACAAACTCCTTATTTTCACATGAATTTTAGTGGTGACTTTACATTGTACATACTAAGGCAAAAGTATTTGAAATCTTTCAGGAGAAGCACCAACAAATCTAGAACCTTTGCAACACAATCACATTGGAAAGTTCACAAAGGTATTTAATGATTAAACAACTTTGATTATTAAAGTGAAATTAAGGTTTGTCAATTCTTGAATTTGCAGCTTCTCACAAGAAAAGAAAAAACAAAAAAAGGTAACATTAAATTGTACCTTGATTAATGAATTGACGAATTCTTCATTTTCACATCAAATTTTGTATTTCAGAAGCATTGAATTGGGTCTGAAGAAAGGCGCGGGTAGAGTGACTGATTTCAGTGCTGGAGAGGTTCGTAAAATAAAGAAAAAAAATAAATTGCTTGTTAAAAAACGGAAGTATCGATCAAAGACCATTCAAAAACATTGTAATTGATTGTGTGTGTGTTTGGAAGAGTAAAATTTGAGAATAATAAATTTTGAAAATATTTTTTGGACTTAGAAGGATTTTTTGGACTTAAAAGGATTTTCTTCATTCAATAGTGATATTTTACCTGTTTTTACAGGATGATGAATGAATACGCAGTTCGCCAATGGATCTCTCTCAAATTATCCATTAATATCCAACAATATCCTGTACATTGCTTTGAATGAGCAGAAATTTAGAAATGCTGTTTGGCCGAATTAAGGCCAAAATTTTACTCATTTTAATTGTAGATTTATTAGTTATAATTAATGTTTTTTAATATTTATATTTCTTGTATCATAGAGAATTGATCAAACGTTTTTCAAATGAATAAATGTTTAATAAATTAAAGTTTTATTGAAAACTTTAGCTTAATTCCATGTTGATTTAATGAAACAGATGAACAGAAACGCTCTTTATAAAATATCATTTTCTATAACGTAATGACCACCCAACAAACTTTACTTTAAACAATGTCTAAGAAAAACAAATTCTTGGAACTGCTAGTTGATAACTATGACCACAAATAACACAGCCTGGTACATCTTTCTCATATTTCCTAGGTATATACCAACATCTCTCGCAATGAATCCTGTATTTCTTGTAACGTATACCACAAGCATTACAAAGGGGGATACGGCCTTCGACATCTCGCCATAATGGTGTTTTTAAAACGCCACAGGATCGACATTGTTTTCTTGCTTTAACATTACCTATCCGTTTACAGCCTAGTTCATCAAAATTCTCTTTATCTTTAGTATCTTCCATCTGTCCATCATAAATCTAAAATGAGAAAACTAGTTCGGACAAAGTGAAGAACCAGTAGCCATGATGGTTCAAACAAGTTATTTGTACATGGTAAACAAGAAATAACTTTATTAAAATACATCGAAAGAACAAAAAATTCCACTCACATTAAACTTGAATCTGGTTTCTAGCGATGTAGGTTGAAGTCGATTCTTCCCCTCCGTTAAAAACAGCCCAGGAAATCTTTTCTTTTTGCCGTAAAATACGAACGAATAACGAGTTGCGTCTCCATGTCAGTATTATTTCTTTTAATATTCGTCTTCATTTCTAAGGTTACACCCCGAAAGCTTGGATCGGATTTATTTTCACTTTTGCTAGGTTTCAAAGGCTTACGAGGAGTCACACGTTTCTTATCTTTTTGTATTAGAGATTTTTTCGGAGTTCGAGGATAATAATTTGGATGAATTTTTTCAAACGAAGTCTTCAACGAAGTTAGATCCGGAGAATCGCTAGATTTTCAAATAATAATCAGTCAGTTTTTTTCATTTCATTCACTAGCTTGCCGACTTAAATTTCATAAATTTTAGACTTTTTCATATTTACCTCTGGATGTATTACACTTCTATGGTTAAAATTGAACTATTACAGTATTTCTCCAACAAATATCGTACCTTATCGACGGACAAGATGAACAACTTGAACCGTTCGAATCTTGAGAATGAAGATTACGATGGCTAAAAAACTGCAGGTTTTCTTTCTCCGCATTGCAAGATATATCTTCGGTCGTATTAGACATGACCAAAAAAACTTTTGAAGTAAGTTTACATGTTCATATTTTGGAAAATTCAAAAAGAAACTCTAAGAAGCAAAGAGCAAAAGCTTTTTTAGACAAAAACAAGTAGCTTTGGCTCTAAATTTTTTTTTTTTGATTTCAACTTTCGCGCCTAAGTTCGATAATGGTTCGAGAACCAATCAAATTGCACGTGGAGAAAATTGGCCAATCACAATCGCACATGTACTGTTATTAAAAGAGAGTTGACCATTGGAGTTGACCAAGGTCAATCTGAGATCCACAATAGGTTATAAACACTGAACTATATATTTATGAATTATTTAAATCATTTTAAAATCTCAAAAGTATTTGTTTCACAAGAAAATCACTTGATTGCAAGGGTTCGAAGCATATTATGTGATATAGGCCAGAACTCATTGTCACAATCAGTTTTATTCAAATCCTGACCTTCACTTATCATTATATGGAGTTGAGATTCTCTTGCTTCATGAACTGGCAACTTCTTACCAACAACTGACAATAAAGGAAGCTCCAAAGGACCAAGTCTACACGAATCCTAGGGAAGGGCAAATGACTTACAATACTGCAATAGGAACATTAAAAACACTTGTCATTTGTCAACCATGTGCACAATATTTTACCAGATTTGAATCTTCATCAATAATCAGATAATTGTCCAATAAATTATCTTCATTCTGTTCACCATCCTGCACATCACTGATGACACCATGCTGAGAATATATCCCTTCCTCGTTAGAATCATCTTCTTGATTGACAGATGACAAGTAAAAACTTCTATTGAGACAATGAAAAAATTTATAGAAGACAAAATCTCGAATTAAATGTAGAAAAGCTGGAATGAATGGCTAAACTTCCTTCACCTTGCAAAGTTTACATCCTTAAGTTTACAGTCGAAAAGCTCCTTCATAATCTCAAGATTTTCTTGTTCTAAAGTCTCGACAATCAGTGACATATCTTCGACAGCCCGCTTATGAATACTGATCTGTATATAAATCAAGCTAACTGAATGAAGTTTACCAAGAAAGCTGAATCAATCAAAACAAAAAAAATATCTGCACTCAAACATAAAAGAAAAGAATGGTTCACCTCTTTCTTGAGCCATTGATAGTCAGTAAATTCCTGCCTATCATCTTTTTTGATTGAGTTAACTGCTTCCTCGGATGCAAGTCTTTTCTGATCTGCTAACATTGCTTCAGCCTGTTGTTGAATTTCCTCTTTTGCAATTTTTAAACTGTGATTTAAATGCGTTGAAACCTCTTGAACAGACATTTCCATGTTAGATAACTTCTTTTTAAGCACATTGATCTCATTACTATTGACAACTTGACCATTTATCTAAGTAAAACAGATATACTTTAAGGAAAACTGCAAAAACTGTCACTATGACTTGTGAAATACCTTATAACCGTTTCTAATAGAAGCAATCTGTTTCGTTTCCGTTATTTCACTCTTTAAACTTCTGATTTTCGCCTTTAATTCTACAAACAAGTAAACTGTTTCATTCATTTTTAAGTTACAAGACAGTGGTGTACCTAGTTTGATATTTGAAGATGGAAGAAGAGAGAAATATTTGTAAATGTAAATGTTCAGATAAAGTAAGCTAAGTTTATTTCCAATGGATTACAAATTGCATATAGAAATATTTGCATCCTCAATCATAGACATGGCTACACAACTCTTACAAAATAAGATTCTCACACGCGATGAATAAATTTTCACCTTCCTCTTCGCTTATCAATTTTTTGATGGTGTATATTTTATCAGCAATCGCTTTTTCAACTTCCTCTTGTTGGACAACTGCAATTTGTTCAACTTCTTTCTCACTTGATTTTGATTGTTTCAACAGCATCTTGATATGATCTTCTTTTTCTTTTTTAAGTAGTTCATTCTAAATACGTTTACAAAAACAAACAAACGTCCATTTTTCTTCAAATAAATTTAAAAAAGCACGGCTTTTAATGTTTTAGGATACCCTATAGCGAAGTTTGCGGTTTTTTTCTTTTAATACGCGATATTCTTCTGTCAATTGCTCAAGGTCTCGCTCTTTTATCTCAGTTCTACATAAAAAGCAGACAAGTTCAGTTTGCAATTTGACGTTAACATTTTCAACAACAATCATTTGTACAGAACGTACTGAAAAGCTAAAATTGCTTCTCTTGTCGTCAGCTGCTGGTATATATCGGTAATCTTCTTCTCAGTCTTTTTCCCTTTCTTTTTCCCACCTTTCCCTTTTGGAGGCATTTTCAAAGACTTATAAAAACTAACAAAAACAATCCTTTTAGTCGTTGCTTTAAATCAAGCGCCATATTGCTTCACCATGACAACTAGACTACTTTGTGCCAGGATTAGAGATCAGTGGTTACAGATTAAGAATTAATCTTGAGTTGAATATACAGAATCCAATCTAATCATTACAATGCTCAAAACCCACCCAAAACTATACCCATTATACTATATCCAATTACACTATAATTAAACTATACTATACCGAAAAACCTACCCTGCTCAAAAATGTCGACATATTTGTCTACTTTTGCAGGTAGTCGACCAAAAATTTGCAAAATCTCATTCCTCAAAAGTTTCGTTTGGTAACAGTTGCAAATGTTGTGTGGGAGGTACACGAGCTTCCTAATTTCCTGTGTGCATAAGTTCTCTTTGACAACACTTTGCAGTTAGCTAAAGCTAAAGTCCCTTGCTCGAAGACTAAAGTCCCTTGCTCGAAGACTAAAGTCCCTTGCTCGAAGACTAAAGTCCCTTGCTCGGAGACTAAAGTCCCTTGCTCGAAGACTAAAGTCCCTTGCTCGAAGACTAAAGTCTCTTTCTCGAAGACTAAAGTCTCTTGCTCGAAGACTAAAGTCCCTTGCTCGAAGACTAAAGTCCCTTGCTCGAAGACTAAAGTCCCTTGCTCGAAGACTAAAGTCTCTTTCTCGAAGACTAAAGTCTCTTGCTCGAAGATTAAAGTCCCTTGCTCGTAGCGAGGCTATCTAGGATCCCTTGCTCGAAGACTAAAGTCCCTTGCTCGAAGACTAAAGTCCCTTGCTCGAAAACTAAAGTCCCTTGCTCGAAGATTAAAGTCCCTTGCTCGTAGCGAGGCTATCTAGGATCTCAATTTTAACATCTGACATTCATGTTTCAAGAGCGAATAGGCAATGAATAATTAAGTTGACGAAACAAATGTCATAGCGTAGGTTTTCTGCCTTAAAGAACGAGACCTTATGTAAACGTCCTTTTTTTATTGATCTAGCCATGATTATGTTGATAAATGATTCTTGTAAATCTTGTTGTAAACACAAATAGAATATTTCAAAAGCCAAAAGGTCTATATATTGAAAATGTGAAAACCACTTCTCCACTACCTTCCCATCTTCCCCTGCTTTTGAAGTTTAGACGCTACTACACAGCAATAGTAAAAAAATGAGAAATAAATCTTACCAATTGCTCGAAGATTGAACACTCTCGACTGTCAGCGAAAGTCTGAAACACAAGAACTAACAAAAACCATTTGCAGGAATCCATAACAACTACGAACACATAGAAATGAGTTTGAAAATATGTGGTTTATATCATAAATTATTGAAAAATTTTCCTCCCGTCAAACATTCAATATACGATTACAGTAAATGGTTTGAACCCTGGAGTATCGTTACATGTTTGTAAATGTAGATCGTCCAGGTTGGTATAGTCCTGAGAAGGTCTGTCTTTGTTGTTGACTGACGTTTCGACAACCTTAGCGGTAGTCATCTTCAGAGTCAAAAAATGACTCTCTCAATTTTTGACTCTGAAGATGACTACCGCTATGGTTGTCGAAACGTCAGTCAACAACAACAAAAACAGACCTTCTCAGGACTATACCAACCTGACGATCTACATTTACAAACATGTAACAATATACGTTCGTCGAGTATAACTAACACTTCAGAATGAAAATGAATGTTTTAAATCCGAGAGTATTGTTACCTTTTTGTGGATATGTAGATCATGCAGGTTAGTGAAGTTCTTAAGGAAGAGCAAGTTGACACGGAAGATGACCACTGTGACCACTGCAAAAGATGTAGAAAACATTAACACGAACAATTCTTTACAGGACGGCATTAAAATGGATGATCCATATCTACAAACATGTGATATTTTTGAATTACTTACCCTTAACATCCAGCGTCCAAGTTCATGAACTAGAGTAAAGACTCGAGATACTTTGTATTTTAACATAAAGCTAATTTTTTTCAGCAAAGTAAATTATAAAAAACATAATTTAGCGTAAATGTCCTTTTTAAGGATGTACAGGATAGTCTAAATACGCATGATGAAGTATTACATACATATGTTAACCATAAGGAAGACAATAAGTAACCACATATCTAGTGGCAACTTGAACAAAACGTTATGGTCACCATACAAAATCTTACGTTAACTATGTTGACCTAGAAAGACTTTGTCTTATAACTACAACATATGAAAAGCAATCTAATGCTTCAAGGTCTTTAAGAGCCCAACAACAATGCGATCAAAGTTAACATTCTACAGAGCCATTCAATCAACGGTGTAGCTAGCTCGATAATTAAGGGGAACATTCATATACTCGTATTCTGGCGTACCTTCTTTGAATCAACTGTTTTCTACGAATAATAAGATGCAACTATCAATAATGCCCCCCCCCCTTCAATTATCGATGTTAGCTAAACCACAGTATTTAACAAAACCAGCTACAGTTAATGTACTAGAGTAAAAGCGTAAAATCTCTTACTTAGAACTGCTGAAAAAAACTCAGTCAGTCATAATGAGAATTTTCAACTGTGCTAACCAAGCAAAATCGTATAAAAAATGCAGTTTGAGCAAACTTCACGTCTGCAAAAATATTATTACAAAAAATTACAATATCTCCATGCGCTTCAACACAAGTCTTTTATAACGTAACTATCAAATATTCACAATAAAGCACTCATATATATTATACAAAATATTTCTTAGACCAACCCAAGCTTTGTTAGTTGTGATAGCCACATACCTATGATATGTAACAAACCACTATGTTACGCTCGCTGTTTAGTAATAGACTGTTGTTTAATAGAAAATCTTTTTGTCCTTAGAGGTTAGAAGGATTTTCAAATATTGAACAACAGAATAACAAATGTTAAAGGTTCATTTTTTCTCGATGAACACTCGCTGAATTAAAATCAAACCGTGTATGAAAAATTGGGAACACATGTTAACCAACGTATAAAAATACCTTTACAATACTTATAAAGATAAATAGACAAACTTTTCATGTCGCGCCTCACCATCGTCAACTTGTTCGACCAGCTCTATAACACATTGATTAAAAATTTTTTTGAGTAAGAAAATATTGTTTCTAGTGTACAGCAGATACTAGCTATTGACGTAGATGTATACAAAACAAGGTTTGTAATTTTGAAAATTTTACAAGAGTTCAAAAATAGATACATTGATTCCCTTTATAGTAGTTAAGCCTTTTAAGACTTTTCAGAAAATCTCCCACACTAGTCAAGGAACAAGTTTGTCACACAGGAAGACAAAAAACTTGTTGGCGATAAATTCATTGGTACAAACAAACTGCACTTACAATGATTTCTCTCTAATTTGAAAGACTTAAATCAAAGTCAGTAATCGCGCTCTTGATTGATCCAATGGATGACGAATCGTCATCAAAATCCTCTTCATCTTTATTTTCACCTTTACATTTTTGTGTTCCATCAACATTACAACGACACCATTGATAAAAAGACAGTCCCTCGACCACAAATTTACTCTGGAAATTCGCTTTCTCGTGTGAAGTTATTTTCAATGATGGATTGAGTTCTTCCTCTAGAACTCTCTTCAAAATCTGGGTACTTTCTTCAATATTCTGGTTGGCGCCCCTGAGCAAATGCTCCGGTTCGACCACCTTCCGAAAGACTGGGAGAGAGTATGATTTCGAAGTCTTTAATATGTGAAAACGGGATGATAGCTTGTGCGTCACGTTGCAAGAAATGTTGTAACTGTTTTAGATGCTCCATAATGATTAATTTTACTTCTATCAACGTGTAACCACAACCAAGTTGACAGAGCCACGGAGATTCGTCAGAGAATGTTGATGTATACACAGCAAGACTTTTACAGCGTTCAAACAACATGTTAATCAAGAATTCGTTTGTGTTTGGTTCAGCGTGTTTCATGATTTTTTGCCAAGAAAGAGCATTTAACATGATTGATCGTGACTCCATTTCCTCTAAGGCAGCAATCGCGTCTTCATCTTTCTCTTCTGACAAACATTTCGTTAAAAACTTCTGGTATAAACTCTGACAAGATTGGCAGTTGAGATCAAGACTGCGACTCTCCATATCTTTCACAACCTTAAACGCTTCATCATACCTATGAGCTTTAGTACAACAGTCGACAACGTCCGAATAAAGACGAGTCGTTAAACTGGTGTTTACGTTCAAATGCTCTATGATCTGACAGGCATCGGAGATATTACCTTTCTCAAGGAGAAGATGAAAGACCTGTTGTAGGAGCTTGATTCTATATTCGACGTGTTCACGATTTGTCCCATCTTCTGGTGTGGCAAAATTACTAGAGCGCAACACTTCGAAAGCACTAGCCAAACCATTTCCCAGATCTGTTTTAAGACATAACTTTACAGCAAGAAGAGCAACGGATGATGACGAAATGTCGCGGTTATACAAACCGAAATTCTTCCCACAGTTAAAATAAACGATATCATAAGTGTGTAAAACATGTAACACTTCGTAACCAACATTGAAGCTTTTGCTCGCGGAACATTTTTCCAAAAGACTAACACCCAGCATGCCGATGAACTCAACGTCGTACTCATCAAATGTTTTATCAGATGAAGAATTTGAATGAGAACTTTTCACAGAGCAGAGTTCCTTCTGCATAAAACCGACGAAGTCTTTGAAATTCCCGCTCGCTGCAGACAAATCTTTCACAAGTGAGTTTCGAAACATCCGTAAAGCATTTGATAGAACGACTTTGTTCTGAATCTTCAGTTCAACATAGGTAAGATAGAGATGACTCCAGTCTTTAGATTCAATATCTTTAGAAATACTAAGTTGACGATTTTCAAATGACGTCTTGTTATTGTTACCATCGTTACAAGGACTTTGATGTCGTGACCCGGGTAGGGTGGGGTTCGAAACGGGAGAGGTGTTGCTGTGGTTACCAGAGGACTCCCAAGAAAAACTTCGTTTCAATTTTGAGTTGTCGGCTACCTTTGAAAGCGGAATTGTCTTCGACATCAACGGGATTGTAGAAGATACAGGAGGTATGACTATATGATGTCTTGGAGGTGGTCCAGGGTCGCTGCCACAATGAGGCAGACGTGAGGGCAAGGTTGAGTTAAGGATGACCGGGTGTTGGTGAAATCCTAAGTCGCGGATTAGGGATTAAGTTAAACATCGGTCTAATAAGTAACGGATTTTGAAAAGATGGGAACGAGTCATTCATCGTACCATTCACCAAAGTTGCACGAGCACAAGTGTTGGAAGTCGTATGAATCATCGAGTCTTTCCATGTGTTTGAAAATTTCTTTTCATCAAAAAATACAGGACTTGTTAGACCATTATGATGAACATCTGGTGGTGTAGTGTTCAACACATGAGAGAACTTGCAATTTATACCAAATTTGCACCGTCCAGTACTTTTGTATTGATGGCAAATGGAAACTTGTTTCCGAACAACAGGTAATTTAGGAGATGTGGATTTCCGTTCCTTTCTTAATGCAACCTCAGCTCTTCGTCTTGCTCCATAAACTTCAATGGAAGCATTGGTGTTTTCCGGCCACATTTCCAACATTTCACACATCTTCTTGAGAATTGGAACCGAGAGATTTATGCCAGCTGCTTCGCATTTGGTAAAGACATTATAGATGTGAGAAAATTCTTTCAACGATTCCGACTTGTTAATAAAGTGTTCTAAAACATCATCTTTGGGCAAAGATCCCGTATTTACCAGTTGCAATATATGAGTCTCAACCTCACGGATGTTCAAGTTATCATTTTTGAATAAGGAGGAAATGTCATATGAAATAGACTTCCTGTGAATCAAATCAGAAGTTGTTTTGCACAGTTTGAATTACCATAAAACACGACAAGTTTATCAATGAATCTATCACTCATAGGAATCATGTATTTCTCCAAAATATTTTGAAGCTGGATGACTCCTTGAATGTTGATGGGTGCAGACATAAGGTCTAACAAGGACTCCCACTGAGGTTGTGTGACTCTGCTCAAAATACAAGGAGGTGCCGAGTAGAGGGTAGACAAGGCACTGTTGAGGATATTTTTTGGGTTTGGTAATCTCAAACGCTTGACACAAAGTACAAACTCAAGCACCCACTTGTGGTTTGAGCCAACACAATTAAGAAGATCTTGAGCAAAACGGTAAATAGTTCTTTCATTGCGAAATGGTATGGTGTTTAACATTTCATTTAGTTTATTGAATCCTTCTTGAAACCAGCTACAGGAGCAAAGCGATAGCACAGTGATAATATATGTGGTTGGTTTGATTGCATTACGCCGTTTTAACTCCTCGAAGAAACTTAACACAAGTTTCGCCGCATTTGGATCAGCCGCAACATTACACATCTCTTTCAAAACTTTCAATGATTCCTCCAACATACGATATTCAATATACAATTTTTCTTTATCTATTTCTTTTAGGATATTTAAACCGGCGGGAAAGTCCCTCCTTTCAAAACAACACCATACATCCTTCATGCTATTCCATGATATCCTCAATTTTGATGTCTGGCAAAGGTTATTGACAAATCTAGTTGGTTTAGGCGGAAGGTTCGCATAAGGAATTCTAGGTGAGATCTTTCCCTTACTTTCATGGGATGTGGGTTTAGTTTTGTCTGTGTTGCATTGAGAAGAATTTTTTGTTGGTTGATGGCAGTTGTTCTGTCGAGGAATACGAAAAGATGTTGGGAATTTAGGACTTTCTGAAATGTTTGAGTTGGTATTATCATCGAAAATACTATCCTCAGACAAAGAACGCGTTAGCTTCCCTCTGGATTTCTTATCAGATTTTGATGTAAATAGATCATCGTCTTCGTCTACATTAGGCATAATTTCAAGAGTATCATCCTTTAACAGAGAGTCTGTTTTACTACCTACAGAAAGATGTCTCTGAGCATTTATTTTACCATTAGACCGAATGGGGACTGGTTTAGATGATTCTGTAACAATAACAAGATTTTCAGTAGTGGATGAGCTTATTTCATCATCTAAATCATCATCAGTTATAGCTCCCAATGATAATGCAGGAGATGGCGGACGTTCACAAGGAGAAGGTGGTTTTTTATCGGAGATAAATGATTGAATATGACCATTTGTCATTTTTGGAGTAGATGGCGCATTAACATGACTAACCTTTCTTTTCTTCTTAGGTGATTTGAGCTTTGGAGGAGCTTCGACTGGACTTATAGGACGTTTTTTTGATAAGGAAACTTTTGGAGTTGTTAAAACTTTCGATGCAGTACTTATGTCACTTTTTTCTTTTACACCATTCAATATTATGGGACTGATACCTTTCTTCTTCTTATTCTGGAACTTTAGGCCACAATCTAAAGTGGATAGTTTTTAATTGTGATTCTCGGTTGCAATAATGGGGATGTCATGACAAGACGCTTCGTGAATGTTCTTTTGTCAGATTGAAGTTTTTGATATGTACATGGACTTGACAGCTTGTTGTCTGGCCTCTCGCAAATCTCCACTGACCGTGCATTGCTTGAAAAATCATCCACGACAACATTTATCCCATTAGGTACGTCAAGTTTGTCTTTGACGTCGTTTTTCTTAACCTCAACCTCGTTTTCAAAATTTTTCATAAGACCAGTGAAAACACCTGGTTTTGCTGTCGTTTCGGAGTTGAAAACGCGACGGTTTAGTTTGATTCTTCGCACAGGACGTTCAGATGGAGGCGCTGTGTCCTTGGCGACTTTACGAAAGCCTCGCTTGTTTTTACCCGTTTTCAAACTGTTTTGGGAAATTAAACGTACATCTGTGCTTTGGGATGGCACAGTTAAGTCGACATCCCCGTCAGCATTGCTATCCATCACTACAAACCGACTATTCATGTTTAAAGCACACATACAACATCTCATTAATATCTCGCCATGTTATTCTTGCCATGTGTAGAAGTGCAAGACATATTAGACGAATATCACTATTACGGAGCCTCACGACACCTTCCGAAAATGCGAGCGACTTGTAATGGCCGATATTTACGACTTATTTTTATCGATAAGAACACTTCATATCTTAGATAACACATATTCTTTATTAGCTATCACATGGTTTAAAGTGTGGAACTTATAAGTAACTATGTTCGCTGCCTTTTCTATGAACTTGTCGTTAATCTTTCAATAAATACTCAAACAACGTTAATTTAATAGAAAAATCTATTTAAGCATCAATCTTCATATTTTTTCTCTAAGCAAGCATTTTGTTATTTTACCGTCAGTGATTTCGGGCTGAGTATGTGAGGAAAGCAGTTCACTTAGATGAAGTAAACACGATTGTTGAATTTTGTTCACTGAAAGCATTGCAGGCTCGAATGCCATCGCAGTTACTTAGAAACGTAAGAAACATAAGTAATTTGTAATTTGCATTGGTTATTTGAGGAATTTAAATTATGCGCATAATTTAAAATGATTTAATAAATTACTGCCAAACGTAGATAATTCTTTACATCGGGATCGACCATGCGTACGAGATTTCTCGTTTTCTCAAAGTGGAATGAATGCCCAATATTATCTCAACTGATTATGACCTTTAGGCACAAACAAACTCAAAATTTAACAAAAAATGGCTTTACATGTTTGTAAATGTAGATCGTCCAGGTTGGTATAGTCCTGAGAAGGACTGTTTTTGTTGTTGTTGACTGACGTTTCGACAACCTTAGCGGTAGTCATCTTCAGAGTCAAATGAAGAGTAAACGTCAGGTTAGCCGTATTTGTTATCTGGTTCTTAGGTCATTGTATTGTGTGTACAGGAAATGTGTATTGTCATTGTGAATTAGTGTGAAGTGAAATATTTTAGTTGATCGTTTGTTTGTATTGTGAATTAGTCGTTTGTAAGGTGCCGGTAATTGCTGTGATCTGTTCAGGGGGGTTTGTTCCAAGTTGGTATACCAACTTTCTAATGTAAGCCGTTGTTTATAGTCACTACTGTAAGTACTGCATTTTGCCGAGTCTCAGTCAATGTTGTGCTGAAGCCAAAAAATGGCTTTGCGATAAATCTGGCATTTGTCATGTTATGTAAATTTTGTCTTCCTATGTAAATTTCATATGGAGTATATGAACAGGACGTGACTGAAATGTTTGCACAAGTCAGTTTTGATTGACACAATAAGTCAGAGGGACACCCTCCCAAAAAAATGTTGGCCCCAACAATACGTGACTGACTTTGGTGGTGTGTCTATTTCATAGAACAACATTTTAGCTGAACCAGCATTCTTTGTTGTTCAGGAGTAGCAGATCCAGCGCTTGTCAAAATAAATTATTGCTGTTTCATTTTAAATTCAAAGTACTTTGAGAAAAACACTACTGGTTTTGAATTTCTGAAGAATATAATTTTACCGATGAATTTGCCTCTAAGGTACTTGGAAACATAAATACATGCCAAAATGTGCTGCAGTAATTTATTTTGACTTACCCTAAATCTGCTACTGTTCGGTTTATGGATAAAATTTTTTTAATATTCCTAATAATCCGATAATCAGGGGATGTCAATCTCCCTCCACAATATTGTGCAACCCCTGTGGGTAGTTTTTGATGTGAAAACAAGTTTTAATAATGGATGAACAACAAAATAATAGGAAAATTTTTTGACATCTTCCACATAAATCACTGATACATATTATAGAAAATCATGATGTTTATTTGCTTTTTGACAGAGAATCAAAGCAAGACACATGAGATAATGACTTTATATCAATAGCTGACAATTAACAATTCGAGGCATATTGTAAAAACATATTACTGGGAGAAAGCATATTTTCCATGAAATAATGAAAATGTTTTATACAAAATAATCACTAATAATCTTGGCATTGAGTTATTAACCATAATACAGAATCATTCCATGACATGCTGAACTTGTGCGAATGCAATCAATGAGAGAAGTAATTGACTGATTAGAAATTCTCTTAAGCATTTGCAAAGCAAAAAAACAATACAAATTATAAATAGATATCCAAGCACAATCAAGAATGACGAACTTTACCAGGAGCATAATTTTTATCAATTGTCGGTTCTTGTAAAAACATGTGAAGACATTTTTCATTCTGAGCAAGTGGGTGACCCGCAATTCTGAAATAAACAAGCAAAAAGTTCAAAAAATCTTCATGTTTCCTGGTCAGAACTGTCATGGTTTTAGTTTTTACCTGTTGACAAACGCCTCTAATCCTTGTCTTCTTTCTTCAATAAACTCATCTTCAAATATTCCTAAAAATTAATCAAGATATGCAATAAAAATCATGTCTAGCCAGTACATTTTTTTTGTGTGGTGATAAAACACCATGTAGACTATGAGAAATATTTATAAAATTGGTCTGAATAATAGTAGAGGGCAAGAAAATGGCTTGTTACAAAAATTGTCAGCTTTCCTATCAAATTCAGACATGAAGAAAAATGTCAGTGCGAAAACTTAGCACAACCAATTTTTGGGGCATCAATGTGATTATGTGTAGATAAATCAAGAGAAAACCAGTTGATAAAAATGGCAACTGCGCTACGAAAGACAATAAATTTAACAAACCATCGTCTCCTCTGAATGGAAGCATTCTTTTTAGGGCTTTTCCAGGGAGAGCAGGTACAACAATCTGGAAAAAAACACAAAATAATACATCAATAGCCAACAGAAAAGCATGTCCAGAGTGCGAATTAACGGTGTGCAATGTGAAATTTGCACATCGTTTTAGCTAAAATGAAAACAATTGCACATCACTTTTTCAAACGATGTGCAAAAATCAGCGGTTTTAACGAAAAACACTGTCGTAAATCATATGAATTTGTTCATGTTTAAAAATATTAATTTAGAATTTAGCACTATATAATAAAGTAATATCGATTTGATTATGCTTCTAAAGAAACACTTTTGTCAAAGAAATTGCACATCGTTTTTTCTAAACTAATTCACACACTGATGTAGTTATTCTTCGTACTTTAGAATTTTCTTTATTTTATTAACCTTACTGTCTCTTTCTAATTCTGACTTCAACCATTCGAAGTCACTGTAGCGTCTACGCACAGATGAATTCTTCAATTTGAAGACCGGAAGGTTCGACTGTGAAACATATGAAAGAAATTAGTCAGCATATAGCTTATGAAAAACCTAAACATCAAAAAACACCCTATGATGATGATGTACTAAACTTTAAAATATTTTTAATACTAATGTAAGACGACATTTAATAATGTTATGTATTAATACGGATAAAAAAAATCTGGGTTTAACTGCAACATTCATAATGATAGTACAGTTGGGTATAATAAGAAATTTTAACAAACTTTCTTGCCCCAAAGGTAAATGTAATTTGATAATTACATTCCTTAAGTTACTCTACAAAAAACAAACCATCATCTGAACTTATGTACTTCCCAAACCTCGTATGAAAAGTTTGTATCTGTGAAAGTGTGAGGATTGGTAGAAGAGGGAAGTAATTTTTGGTGAAATAAGGAGATTTTGTTACATTTTAAACTTCTTTGTACAATTTAAATTATTTAAATGTATTAAATTGCAGCAAAGATAATAATTATACAGTAAAGAAAACATTGAGTTGGCTTGTGTCAAAAGCATAATTTGCCGCTCGATATCATGAATACCGCATAAACTTGAAAATATACAATATTGTACATAAAATGTACAAATTCATAGTTCATCATAATTCTCCATTATGTCCCTACCCTCATTCGAACTTCGTAATCCGTATATCGTTTCTTGCCGACACCATGAGTCTCAGGACTAACTACATCAACCTCAAGAAAGTTGGCAGGAGCTGCATAAGCATCGTCGAGGGTCTGTTTCTGCGCATCAAGTCTCTGACGATCGGCCATTGTTGCGCTTCCTTCTCATTGAACTTTATACAGTGTCGATTGGGAGATCAGTGGCTGGCCTTCAGCCAGGTGGAAGACTGGGCCGAGCCTTAAACAATAAAACAATAAGCCGAGCCTCAAACAATGAACAATAAATTAGAGTGTAAGCAAGTGTGTGACGTCCCCCCGTGTTTTTGGTATCGCTAAAAGTCGGTCCATAAACCGGGAAGACGAAAAACGTTGAACCAGACAAATTGCATACGTTTTTATAAATTATAGACACTGAAATAATGGGTTCCTAATCCAGGACTGTATACTAAATCAAATTACTGGTTGGGAAACTGTGTAATACATTTACCTATGAGACAAAAAATTTGAATTGAATTACTCTACAATGCATGTATTGTGTACTGCATATTATTTATGCATTTACATTACAGTAATATTACATTTTATGTCAGAAAATTTAAAATTCATTGTTACTACATAAATATGTACAGAAACATCATCAAATTGCAATCACATCTCTACATAACATAAAGATCTGAGTTTGAGGTGGTCACATTTCACAAGTATTGTATTGTTTGATACTAAGATTAAGAAAAATCTTTACCCTACCAAAATAACTTGCTATAATGTAGTTCACATTTAATTCACATTGCAAAAGGTCGGTTTTGAACAATTTAAAGCAAATGTTAGTTTTCGATAAATAGTTCGTTGACTTAAGCTTCAGTTTTTGACACATCGACATATTTCTCCTGCATACTGGCAAATCTGTACTCTCAGTCAAGGAAATAATGAATTCAATAATGGTACAAATCGAAGTTGAAATACCAATTTCTTCAACTTGATGATTCACAAATAGAATCCAAATTTTTGAATAATGTTGCAATATACAATGTTCATTTTCAAGTTTGTCATCCAATGAAATTGCAAACTCAAAATCAAAGTGAACTGTGATTGGTTAACATGTGAGCTAAGAAACAATTGAAAAATATAACATGAAGTTTAACGCAAGAGTGAAGGATACTTAAAATATTCAAAGTCGGCACCAGCAGCATAAGATAACATTTTGCTGAGACTTCCTTCTTCATGCTTGCCACCAAATACGTAACCGTTAGCACCATCGACCTTTTTTATTATGGACAACATAGTTTCTTTATCCTAAAACATAGAAACTACTTGCACAAAAGTAATAAATCATAAGGAGAAACAAAAGATACATAGACACAAGCAAGTGCGCGAACTAGTTGAGAAAAAACGATGTGCAATTTTTTTGACAAAAGTGTTTCTTTAGAGGCATAATCAAATCGGTACTACGTTAATTATTATATAGCGCTAATTGCTAAATTAATATTTTTAAACGTGAACAAATTCATATGATTTACGACAGTGTTTTTCGTTAAAACCGCTGATTTTTGAACATCGTTTGAAAAAGTGATGTGCGATTGTTTTCATTTTAGCTAAAACGATGTGCAAATTGCACATTGCACACCGTTAATTCGCACACTGGACACAAGCAATATTAACGATTCCAATGATTCAGCTATATCAGCCATTGCAGCAAAAATTTCATGCATTTTCATTCGTATATTGTGATAGATCAAACTCACCTGAACATTTAGCGGCGAAAAGGAGACGAGACTGTAATCTTCAATAACACTGATTAAAGCCATATTCAATTTCTTAAACTTCCTCATCACAGGATCATCTTGTAATTCATCCAAAATAAACTTCAGGTCCAAAACCTCGGTGTAATAATCGAGAGCAAAATCTAAAATAAAACATAGTATATTAAAATATTTAATTTCGTTGAAAATCACCATACATGACACAACTAACTCAGCTTTCCAAACTGCTCAATAAGATCAACTTTTGATAAGATGTTCACATGTGGTAATTCAATAAGCACCATAGTTGATAGGGATGTCAGTAAAACTGAGATGAACTTTGATGGATCACTGCAATAGTGAGAATCAACGAGATGAACAGCTGCCAACTATATAATTACAATTAAAGTCATTTTAAATCCGGAGAAACTTTTGTCTTTTATGTATAATTACAATTATAAATGTTATAAAACATTTAAAATAGAAGACAAATTTCTTTATAGTAAACATGTTTGCATACTTTATGCCATCTTCAGTGCAAAGTGAATCAATATAGGAAGTTTACATGTTTGTAAATGTAGATCGTCCAGGATGGTATAGTCCTGAGAAGGACTGTTTTTGTTGTTGTTGACTGACGTTTCGACAACCTTAGCGGTAGTCATATTCAGAGTCAAAGAATGCCCATGTGTCTCAAAAGGAAGATCATGGACACTGTCATACTACCAGCAATGACTTATGGAGCAGAGACGTGGGCACTTACCAACCATCAAAGAGAGAAACTGGCAATCACCCAAAGGAGTATGGAAAGATCAATGCTCCTGTCACAGGAGAGATAAGATCCGAATGAAGACCTGAGAGCAGAACAAAGTGAAGGATGTCATCGAAAGTTAATAAAGCCAAAAGTGGGCAGGACATCTAGCTTCAAACCATGAATGGGCAAAAAAACAACCGAATGGAGTGGGACAAGAAAAGAGGCAAGGAAGACCAAAAGGAGATGGAGAGATGACATGAATAGAGATGGCAGCATTGGAAGAGAAGATGAAGAGTGGAGAAAGATTGGAGGCCATCCGCCAGCAGTTTGATGATGATGATGATGATGATATTATCATGTAAACTTCCTATTTTGATTCACTTCACACTGAAGATGGCATAAAGTATGCCAAAACATGTTTGCTACAAAGAAATTTGTCGTCTATTTCAAATGTCTTATAACATTGTGCTCTCGTGAAATTATAAATGTTATCTTGAAGAAAATTTAAACCATTGAAGATTATATCATGTAAAAAATATTGAACAAAAATCAAACCCTGAAATCTTTCTCCTGGAGCTTGTGAACGATATTTCGGACTGACATATGATGTGTATACAACTCGACCTGGCCAGGACAATCAAATAAAATGTAACAATCTTTAAAATGTTGCAATTTCTCTATGAGCCAATCATAATTCGCTTCAAGATACTCCATACAATAAACAAGTCCACCATTAGGACCTAGTTTCAAGTTCTCCATAACATCCACTAAAGTAATAAGATCTGACACATTAACATCGCTATCGTAAGGTAACACATCGTTACCAGGGTCCAAATTTACAACAGCGACATTTCTTCCTAAAGCTGTTAATAACTCCTTCATCGCTTTACAGTATGTACTTTTCCCGCTTCCAGGTGGACCTATGACTACCTGGCCAAATATTGTCATTTCGTTGTGAGTTTTATCGTTGAAAATGTCAACAAAATGAAAGAAACATCAGGAATATGATTATGCATCTTCGTCCGCCATATTAAATATTGTTGACATAATACCATCCGTCAAAATGACATACTATTGGTACAATTTTGGTGTCAAAATTATTAATGGTCGAAATTCTGATTGCAAACATAGTTAAAGAAGAAAGATTCCGACGTTTCTGTGCAAATTGTCGAAAAGAATATTTTTAAGATTAAACCACGCTGTTTTCAGTTTGTTTTAATTTCACTCATTTCTTATTCAGTAAAACTGAAATCGACCTCATGATTGGCATTTGACAAGACTTACTAATTAATTCATGTCTCCGGATAATTAAAGGCTAATTGGTGACGTCACAATTGTTTAATTGCTTACATACAAAATGAAGTCGGGAAAGGATACTGAAAGTAATGTGGGTTTATTCAGAGCTGTTTATACTAAAATATTGTCTCGTCAGATCATTGCTGAGAGCAGAGTGAATCGTGTTTTGATGAGCACTTTAGCTGACGACGTCACTTTAGAGGAACATTTAGGGAAAGTTAGGGGCAATATTGAAGAAGACCGAATGAAGTTGCATCATTTGGCTGAAAGAATTCTCGATATAGAAAGAAGGGAAAAGCAACTGTTGAACAAAAGTAATAATCTTTTATTGTTCCTTACATTTTCTTTCGTCTTTATGAGTAACGACGATACCGCCATTATGTAAAACATAAAATACAAATTTCCAACATCAACAAAGTTCTTCAATAACGTCCTAAATACTCATAACTAACTTTAAGTTACGAGTATTTTCGTTTGACTCTGAAGATGACTACCGCTAAGGTTGTCGAAACGTCAGTCAACAACAACAAAAACAGTCCTTCTCAGGACTATACCAACCTGGACGATCTACATTTACAAACATGTAACGATACTCCCGGGTTCAAACCATTTACTTTACAGTAATTTCTTTCTCAAACATTATTCTCAACAAAAGGTCTGGTTGCAAACATTGGGTTAAAAATCATTTCAAAACCAACGCTCTTCATCTTGCTAAACATTTCACGAACAAAATCGTTCAAAGATGTAGCAAAACTAACACTTTTCATCTCACCTCAGGTTGTAAAAACAAGAAAGGACAAAATGGCCGACACAACTCACCCAAGTCAAATATACTAACAGCAATCATGAAGAAAGAGTGTATCAAACTTATCAAAGACAATGCCTCCACCGAAAGAAAGCTTCCAAAACAAAATGAACTACCAGTTGTTGAGAAACAAGCCGACAGGAGTTTTGACACAATAGATCATTCCGACATTGATTTAACTTTTGATGTTTCTGGGGACAAAATAATAGAACACACCTTAAGGAATAAAATGGATCAACAACATTCCACAAGACAACACATTCCTGAACATTCTCCGATACCTACACACATAACCCCGCTAACATTTAAAACAGTAAGTTTTAATGATATTCCACAAGTGATTGAAGACAGAAAAATCCAGAATAAGGATTTCCTGGACAATGAAGACGAAAGTGAAGAAGAAAGATGCAATTATTTTATTCATCGCAGTAAGTGATCACTAAATCCACCACAGCCGGGGGGGAGAGCGTGTAATTTCCGAATCTATGTGACATCTGTCTTAGAATAAATTAGAATAAATTTTTTACTGACAAAACAAATTTCGAAAAAACAAGTCATCTTGAGATGGCAAATTATGTATCAATTTAAGACGCAAATAAAACTGTAAATTTTCGATTTTATTTCAAAGCCATCTTCAGACAAAGCAATTCTCATTCTGCGTGAGGATGGCTTTGAAATAAAGTCGAAAATTTACAGTTTTATGTGCGTCGTGTATTCATAGAGATAATTTTTTTTTGGAATTTGTTTTCTGCTCGACTTTTTGATTTGTCGGCTGGAAATGGCTTTAGGTTTATGAGCACAAGGTCTAAGGCAACCAATTAACTTTACTTTTCCTACACAACAGAACCCTACCACGAGCAACCTTCTCCTAAATATAGCTGCTTTGGTAAAGATCAACGAAAAACATACGAAGCTAAAACGTCAAATTACGGAGAAGCAGAATACAACAAGAAAGGTTTTGTTAAATCACATAAACATATGAAAGTAAAACAAAATGTAATTCTCTTTAGTTTTTTCAACAGAATATTCGCCACAAAGCTCAACTCAAAAGAAAAGATGCGCTACTGGCGAATTGTTAAAAAATCCTTGGGAAACAACGGAAATTCCGCCATCAGAAAGGGAATACGATGACACGTCAGAGACGGTTAGTACTTTTATAAGTAGCGAGAACGATGAAGACGACAACGAATTTAAGCAAACTGGAAAAGACTTCGATGAAGAAAACGATAAAAATGAATCAAATGAAAATAACGAAAAAGCAGCAACAGCTACAGGAAATATCTTCAAAAAAGTCGCAAAACAACGTTCAAAGTTCGAAGAATGTAATGAAAATTTTACTATTCGACATTTGACGTCTTCGGGCAAACTTCTTTCATATATATATATTTTCAGGGTTAAAAACGAAGAAACAAAAAAAGATCGTCGAAGATACAGAAAAGAACTATAAATTGTACGAAGAGGTACCAACAAACCGTCGAGATGTTAATTTTGTAAAAGGTAAAGATTGTGTTTTTACAATAAAGAATGATGTATGTAGTCATAATTAACACAGAATGAAATTCAGTTCATGTTTATAGACCGATGACTGACCTCAAAACAAAACAATTTGAGAATATTTTGCAATTCAGCCTAAACTTTTATTCCAATAGAAAACCAACAAAAAACCAAAACGTAAAAACCAAAATTATCAATTCTAAAGATTCATTTTCAAAATTCTAAATTCAAAATTACGATGGTAAAATCGCGTTGGTAAAGATCGCACATTCATTTCGCTTTAGACGATGCGCTCATAGAAATGCGACGAAAATCCTGGTACAACGACCCCCCTGTCAACACAGCAAGGAGTCGAAAAACCAGGGGGAAGTTAACATCAGTATTTGGAAGGTCATTTACGAAGAATGCTCGAAATAAAAAGTCATTAAAGGGGATAAAATGAATACCGAGTCAGCAAAAAAGTGAGACGAAAAATGAGCGTACGACCACTTCCGGAAGCTCCCGACACTGACGACAAGACCGAGTCTAACTTAACTCCTTATTCGTTAAATCCATTTCAGTAAAACAAAGTTTAGTGAAACTACATCAATCCATAAATTCTTCACAATAAATAAAGTTTTATTAACTACTCACTGTGAACTACGCGCGATTTGTTCTTTCAATACCATGATGCTTTGCCTTTGATCTTCGGGCAAGAGGGCAATCTGCTGTTCAGTAAGACTAAGGACTTGCATGATAAGAGCAGCCTATGACAAATATAACAAATCTTACTGAAGTGTTGAATAACAAAAAAAAGTTCTACAAAAAAATTTCAAACCTTTTCCTGATCTTGTGAAGTAACATCTCCAGAAGTGGAAGTCGACCCTGAAGTTGGTGCAGTGGAAATGGAAGGAGCAGTTGTAGGTGGTGGGGGAGGCGGGCCTGCCTTGTTCCATTGAGGTGGGCCTGCACCTCCAAATCTTTCTTCCTGTTGAGATGTCCCGGATTGAGCACGTCTGGAACCTGGATCTGGACCACGAGCGTTCCTTGGATCAGGGTTGCCCCCTCGTGAACTACCACCTGACCTGTCTGGTGGAGCTGAACGTCCTTCTGGTGGACCACGACCACGGTCATCTAACATTAAAGGAACATATGAATACCACATAAGAGATGTTCCATTACTAAGCCCTTAATAACCGAGCGCGAGGTCTTTACGGAGAAATATAGAACCGAGGTTTTTCTCTACAGACTGAGCCCGTACGGCGAGGTTTTACAACAAGACAAAGGTCCGATATTTCTCAGTAAAGACCAAGAAAGCGAGGTTATTAAAAGGTTTATTATATTGCATTATTTGACATGAAACGAAACTTGCTTTCTTTCTCGTCGTTGATGTTTTTTGCCGGTTTTCACTTTACTAGTTTTCGTTCATAAAAAATATATCGTTTCAAATTGTATTGTCTGGATAGTTAAACTGTTTTCCAAGTGGTTTTCCTTCGAATTACATTCGTAAACGGTTTTTGTTTCGTTAATTTTGCATTTTGCTGTTTGTATTACGAAGTTTGTTTACATTTGACAGTAAAATTACGCGTTTTGGACCGTGGTCGAAGACGAGAAAATAACGGAGCGGCAAAAATGTTTCTGAAGCAATAAAAGCGCGCCATTTTGCCGGAAGTGACGCTTGCCATATAATAATATACGACAACGTACCTAATGGTCCTCTTCCAACACGGTCAAATCCTCTGTGATCCCTGTAATCCCCACGATCTATAATCATAAACTAATTAATGTCAAAGATTTACAGGCTCTCAAAAAACATCAAATTATGTCCACCTCGAAGTCTGGAGGTCCTCGAAAATCTTGATTACGTCGCGGATCTCCTCCATCAAGTGTACGATCATATCCCGAAGGTCCTCTCATATCCCTAGGACCACGCCTGTCTGGCGGACCACGATCATCTCTTCGATCCATAGATGATCCTCTCATATCTTGTGCCCCCCTCATATCTGGCATTCCTCGTCTGTCTGGAGGTCCATGTAAGTCAGGCGGTGCTCTCATATCAGGCGGTGCCCTCATATCAGGTGGACCTCTAATATCAGAAGATCCAGATGGACCCCTAATGTCATGGGCAACATGGCTTGGTGGAGGCGAGATTCAGCTTGAATTGGTTGAGGTGGTTCAGCTTGACGATACAATATTGCCTGAAATAAAGAACACAAGAGCATAAAAGATATGAGTCATTAAAATTAGTATTCTAGAAATGAATCCACCTGTGCAATTTCGGGACTGACAATCTGCATGACAACCTGTGCCTGCAATAAGGCATACGATAGTTGAGGATTTTGCAGTAACATTTGTCGAGCCTCTTCCGGATTGTTTTGTATGCAAACCTACAGCAAATGAAAATATCATGGATTTATTCATTTCATTAATTTAAAAAACTCTTCAAGGAGAGCGATGATGTCTTCTTTGTCAAGGGGGAGGTTATGAGTAAGGGGTTGAAATATCTGTTCAAACCTTCATTTGTTTCATAAGCTCAAACATTTGCTCAGGAGGGAGGCTTGCAACAGCTTGTGTAATTGCCGAAGGAGCTTCAGATGGTGAAACATTTGGACCATAAGGATTGCTTTCAGATGTATTTGAAGCTATCATTTCTAGAAACAAACATTATTTTTATTCTCCTTGTGTAACATTCACCTAAAATAAACAATATAAAAGTTTACCTTCCTCTTTATTTTTCTCGCTTGCTGCACTATCCACGCGTAAAGTTCTTCCATTTAACTCATAATTATTCAGGTTTCTCATGGCGCTCACTGCTGTCTCCTGATCTTTGTACTCGCAGAAACCATAACCTTTTGGTTTCCCAGTGTCTCGATCAAAGACGAGCCTAAAAAGAGTCAAAAGTTTTGTAAAATTCTACATGTATGTTTGTTTTGTAAAATGCTACAAGTATGTTTGTATCGAAAGAGCGCCGAAGTGATAAAAAATACAACCTAAAGCTTATAACAGGACCAACATCACCAAATATTTCTTTTAGCTGTTCCTCTGAAGCTTCGTACGGAATATTTCCAACTATAAAGATATTTTGTTGATCAATTATTGTACAAAAATTTTGGGTGAAGAATGAAGATTATGGATTGACAATGATTTTTCCTATAAGATCTATTGCAATACAACGCTGGGTTTCTTTAGTTGATATTAAAATGTTTTATCAAAGAAAAACATATGAGTAAAACAGAATCTTACCAAAAACTGATCTCAGAGAACGCTCTGGTGGAACCGCCATATTCGTTGATAATTTTTATGCAAAATTTGCAGCATTCCTTAGTTACGATTTCTTTTAATTCCTCTCTTGTATACATAAACAAATATAAAGTGCTTTTTATGAATTTTCATAGTTTCAAACACAATAATTTTGATTCAAAAATCTTTAAACTTTTTTAAATAAATTCAAATTGAGTAAAATCTCTTAAAGCTTGTTCTCGTCTCCACTTCTAGGATAAAACTAGATGCATCATATATCAAATTCCTGTAAAAAGGAAAAGCAAAATACACTCCAGACTTCACGTGACAAGTTGGATTCAAAGTTTGGATCTTTGTTTGATAAAATAAGAAAGTAGACAATTATGGAAGTTCTTGATAAAAGTTCAGCAATGGTAAGCAATTATGAAGTGTTGTCTCTACTTCAAGAAAAGATGCAGAAAGAGTTGAACAAGAAACCAAGTAAAAAGATTCGACAAGAAAACCTGGCTACAATTTCCTATGAGGTTGTGAAGTACCTTGAAAAGACACCCTGTTGTTTGCAAAATGAAGCTGTTATCACTCAGTTTCTCAAGGATGTTGCACCTTTCAACTTGACTAAAGGAGAGAAGTTACAAATGTTGAATTTACGACCAACTACGCCTGTCGAAATACAACTTATAGTTGAAGAAAGTGAAGAAAGATTGAGGACAGATGAAGAACTTCAAGCTTTAATTGACATTATTGCCAAATTACCAGAAAATTACAACAACAAAGATATAAAAATAGAAGAAGAGAGCTGATTGCAATGTTTGTTTGGTTTGACATGCATGAATGATGCTCAATGTAACTTTTGGGTAATTTTATTGATTGCAAGGATTTTGTATTTTTCATATCAATATAAATATTAAAGTAAATGTTTTGAACCCGGGAGTATCGTTACATGTTTGTAAATGTAGATCGTCCAGGTTGGTATAGTTTTGAGAAGGTCTGTTTTTGTTGTTGTTGACTCAACAAAACAAAAACAGTTGTAGTCAACAACAACAAAAACAGTCCTTCTCAGGACTATACCAACCTGGACAATCTACATTTACAAACATATAAATATTAGAGCCCAACAAAATATTTTAAACATAGTCATAAACAATTTGGTTTTATGAAATTTATTAAAATAGTGACGTTTCGTCTTGACTCAAGACATCTTCAGACTAATAAGGAAGTTAACAAGAATTATAGATATATACAGAGTTATTTACATAGTTTGAGGTACCAGGTTACTGTGGCTGTGTAAGTGTGATGTATTGTTAGGGCTAGGTGTTGAGACTAGAAAAGCTTTAGAGGGATGGAGCTGCCTTGGGTGTTAAGTGAAGGTTTTAGTTTGGAGATGAGGAGGCTTTCCTGGATCATGTGGTCGAATGTGTCGGAGCAGGATGAGATGATTTTAAAATGGTCTGGCAAAGCAGAGTGGTTGGAGGAGTTACTATGAGAAAGAATACTTGACATTATTCTTATCAATTTTTCAGAATGTAAATTGTACTATTTTACAAAGGATTGTTCAGAATTGGTTTTTACATACTCATAGGTTAACTTACTTTGGGATTAAGCCATACATTTCCTAAAGGGGCACCAAACAGTTCCGGGGCTAACACCAGGAAGGTCATTTATGCCATGAACATTACATAATTCAACACATCAGACATCTAGAACAGCCATTTTACTCACTGACAACTATCCTATTCATACTAACCCTCAAACATTTCTTGTCTTTTGTCACAATGTTTGACAGTTGAGCAGTCTATTACCATCATAAAGAGCTCACAATGAACTCTGCCTGGGTAACTTTTCTCGCCATTTTTAACTAAGTCACCAGATACCTGCATTAATAACAAGTATTGGTGAACTTGGGCAACAACAGTCACTTTAACCAAGCTATTTGCAATAATGGAAAAAGCCATTAAATAAAAAAATTAATTTTTGGAGGACAGGCAAGGGCAAAAATATTGAACTCTTTTTTGAAAATATTGCCAAACCACAAGTGTCTCACTAAAAATAAGAATTATTTTACTTCTCAACATGTCAACAAGCAAAATATATTTGCAGTAATTTTAATGCCAAAAAAGAACTTTATTTAACAGAAATACACATTTTTCTATTGATATACACCAAATACAACATTAATATCCAAGTGTTTTACAGTCATTTCAATATGAGGTTATTAAAGTTTCTTAGAATTATTTCTAATATCCACCACGAAGACGAAGAACAAGATGAAGAGTTGATTCTTTCTGGATATTGTAGTCAGAAAGAGTACGGCCATCTTCAAGTTGCTTTCCTGCAAAGATCAGTCGTTGTTGATCTGGTGGGATTCCTTCTTTATCTTGAATCTTGGTCTTCACATTTTCAATTGTGTCACTGGGTTCAACTTCTAAAGTGATAGTTTTGCCGGTTAAGGTTTTCACAAAGATTTGCATACCACCTCGAAGACGAAGGACAAGATGTAGAGTCGATTCCTTTTGGATATTGTAGTCAGAAAGGGTTCGGCCATCTTCTAGTTGTTTTCCGGCGAAAATCAAACGTTGTTGATCGGGTGGGATTCCTTCTTTATCTTGAATTTTCGTCTTCACATTTTCAATGGTGTCGCTAGGTTCAACTTCAAGAGTGATAGTCTTGCCGGTTAAGGTTTTGACAAAAATCTGCATACCACCTCGAAGACGGAGGACAAGATGGAGGGTCGATTCCTTTTGGATATTATAGTCAGAAAGGGTTCGGCCATCTTCTAGTTGTTTCCCGGCGAAAATCAAACGTTGTTGATCGGGTGGGATTCCTTCCTTGTCTTGGATTTTTGTTTTCACATTTTCAATTGTGTCGCTTGGTTCAACTTCAAGTGTGATAGTTTTGCCAGTTAAGGTTTTCACAAAGATCTGCATACCGCCTCGAAGACGAAGAACAAGATGGAGGGTGGATTCTTTCTGGATATTGTAGTCGGAAAGGGTTCGGCCATCTTCTAGTTGCTTCCCAGCGAAAATCAGTCGTTGTTGGTCTGGTGGGATTCCTTCCTTGTCTTGGATCTTGGTTTTTACATTTTCAATTGTGTCGCTAGGTTCAACTTCAAGAGTGATTGTTTTTCCCGTCAGCGTCTTAACGAAAATCTGCATACCACCTCGGAGACGAAGGACAAGATGGAGGGTCGATTCTTTCTGAATATTGTAGTCAGAAAGGGTTCGGCCATCTTCTAGTTGTTTTCCTGCGAAGATTAATCGTTGTTGGTCTGGTGGGATTCCTTCCTTGTCTTGAATTTTTGTCTTCACATTTTCAATGGTATCGCTAGGTTCAACTTCAAGGGTGATAGTTTTGCCGGTCAAGGTTTTGACAAAGATCTGCATACCACCTCGAAGACGAAGGACAAGATGAAGCGTAGATTCTTTCTGGATATTGTAGTCAGAAAGGGTTCGGCCATCTTCAAGTTGTTTTCCGGCGAAAATCAAACGTTGTTGGTCTGGTGGGATTCCTTCTTTATCTTGAATTTTCGTCTTCACATTTTCGATGGTGTCGCTAGGTTCAACTTCAAGTGTGATAGTCTTGCCGGTTAAGGTTTTCACAAAGATTTGCATGACGAAATTTTTTAAAATTTAGCGAGTGATAAGACCTGCTAGCAAACGAGAAACTCAAACAATTGACGCTGAGATGTGCGTTCGTGTCATTTACGTTGTGAGTTCACTTTCCTGATTGGCTGTAAATTCACGTGACTGTTGCGTCATAAATATTTTAGATTGTTATATGATTGAATGAATTTTTCATCGTCTTCAGCGACAAACAGCTGATAAGTTTACTCATAGCATTTCGTGTTAGTAATTGATAAAACTCCCGTTTAGAAGTTATGTAAATGGCAGATGAAATATTTAAGACATTTCAGCCTGATGACATTTGTTTATTTTCAAAAATCGGCATTCAACTTGCAAATTTCATGCAAATAATTATGTCATGTTTTTAGCATTGCAAAATGGGCGTAATTTTGAGTGCGTCACAGCACAGTGTCACGCAGGAAACTCGTGCACTTAACATAACAAAGAGCACCTTGTACTCAAAGTGGTTGCTATGCAAAGGAAGATAATACTTTTTATTATCTCTCATTGATTTTGTTGAAGATTATACCAGATTTCGTTAATGACACAAACGTTACACGTTGTCATTCAAGGTGAAAATCTTGCTGACTACGTAAAAGCATGACTTCGGTCTAAGCGTGTGTGTCATCATGACTGATAACAATTTCGATTTCTATTTTTATTTTCGCTTACAAAATTATTTCATGATTCAGTATTATAATTATTATGTCAAATCATGATCAGTACTTCTAAAACATTTAAAATTTGAAAAGTCAAATAACAACTAAAAATGTATGATTGAAGAGTACGAATTTGTAACGTTTATATGAAATACGACACCGGATTCTCAGTATTCCTACGGTATTTCTTGGTAAGGTAAGATAAATATCGAAAGTATTTCTATTTATAATTTAGAAATTTTCCTTATTATAATGAAACTTCATTCCTTCGTGTAATTTACTGTGTTCATCGCATAAAGAATGCAGAGTATGAGACAAAGTCTTTGGTCCACAGAAAAAAACTCCAACATCGGTGCTAAAAGGGAAAAAGAAACAAGTTAATAAAAGAAAGTGCCAAGTTGCTTTTATATTTATGATAAAAATACTGCATAGACTACATTTGTCGTATAAACCTTGGATTGTTTTCGGAAATTGTTTTGAAGATATTGCTCCATTCCGGTCGACCAAAATGCGTTTTTTGTTTTAAACCAGTGATAACATCGACATTTTGTCTTTCGTTCCGAATCATGATATTGCGAGCCTAGACAAGACGTAAAACATGGGAGGGAAAGGAAACGAGTTAAAATTACAATAAAAATATTTTTACTTCTTCATTTGACCATCCTCGAGTGAGGTAAATTTTGAGTTCAAGGAAGCCTTCGTTTCCCTTTTCGACCATCTAAAATTTATAAAAATGATCATCATATCTTAAAAATTTACGAAGCTTTCACCCCACCCTCCCCTCCCCCGAACATTAAAGCGACCGAAGTCCTTCGAACAAACCTGGATTTCAAGACGATTAAGTAAATTCGCAAACCATTCAAATGCGTTAGTATCAGGACAAATCCAGTAAAAATATATCTTTTTAATCTGAAGCGAGGCACAGTTGTGTTCATGACGATACCTGTAGAAGTAAATAGGGATAAACAGGGATAAATTATAAAACACTGTAACTATAGATTGGCAAAGATGAAAAAGAATTCCTAGAGTACATGTAATTAAATACTCAACAACAAACTTTGATAAGGCCATAGTTAAAATATTTATTAAATGTAAAGTTTCGTCTTTAACTTAAGCCTAACACTTAATAAAAGTTTCCTAAATGGCCTTATTTGAAGTTTTCTGTTCAGCAATTGCACTTGTAGCGCGAAATAAAAAATAGTTAGAAAATTACTGATGATGAAAATTTTATACCAAATCGACTTCAAAATAGAAGCAAAAGGCGTCACGCCAATACCAGCACCAACAAACATGCAAACGGAATATTTAAAATAGTCCTGAAATAAAATAAAATTATATTCAGTAAAACGAAAGCCCACAGTTCAAATGTATCCTTCGATCGTTTTAAAATATCCATGATCATCCCCTTACAGTACTGGAGGTCCCAAATGGTCCATCGACAGATATTCTAAAAACAAAAATGAAAATTGCTACATTACACGATCAACAATGTTTTGTAGAAATGATTTAAGTTGAAAGACACTAAAATGTAGTAAACCTTGGTAGATCATTAAGATTATTTGTTTCTATTCCCCCTCCAGTGCAGGTATTCGATAGAGCAACTACAAAAAAAGAAGAAATTCTCATAACATTAGTCAATAATGATGAAAAAAGTTTCAGATTCAAACTACAAACTTGTCCAGTCGCCAGCAGTGCGAATATGAACGCAAAACGTCTCTTGCTCTGGGCTCTAAATAAAGTTTATAGTTGTGCATATACGTCGATGGAGCAAATACTTTATGTTAGCGACAAATGTAAGCACGTACGGAGGTAAGAGTAAATGGATGCCATTCCAAATGAGAAATTTTTGGACATTGAAGAAACACATACTGTAAAATAAAGTTTATAAAAACATATGAATGAATGACTGTCCACAAGATGTCGGTTACAGGGAGGGCCTGGAGAAGGGGCTCCAAATAATTTTAACAAAGAACACCGTTGACCTGAGAAATAAACAACTCGCAGACCATAGCATGTCAAAATGTCACATTTTGTACATTACGACAATGAATAATTTATAATGAATGTAGAACGTCAGATCAAAGATCACGGCGAAATAAGTGATTTTTCAATAGTTAAGAAAGCCCCAGTCCTTCAATAATCAAACCATTGAAAGTCAACATAATATTTTTGCACAACAAAATCGTTATTGGTGTACACTGAAGCAGTGAAAAAATCCATAAGAAATGACGGTTATGAAGAAATATGTCAACATTTTATGACCTAACCTGACCAGGTAAATATGAAAACCCAGATTTCTTCATTTGAATTTCAATAACATTTGATGGATGTTTCACAATCTTTAAATAACAACAACAATAAAGAAATGGATAGTCGTATTGGCGGAATGGTTTTTAATGACGACAGCAAATACAGTCACCTTGGTTACAGTGACAGTTTGTAAAGATCTAAGAAAACGAATAAATCTTTCAATGAAATATAGCGACAACGGAGCTACTATCCACTTCCACGACTAAAATAAGAAAATATCTCTATTTGATACGTTTCCATGATGATTTAAACAACAGATTTGCTGACCTGTGGTCCCGCGGACTCAAAATGAGGATCAATTTGACATTTTGGTGATAATTGACAAAATTCAGGATCGTGTTCCTTAACATTTGTCTGTCGACGTATTAAACCTCTAAAAAAAGATTAATGTGTACGAGCTATTGCAAGAGAAGAGCCTGGGGACTAGGTCAAAAGAAGATGCTCCACAGAGTAACAAATCGATGTTATTTTTCCAACTTACTGCATGCCATGAACAATCAAACCAACGAAGAAAATAATAAATAAATGATGAGTGAACCAAAAGACTTCAAAGTACGAACGTCTGCAAGAAATTCACGTTTGTGAGCACATGATTGGTGGATGAAAAAACCAATCATTTCACACCTTAGAAGTCCTGTTGATGACGTAACCTAGAAAACAGGAATTAAAACAGGAATCAAACAAGAATGCCTAAGATGAAATTTTGAAAAAGGCCGTTAATTATGTAATATGTAACGGGCTTATTTTAAAGTTCTATGTTGATTGTTGTGCGGTAGTATTCATGAAAAGAATTTGTTTCCATTTAGGTAAAATATATTTGCAATAAAGATGTATGACATAAGATGAAACTAAAGCTGTTGTACGTAGTAAGTCAGAGAAAGGAATTGTTTCCATCTAGGCAAAATATATTTGCAATAAAGATGTATGACATAAGATGAAACTAAAGCTGTTGTACAGTAGTAAATCAGAGAAAGGAATTGTTTCCATCTAGGCAAAATATATTTGCAATAAAGATGTATGACATAAGATGAAACTAAAGCTGTTGTAAGTAGTAAATCAGAGAAAGGAATTGTTTCCATCTAGGCAAAATATATTTGCAATAAAGATGTATGACATAAGATGAAACTAAAGCTGTTGTACGTAGTAAGTCAGAGAAAGGAATTGTTTCCATCTAGGTAAAATATATTTGCAATAAAGATGTATGGCATAAGATTAAACTAAAGCTGTTGTACAGTAGTAAGTCAGAGAAAGGATTTGAGTTGAATGAGCAGAAAATGTTGATGATTTAGTAGCTATAACAAACAGAAGTTGACAAAAATAAAAATCAAATCATGAAACAAAGATAATTTTTCAGCGTAAAAGCAAATGTTTTACGTAACTAAAATGTTCAATATATAAATTTTTTACCATGAGTACCAGTACTAATGTCATTATAAAGCCTGAAACACCTGCAACTAATGAAAAAAGGAAAAGTGAATAGTAGTTTTAAAGAAGCAACGACAATTCAATGTTAATTATGTCTTTCACAATTTATAGAAAGCTTTAGATGATACAATACGCACAAATAACGAGTATTGAACCCTGAAAATTTACAAACAAGTTTCTATCTTGTCTTTGGTTAAATTTCAACGTCGCATTTAAACCAAGTGCAAAGGAACGCGAATTCTTCCCACAGATCAAGATTAAAAATTTTAAATTACACAGCGCAAATCTTGTCATGTTTTCATGTTATCTAAGGTTCTCAGTTTCAAGTAAAAGTATAGTTACCAGTCTTAAAGACTTCAGTTGGAGGGTCCTGTAAAAATAATGACGTAATGTTATGTTAATGGTCACGTGAAGAATAAAATTATTGATGACGTCATGTGGTCTTACTGCATCTTGTTTTCTTATAGGGTTGATGTAAGTATCATTCCCAGAATCCCCCAGATCACTCAAATGAAAGCGCAGATCCTTAGAGTCACGACCATAAGCATCAATAAGATTCTCAAAGTTGAAAAGATGCGCTCCGATGTGAATGGCTGAAATTTATGAAAACAGACAAAGTATTTTACATACTTAAAATGTTTAGAATTTCAATCATCTCATTTTAAATCAACTTTAATACATTAAATTTAAACATGAAACAAAACTTTACGTATCCAATAGCCATATGGGAATGAGGAGGAGGGGAGGAGAGAGGGAGAGGGATGAGAGGAGAGGATGAGGGGAGAGGGATGAGAGGGGAGAGGGATGAGAGGGGAGAGGGATGAGGGGAGGGGAGAGGGATGAGAGAGAGGGGAGAGGCAGGGGGAGGGGAGAGGGAGATTCCTTTAAGATACCACCCAATAACACCCTATTTGAAAATTCTATTTTCAAAACTTTTAATGATGCCTTGATCTATTATTTAGTAAAAGTTTATACAGGAAGAACAACTTACTGGTGAAGAAACATATCAATGAGGCAATGACTCGATGAAATGTGATATTTTTATCAATAAACTTGTAAATTGTGACCCATTCCACAACACTAAAGTTGAAATATCACAAAAATTATGTCATAAAAATGTCTTCAATTCTAATGACAACTTTACTTCATATGGATGCTCTGAACTTTGTATAGTTACTGGAGTAATACTTCATATGGATGCTCTGAACTTTATATAGTTACTGGAGTAATACTTCATGGATGCTTTGAACTTTTTATAGTTACTGAAGGAATACTTCATATGGATGCTTTGAACTTTGTATAGTTACTGGAGTAATACTTCATAAGGATGCTCTGAACTTTGTATAGTTAGTGGAGTAATACTTCATATGGATGCTTTGGACTTTGTATAGTTAGTGGAGTAATACTTCATAAGGATGCTCTGAACTTTGTATAGTTAGTGGAGTAATACTCATATGGATGCTTTGGACTTTGTATAGTTACTGGAGTAATACTTCATATGGATGCTCTGAACTTTATATAGTTAGTGGAGTAATACTTCATATGGATGCTTTGGACTTTGTATAGTTACTGAAGGAATACTTCATATGGATGCTTTGAACTTTGTATAGTTACTGGAGTAATACTTCATAAGGATGCTCTGAACTTTGTATAGTTAGTGGAGTAATACTTCATATGGATGCTTTGGACTTTGTATAGTTACTGGAGTAATACTTCATATGGATGCTCTGAACTTTATATAGTTACTGGAGTAATACTTCATATGGATGCTCTGAACTTTTTATAGTTACTGAAGGAATACTTCATATGGATGCTTTGAACTTTGTATAGTTACTGGAGTGACTTCATATGGATGCTCTGAACTTTGTATAGTTACTGGAGTAATACTTCATATGGATGCTTTGAACTTTGTATAGTTACTGGAGTAATACTTCATATGGATGCTCTGAACTTTGTATAGTTACTGGAGTAATACTTCATATGGATGCTCTGAACTTTGTATAGTTACTGGAGTAATACTTCATATGGATGCTCTGAACTTTGTATAGTTACTGGAGTAATACTTCATATGGATGCTCTGAACTTTGTATAGTTACTGGAGTAATACTTCAAATTTATATTCAACACAATAGTTAATCCTCAGAACTACACATGTAGAGAAATTCATTTTCCTTATATTTTTCATAATGATATGAACTTTTGATAAAGTGACCATGAAGGTTGCTTAAGAGGGGAAAGAAAGGCATAAGAATATATTTTATAGTTTAGAAATGACAAGCTGACTTTTAACCAATAAATTTATGTTCTATGGAAAAGTGTAAGGGGAGGGATGTCTCTGACCCCACAGTTCCTGAAACACTACAAACATAAACATACTGAAATTCTTCAGCCACTGTATTTAAAATCTCTTTAAAAAACCTTAAGTTTTTCAATTTTCCTCTCAAATTTCAGTTTCATTAAACTTCATACTATTTTATCATGTTACACTTATGTATATTTAACTCAAATAACCTTAACAAACTAATTTCTCCGAGAGCTTTGAACATACGTTAGCAATTACTTATGTGTTGTAACCATGACAACTATTTGACTTACTTACATCTACACCTCAAGAAATGACAACATGTTTCGACAGACAGGAAGAAGAATTAAAAGCAATTGAAATTAATAACTGCAGCTGATGCTCTTGCCCATGCCAAACCAGACTAGAAATGATAAACCAAAAGAATGTTGAAGGTTTTTAATTTACAAAATGATGACACACAACAGCTGCATTAAAATTAAACATTGAATAAGCTTTTGATCAGCTTACATATTTAATAAACCAAAGTCAAAGTGAATACGTTACAAATTAATGACCACAATTATCAAAATGTTCAGCATCATGTATAATGGTAGTCAATGCATGCAACTGACCCCTGTCAAAGACAATGTGTGAACAATGCATGCACAACTTGACCCCTGTCAAAGACAATGTGTGAACAATGCATGCACAACTTGACCCCTGTCAAAGACAATGTGTGAACAATGCATGCACAACTTGACCCCTGTCAAAGACAATGTGTGAACAATGCATGCAAAACTTGACCCCTGTCAGAGACAATGTGTGAACAATGCATGCACAACTTGACCCCCTGTGAGACAATGCATGCACAACTTGACCCCTGTCAAAGACAATGTGTGAACAATGCATGCACAACTTGACCCCCCTGTCAGAGACAATGTGTGAACAATGCATGCACAACTTGACCCCTGTCAAAGACAATGTGTGAACAATGCATGCACAACTTGACCCCCCTGTCAGAGACAAAGAGAGTGAACACACATCCACAAGTTGATTCCCTGCCTGCCAGGGACAAAGTGTAAACAAAGCATGCATAACTTGACCCCACTGCCTGATACAAAGAGTTTGACAACTGATGGCAGACAGTACAATATAAACAAACAGCCCCAAGGATATAAGCAACATGATTATTTACAAACAAGCATGATCTCAAAGAGTTGTTACAAGGAAATGACATAGATATAAGGAAAGTTGCCACTGATTTGTACTTCAAAGTGAGACCAAGTACATTTATAAACTACGTTTGTACGCAGTAAATTACAATGGTACACTTTTATATATTCCTTGCCCTACCTTGGTCAATACACGAAGATAATAATAATCTTTACTGGTGTCGTATTGATGAAAAGTTAGACCAAAAATAAGAGAGTTTATTCCAACCCAGATTATCTACGAAATGAGAAGCAAGAACGTATTAAAATTAAAAGTTTTAGCACATCAAAGTATAAATAAAAATAATGAGATAATTGTAAGAAAGGAATCCTAAAACATCAAAGTAAATTTTCACCAACCACAAGAACCCATTTCATACGATCGATTTGATTCATTTTCCGTCAAATTTCAAATTTTCCTGGACAATCAGCATTTTAAACAGCAAGTAGAAAAATATAAATTACTGTCTGTCATCTGTCAAGCGTGATATTTTAATTTTCTTCTACTTTTGAACCACGAAGGAAGTCAAGGAACAAACAAACATCACTATGCAAATTATGCAAACTTGGTTCTGAATATTTAATTATTGGAGCAATTGAGATCAATGCTCGATGGCGGGGGCGTGTGGCATCGTCATATAATTATAATCCTTAGTCCAAAATGTCTTTTGTGGAGCAAAATCGATTCCCGGGTGTTAATGGTATGCGTTCTGTGGTAGACATGGTTGCCCACAAGTACACTACACGAACACAAATGGAAATACACTAACGCCTGTCCATATTCTGCTTACTTTAACAATGACAAAACAATAAGTAGACAGTTTACATCACAATTGCTGGCAGTTTAATATTCCGAACTTACATTCTCACGATGGAAGAAGCAATATAGTATTACTTTAGTAGGAATTATCAAAACAAAACTACAAGCACTCTTATACGTTCAATACTGTTAAGGAAGTGATGAAAATCCTACATGGTTGTTGCCAAAAAAATATCCAGACTGAATGCTAAACTAAAGCAGATATTTATACTTTCTACATAATACAATTAATGAATCAATCAGCTGGTAAATAAATGGTTTCCACAGTATATTATGGATTTCACCACAAACAACAAATACAATATTGCAATGTCATATAATATTTAGATACAAAGATATGACTTTAACGTCCCCACTAGACAATATCAAACGTCCATGAACTTTTCTCGTAAAGAATGGATGAAAACTCTTCAACTAATTCATTGTAGCGATGATAGGTGCTTAAAACTTCAAGTAAAGGACCACAAGTATGCACAACAGGCGGACGGCTAAATGTTTTAAGACGGTGAATGTGATCTTCAACTTTATTTCTATCAGTAGCAGAACCACATTGGCTCCAGCAGTAATGGAAATTTTCTACCTGTGAATGAAGGTGAACTAATCCTCCTACAATCTCACAGAGAAGCCGCTACATTCTACGTTGGTCCTTGTACTATCCCTCGTCAATAACATTCCTTAGAGTACTCTTCTCACAATCATTCATCTGCATATAAAAACCTTGGGGAGTAAACTTTGAATTTTCTGGCAAATCTCTTTTGGTGATAGCTTCCTCTTCAATTTCTAAATCAGATTCTTCGTCCTAAAGGAAAGACGCTGGAAGTTATTTTTACATATTTTTAGCAGGTCTCACAACTATATACCACGTGAGCCAACTAGCTTCCAAACTGTATATGTGATTCATCAATATTTCTTTTTAACATATCTTCAGTAGACTCCTTAGTATTAATGGTTGTTTTGTATTGAACCTCGTCCTCGCTAGAGCTTTTATCGCCGTCAACATGCTTGAAATCATTCGTGTTTTCATTGCTCAACAAGTCCTCATCCAAAACTCTCGAGCGTACGCTAGGTACATGAACTAGGTTTAATTTCATCAAGCTATCTTTAACTTGGCCGCCGTTGTTTCTCCTCTATCACGCTTGATTTTGTTTCACTTTTCAAAGTTTCATTTTTAAGTATTTCTTCTACCTCAATCTACGAATTACAATATGTGTCATAAATACTACAGCACTGTTTATGCACAAAATATGCAGACACAAAGTTGTGGAGAAGAATTAAGTAAGAAGAATTAAGGAAGAAGAATTTTTTTCCTCTTTTATACAGTCATCTATCTCTTTATCTTATTCGTACCACAGATGATGACATAAAAACGTTTTGCTAGGTATGTCTTTAGAAATTGCGCCGAAATTGGAGTGAAAAGATAACTTCTTTACGTGATAGTACACGTGACTTCTTTCTGGTCTATATTTGTTCAACTTGTTGTAAGATAGACTATTTAAAATATTTGTTTGTGTCAAAAGTTCACAAAATGACAAAACTTTGCATGATGAACTGTCAAGTCCAAACGCTATCAGTTTTGAAGTATCTATGATTACTGAGATGTGACAAAATTATTCTAAATTAGAGACTTCGAGATTAATTACTCTCATATTCCCTTCTTAAATAACGATTGCCCCTGAAATCTTAAGCTCCTCCCCCCAATTTTACTTGCTTCATACGCCCTGATCAGATTATTTGTTTATCCGTATCCAAAGTTTACAAAATGACAAAACTTCATTGACAACGTTTCAAAGTTGGAACGCTGAGAATTTTAGAGAAGCTCTGTTTATCGATTTTCTTAACTTCCTAAAATATTAATCTTTAATTTTTGAGCTATCTTACTTTTAAAAGGCTGGCTGCCTGTCTTCCTTTATGATTATTTCAGTTAGTTTGCATGTAAGTCCGGATGTTCAATAATTGAAATAAATAATAGTAAACTGTGAAAGGTTTATTGGCATAAAGCTTCCAAGTCAAAACTTTTTTGTGTTTACTTCAGTCATAGCTAAAATAAAAATTTGCATTTCATATTTTATTGGGTATGAACAGAATTCAATATTTTGCAATAAAAACAGCAGGTGATAAAAACTGAACATTTATTGAACATTCCAATTTCTTTATTATCAAGCAGAAGCAAGGGCATCACGTAGTTGGTTGCGTCTTCTTTAATCTTTCTGAATTTGTTAAGGTATGTTGATTATAAAGTCCACCTATCAGAGTGTCATTGTTCTTATGTCTAGAATTTTGCTATATTTGTCATAAAAAACCTGAATGTCATTTTCGTGGTGGACTTCACGCTTCATAAGTTTTATATTGATACATCTGTTGATTTTTGTGGGATTTTCCCATTAACACATTGGATAATTTATCATTTCAAAATACTGACCTTTCTTGCATTATCACCAACAATTAATTTCGCTTGTCTTTTCAAATATCATTGGTACGGCAGGGCTAAAAAATCAACAAAATGAATCAAAATCATGACACGTCACAGAATTTCAGTTATGCATATCATAAATGCGGAATGGTTTTAACTTTATCTAACATGGCTTTTATCAAGAAGAATTTTCTTCCTTTTTTATACAGTCGTCTATTTATCTTATTCCTAACACAGATGATGACATAAAAACGTTTTGCTAGGTATGTCTTTAGAAATTGCGCCTAATTGAGTGAAAGATCACTTCTTCACGTGATAGTACACGTGATTTTTCTGGTCTATATTTGTTCAACTTGTTGTAAGATAGACTATTTAAAATATTTTTTGCGTCAAAGTTCACAAAATGACAATACTTTGCATGATGAACTGTCAAGTCCAAACGCTATCAATTTTGAAGTATCTATGATTACTGAGATGTGACAAAATTATTCTAAATTAGAGACTTCGAGATTAATTACTCTGATATTCCCTTCTTAAATAAGATTGCCCTAAAATCTTGAGCCCCCCAACTTTTACTTGCTTCTCACGCCCCTGATCAGATTATTTGTTTATCCGTATCTCAAGTTTACAAAATGATAAAACCTCTTTGACAACGTTTCAAAGTTGGAACGCTGAGAATTTCAGAGAAGCTCTGTTTATCGATTTTCTTAACTTCCTAAATTATAAATCTTTAATTTTGGAGCTATCTTACTTGTAAAAGGCTGACAGCCCTGTCTTCCTTTATGATTATTTCAGTTAGTTTGCATGTAAGCCGGAATGTTCAATAAATGAAATAAATAATAGTAAACTGTCAAAGGTTTATTGGCGTAAAGCTTACAAGTCAAAACTTCTTTGTGTTTACTTCAGTCATAGCTAAAATAAAAAATTTGCATTTCACAATCTATTGGATATGAACAGAATTCAATATTTTACAATAAAAACAGCAGGTAATTAAATTTGAACATTTAGTAAACATTCCAATTTCTTTATTATCAAGCAGAAGCAAGGGCATCACGTAGTTGGTTGCGTCTTCTTTAATCTTTCTGAATTTGTTAAGGTATGTTGATTATAAAGTCCACCTATCAGAGTGTCATTGTTCTTATGTCTAGAATTTTGCTATATTTGTCATAAAAAACCTGAATGTCATTTTCGTGGTGGACTTCACGCTTCATAAGTTTTATATTGATACATCTGTTGATTTTTGTGGGATTTTCCCATTAACACATTGGATAATTTATCATTTCAAAATACTGACCTTTCTTGCATTATCACCAACACTTAATTTCGCTTGCCTTTTCAAATATCATTAGTACGGCAGGGTTAAAAAATCAACAAAATGAATCAAAATCATGACACGTGACAGAATTTCAGTAATGCATATCATAAATGCGCAATGAATTTAACTTTATCTAACATGGCTTTTATCAAGAAGAATTTTTTCCCTTTTTTATACAGTCATGTATTACTTATCTTATTCGTACCACAGATGACGACATAAAAACATTTTGCAAGGTATGTCCTTAGAAATTGCGCCTACTTAGAGTGAAAAGATCATTTCTTCACGTGATAGTACACGTGATTTTTTTGTGGTCTATAATTGTTCAAATTGTTTTAAGATAGACTATTTAAAATATTTGTTCGCGTCAAAAGTTCACAAAATGACAAAACTTTGCATGATGAACTGTCAAGTTAAAACGCTATCAATTTTGTAGTATCTATGATTACTGAGATGTGACAAAATTATTCTAAATTAGAGACTTCGAGATTAATTACTCTCATATTCCCTTCTTAAATAACGATTGCCCTGAAATCTTAAGCTCCTCCCAATTTTACTTGCTTCACGCCCCTGATCAGATTATTTGTTTATCCGTATCAAAGTTTACAAAATGACAAAACTTCATTGACAACGTTTCAAAGTTGGAACGCTGAGAATTTTAGAGAAGCTCTGTTTATCGATTTTCTTAACTTCCTAAAATATAAATCTTTAATTTTGAGCTATCTTACTTTTAAAAGGCTGGCTGCCTGTCTTCCTTTATGATTATTTCAGTTAGTTTGCATGTAAGTCAGGATGTTCAATAATTGAAATAAATAATAGTAAACTGTGAAAGGTTTATTGGCATAAAGCTTCCAAGTCAAAACTTTTTGTGTTTACTTCAGTCATAGCTAAAATAAAAATTTGCATTTCATATTTTATTGGGTATGAACAGAATTCAATATTTTGCAATAAAAACAGCAGGTGATTAAAATTGAACATTTATTGAACATTCCGATTTCTTTATTATCAAGCAGAAGCAAGGGCATCACGTAGTTGGTTGCGTCTTCTTTAATCTTTCTAAATTTGTTAAGGTATGTTGATTATAAAGTTCACCTATCAGAGTGTATTGTTTATTCTTATGTCTAGAATTTTGTTATATTTGTCATAAAAACCTGAATGTCATTTTCGTGGTGGAATTCGCTTCATATGTTTTATATTGATACATCTGTTGATTTTGGTGGGATTTTCCCATTAACACATTGGATAATTTATCATTTCAAAATACTGACCTTTCTTGCATTATCACCAACAATTAATTTCGCTAGTCTTTTCAAATATCATTGGTACGGCAGGGCTAAAAAATCAACAAAATAAATCAAAATCATGACACGTCACAGAATTTCAGTTATGCATATCATAAATGCGGAATGATTTTAACTTTATCTAACATGGCTTTTATCAAGAAATTTTTTCCTTTTTATACAGTCATCTATTACTTATCTTATTCGTACCACAGATGATGACATAAAACGTTTTGCTAGGTATGTCTTTAGAAATTGCGCCTAATTGGAGTGAAAAGATCACTTCTTCACGTGATAGTACACGTGATTTTTTCTGGTCTATATTTGTTCAACTTGTTGTAAGATAGACTATTTAAAATATTTGTTTGCGTCAAAAGTTCACAAAATGACAAAACTTTGCATGATGAACTGTCAAGTCCAAACGCTATCAGTTTTGTAGTATCTATGATTACTGAGATGTGACAAAATTATTCTAAATTAGAGACTTCGAGATTAATTACTCTCATATTCCCTTCTTAAATAACGATTGCCCTGAAATCTTAAGCTCCCCCAATTTTACTTGCTTCTTACGCCCTGATCAGATTATTTGTTTATCCGTATCCAAAGTTTACAAAATGACAAAACTTCATTGACAACGTTTCAAAGTTGGAACGCTGAGAATTTTAGAGAAGCTCTGTTTGTCGATTTTCTTAACTTCCTAAAATATAAATCTTTAATTTTTGAGCTATCTTCCTTTTAAAGCCCGGCTGCCTGTCTTCCTTTATGATTATTTCAATTAGTTTGCATGTAAGCCAGAATATTCAATAATTGAAATAAATAATAGTAAACTGTGAAAGACTTATTGGCATAAAGCTTCCAAGTCAAAACTTTTTTGTGTTTACTTCAGTCATAGCTAAAATAAAAAATTTGCATTTCATATTTTATTGGGTATGAACAGAATTCAATATTTTGCAATAAAAACAGCAGGTGATTAAAATTGAACATTTATTGAACATTCCAATTTCTTTATTATCAAACAGAAGCAAAGACATCACGTAGTTGGTTTCGTCTTCTTTAATCTTTCTAAATTTGTTAAGGTATGTGGATTATAAAGTTCACCTATCAGAGTGTACTTGCTTATTCTTATGTCTAGAATTTTGTTATATTTGTCATAAAAAACCTGAATGTCATTTTCATGGTGGAATTCGCGCTTCATGAGTTTTATATTGATACATCTGTTGATTTTGGTGGGATTTTCCCATTAACACATTGGATAATTTATCATTTCAAAATACTGACCTTTCTTGCATTATCACCAACAATTAATTTCGCTAGTCTTTTCAAATATCATTGGTACGGCAGGGCTAAAAAATCAACAAAATAAATCAAAATCATGACACGTCACAGAATTTCAGTTATGCATATCATAAATGCGGAATGATTTTAACTTTATCAAACATGGCTTTTATCAAGAAGAATTTTTTCCTTTTATACAGTCATCTATTACTTATCTTATTCGTACCACAGATGATGACATAAAACGTTTTGCTAGGTATGTCTTTAAAATTGCGCCTAATTGGAGTGAAAAGATCACTTCTTCACGTGATAGTACACGTGATTTTTTCTGGTCTATATTTGTTCAACTTGTTGTAAGATAGACTATTTAAAATATTTGTTTGTGTCAAAAGTTCACAAAATGACAAAACTTTGCATGATGAACTGTCAAGTCCAAACGCTATCAGTTTTGTAGTATCTATGATTACTGAGATGTGACAAAATTATTCTAAATTAGAGACTTCGAGATTAATTACTCTCATATTCCCTTCTTAAATAACGATTGCCCTGAAATCTTAAGCTCCTCCCCAATTTTACTTGCTTCTTACGCCCTGATCAGATTATTTGTTTATCCGTATCCAAAGTTTACAAAATGACAAAACTTCATTGACAACGTTTCAAAGTTGGAACGCTGAGAATTTTAGAGAAGCTCTGTTTATCGATTTTCTTAACTTCCTAAAATATTAATCTTTAATTTTGAGCTATCTTACTTTTAAAAGGCTGGCTGCCTGTCTTCCTTTATGATTATTTCAGTTAGTTTGCATGTAAGTCCGGATGTTCAATAATTGAAATAAATAATAGTAAACTGTGAAAGGTTTATTGGCATAAAGCTTCCAAGTCAAAACTTTTTTGTGTTTACTTCAGTCATAGCTAAAATAAAAATTTGCATTTCATATTTTATTGGGTATGAACAGAATTCAATATTTTGCAATAAAAACAGCAGGTGATTAAAATTGAACATTTATTGAACATTCCAATTTCTTTATTATCAAGCAGAAGCAAGGGCATCACGTAGCTGGTTGCGTCTTCTTTAATCTTTCTGAATTTGTTAAGGTATGTTGATTATAAAGTCCACCTATCAGAGTGTACTTGTTTATTCTTATGTCTAGAATTATGTTATATTTGTCATAAAAAACATGAGTGTCATTTTCGTGGTGGAATTCACGCTTCATAAGTTTTAAATTGATACATCTGTTGATTTTTGTGGGATTTTCCCATTAACACATTGGATAATTTATCATTTCAAAATACTGACCTTTCTTGCATTATCACCAACACTTAATTTCGCTTGCCTTTTCAAATATCATTGGTACGGCGAGGCTAAAAATCAACAAAATGAATCAAAATCATGACACGTCATAGAATTTCAGTTATGCACATCATAAATGCGGAATGATTTTAACTTTATCTAACATGGCTTTTATCAAGATGAATTTTTTCCTCTTTTATACAGTCATCTATTACTTATCTTATTCGTACCACAGATGATGACATAAAACGTTTTGCTAGGTATGTCTTTAAAATTGCGCCTAATTGGAGTGAAAAGATCACTTCTTCACGTGATAGTACACGTGATTTTTCTGGTCTATATTTGTTCAACTTATTGTAAGATAGACTATTTAAAATATTTGTTTGTGTCAAAGTTCACAAAATGACAATACTTTGCATGATGAACTGTCAAGTCCAAACGCTATCAGTTTTGTAGTATCTATGATTACTGAGATGTGACAAAATTATTCTAAATTAGAGACTTCGAGATTAATTACTCTCATATTCCTTCTTAAATAACGATTGCCCTGAAATCTTAAGCTCCTCCCCAATTTTACTTGCTTCTTACGCCCTGATCAGATTATTTGTTTATCCGTATCCAAAGTTTACAAAATGACAAAACTTCATTGACAACGTTTCAAAGTTGGAACGCTGAGAATTTAGAGAAGCTCTGTTTATCGATTTTCTTAACTTCCTAAAATATAAATCTTTAATTTTTGAGCTATCTTACTTTTAAAAGCTGGCTGCCTGTCTTCCTTAATGACTATTTCAGTTAGTTTGCATGTAAGACAGGATGTTCAATAATTGAAATAAATAATAGTAAACTGTGAAAGGTTTATTGGCATAAAGCTTCCAAGTCAAAACTTTTTTGTGTTTACTTCAGTCATAGCTAAAATAAAAATTTGCATTTCATATTTTATTGGGTATGAACAGAATTCAAAATTTTGCAATAAAAACAGCAGGTGGTTAAAATTGATCATTTATTGAACATTTTAATGATGTAGCAAATTTCTCCTTTGCACGTTAGCACAAAGCAGTTATGCGTCCGCCGGTTCTCTATGGGATTGTATACTATCTAAACCTAGCACGCAGTCAAACACAATTCTCAAAATATCATCAATTTAATTTTCTGATGATGATGATTTTGGACTCACCTGTCGGGGCGACAGATGAGTAGGCATGCAGGTCTATCTGCGAGAGTGGGACCTCATGTGTGAATGGAGGCCAATTTGTGATGCACACGAACGTCCGCAAACGCTGCAGGGGTACGAGACAAGAGGGGCAGAGCGTTGCTTCCTTCGGGCCCTCTTCTCCTTGATGGCGGCTGCTCTACCGGCTTCGAAGTTCCGAACGCCCTGGGAGCATAGATGCCTCCACTGCAGTCTGTCTCCCGCGAACTCCTCCCAGGTGTTTGGGTGTATGTTGCAGCTCTTGATGTTGGCTTTAAGGGTGTCTTTGTATGTCTTCAGCGGTCTTCCTTGGACACGGCTCCCGTCTTGTAGTTGACCATACAGCAGCATCTTTGGGATTCTGCTGTCATCCATCCTTACGAAATGGCCTGTCCATCGGAGTTGAGCTTTGATGATCAAGCTCTCAATGCTGGGAGTCCACACCTTTCAAGGACTTCAAGGTTGGACACTTTCTCCTGCCATTTGATGCGAAGGATTTTTCTCAGGCAGCGCTGGTGGAACTGTTCCAGCTGTTGTATGTGCCTGCGATAAGTGGTCCAGGTTTCACAGCAATACAGCAGAACACTCAGGACCACAGCCCTGTACACAGCAATTTTGGTGACGATCTTGATGCCGTGTTCCTGCCAGAGTCTTCTCTTTAGTCTGCCAAAAGCAGCACTGGCCTTTGCAATACGCAGCGTTACCTCTGCGTCCAGGGAACCATTGTTGCTGGTGGTGCTGCCAAGGTAGCAGAACTTGTCAACAGTCTTGATGTTGGTGTGGTTAATGATGACAGGAGGTGGTGGTGAGGTGTCACGAATCTGGGATGGTTGAAGCTGGACCAGGATCTCAGTCTTGCCCAGGCTGATGGTCAGCTCAAAGCGATCACATGCAGTTGCGAAGCGGTCTGTTATGCACTGGATGTCTTCATGGGAGTGGGCGGCTAGTGCACAGTCATCTGCGAAGAGAATTCACGCAGGAGTGCCTCGTAGACTTTGGTCTTGGCCTGAAGTCTTCTGAGGTTGAAGAGCATTCCATCAGTGCGGAACTGAATGTACACCCTTTGTCGAAGTCACGGAAGGCGTCGAGCAGCATCGCTGCGAGCAGGATGGAGAAGAGAGGGGGAAGAACACAACCTTGCTTCACACCGTTCTTCACAGGAAATGGGTCCGATGTCTCCCCACTTTCCTGGACTCTTGCCTGCATGCCATCGTGAACGGAGGCTACCAGAGAGACTAGCTTCTTTGGACACCCAAATTTTCCCAGGATCCTCCAAAGGCCTTCCCGATTAACGGTGTGGATGCCTTAGTTAGGTCTACGAAGACCATGTGGAGTTCCTTGTTTTGCTTGCGACACTTTTCCTGCAACTGGCTAATAGCGAAAACCATGTCAGTAGTTCCCTGCCTGCCCGGAAACCACACTGAGATTCAGGGACGATGGCCTCGGCAACATTTGTGATTAGCCTGTTGAGGACTACTCGGGCCAAAACCTTGCCTGCGATGCAGAGGAGGGATATGCCTCGATGGTTGTCACATGAGGTCTTATCGCCTTTCCTCTTATAGATGTGCACGACGGCAGCATCTTTGAAGTCCTGGGGGACCTTGGGAACTTTCCAAACCTCCTGGAACAGGGATGTCAGTTTGTCCAGGAGTGCCTGGCCTCCGTTCTTGTAGACGTCAGCTGGAATGCCATCAGCCCCAGGAGCCTTTCCAGACCTTGTCTACGTGAGGGCTTTTGCAACCTCGTCTCTTGTGAATAGGTCGGCAATTTCCTCTTTGATTGGCAGCTGGGGGAGGGACTCAATGGCTTCTTCGTTCATCCGTGACTCTCTATTCAGCAGTTTGTTGAAGTGTTCAGCCCAGCGTGAAAGTATGTCAGCTTTGTCTGTTAGCAGTGTCGTTCGGTCTGCAGATCTGATGGGGGTAGAGCCTGACGATTTTGGACTGTACACCGCGCGAAGCCCATGGTGGAGCTTTTTTGAGTCGTGAGCATCAGCTGCCACTTGGATTTCTTCGGCTTTCTTTTCCCACCAGGCGTTCTTCATTTCCCGCAGCTTGTGTTGCACATGCTGCCTCATTAGCTGGTAGTCTTGCTTCTTCTTCTCGCAAGCTTTGTCCCCTATAAGGTCGCTGTGAGCCTTATGGAGCCTGTCAATAAGCGTGTTGATCTCAGCATCATTCTTGTCAAACCAGTCTCGATGTTTTCGTTCAACGTATCCAAGGACACTCGCTGCAGAGTTGTAGACGGCTTCTTTGAAGGTGCTCCAGTCTTCCTTTATATCCTCGCCCGTGATGTTAATGTTTCCCAGGGCTACCTCTAGCTTCTCTTACAGCTCTTCTTTGTTGGGTGGAATGCGAGCTACATTCAACTTCCTCAGTGGCTTCTCTCTTGCTGATTTGTTCTTTCTGGCGAGCTGGATGTTCATCTTGCTCCGTAGCAGGCGGTGATCAGACCAACAGTCGGCACCTCGCATGCAGCGTGTGATGTGCACGTCTCTGTGGTGCCTCTGGCGGACGATTACGTAGTCCAGCATGTGCCACTGTTTGGAGCGAGGGTGCATCCATGTGTTCTTCAGCTTGTCAGCTTGTTGAAAGAGAGTGTTAGTGATGGTTAGCTCGTGCTGTGCGCACAGAGATAGTAGCATCAGGCCATTGGAGTTGCACTTGCCAGTTCCATGGCAACCCAGGATGTTTGGCCAGATGGTGTAGTCTACTCCAACTCGTGCGTTAAAGTCTCCAAAGATGATGAGTTTGTCTCTGCGGTCAACACTGGAGAGGAGCTGGTTGAGCTCTTCGTAGAAGGCTTCCTTCACTTCATCTGGGTTTGTCATTGTAGGGGCGTAGGCACTGACAGTTGTGGCGTTGCAGTCTTTCTGGAGTTTCAGCCGCAGGGTCATGAGGGATCGCTGATGCCCTGTGGCAAGCTTACTAGTCGCCTTGCGAGCTGGTTGCGTATGGCAAATCCACGCCTGAGTGTCTTGGGGCGTTTTCCGGTTTCCCAATGCAGTAGAAGGTGTAGCCACCACCGACCTCTTCCAGTTGAGTTTCATCTGCAAGTCTGGTCTCACTCAATGCGGCTATGTCCACCTGGTATTGTCCAAGCAACCTTGCTATAAGAGCAGTGCGTCGCTCTGGTCTGTCTCCTCTGTCCATCAGCGTTCTCACGTTCCATGCCCCAATGGTTAAGCGCTTTCTTGTTTTGTTATCCTTAGTTGTACGACCACTTAGTTGGATGCCCAGGCAGGTGCGGTTCCTGCCAGGTGCAAGTAGGGCAGGCTTTGTTTAGGGATCCTTTTATCTCCCCTTCCCCATGTTGGGAGAGCAGTGCTAACCCTAAAGAGAGCTGCTCTGTCACTGCGAGAGGATACAGGCGCCGTATCTGCCTTAGTTTTAAGGCGGACAACCATCAATTCGCAGCCGCCTGCGTGCAGAGTCACGGCTAAGAACTTCCAGCAGCATCCTCTGCCTGTTCCCGTCACCATTTCTCCATCGCCACAGGACTTGAGATAGCGGCGCAAAAAAGGGATGGTTGCATCACTTGATTCCGGCAAACCTGCTTGCCTGACCAGCACAGGTGAATGTTTTAGGTGAAGAGGGGATGTGCATGCCCGTCCAT